TCGGCACCGCCCTCGCGTCTTTTGGCCATGCTGCAACATGCCCTCAAGTGGCAAGCCTACACGGGCAGTCTTCCTGCTCAAGGCGATGGTGCGTCACGCATGCAGGGCATCCGTCGGAATTGTGTCCAATGGTTGGCAGCTCATGCCCGCGTTTTGTGCCAGCCCCGATTGATATTTTCCGCAACAAGGTCGACGATGTGGCCCTCGAAGACGAACTACCACCCTCGAAACTCGGTCGCACCATCAAAGTAAGATCGACCGACGCGGGTCGCGCACTTGCACAATGCGCCCGCCTCCCTCCCCTCCTCGTTTCTCGCTCGAAGCCCCTCAGCCTCATCATTTGCCTCGTCTCGGCTCTGTCCTGCGGGCACACGCCTGCAGTTTGGCAAGACGTCGCGGTGCGAGTCATGTGTGTTCTCGCCCGACGCACAGTACTTTGTGACGGGCAGCTCGGATGGCCTCATTGAAATCTGGAATCATCTTACCGGCAAAGTCCGCAAGGATCTCAAATTTCAAGCCGAAGTTAGCCTTTTTGTTTGCGTGCTGGGGTGCCTTGTAGTGCAGCACACGCCCAGCAAGGCCCCTCATGGCGGTGCCCTCCCCCTTTTAGGATAACTTTATGCTCATGAACAGCGCCGTGACCGTGCTGACTTTTAGTCGCGACAGCGAAATGCTCGCGAGCGGTGACAAAGAGGGACAAATCAAGGTAGGGACATGCGTGTTCTGCCGGGGTGGACTGCCGTGCCCCGCGCGACCATAATGGGATCTCATGGTCTTATACTCGCCGCGCGCCTTGTTGACCACGCACCCCAGGTCTGGAAGCCCTCTACGGGCCAGGTCCTGCGTAAACTTGACCGGGCCCACAGCCAATGCATTACCGACCTCTGCTTCACAAAGGACAACACCCAGCTACTCTCGGCTTCACAAGACGGGCTTGTCAAGTGAGACATTTTGTCCTGTGGCGCGAATGCGAGGTCCCACAAATTGTGTTGGCAGACAAGGGTGCTGATAACTCTGTGCACCTGCATCAAACCCCGTCTAGAGTCCATGGCTTGCGTGGGGGACAGACGCTGAAGGAATTTGTCGGGCACACAAGCTTTGTCAACTCGGCTCGCTTCATGTCAAATCAGCACCAAATTATTTCCGGCTCGAGTGATGGCTCGTTGCGCGTACGTTGCGCTCTCCCTCCGTACACCAAAGTTTGTTTTGTTTTTGTTTTTTTGCAGCGTGATACCAAGCTGTTTCGCAGATTTGGAATGCAAAGACGGGAGAACAAATTTCTTGCTTGACTGACTTTGGAGAAGACAGTCGAGTGCGCATCAACTGCGTGATTTCCATGGGTGATGACACTGATCACGTAAGCTGGCGCCAGTCTCCTTGTTGATCCTGTCCTTTTGATTCCCCTTCCCCCCTTTTTTTCGAAACCTTCTTCTTCTTCTTTTCTTTTCTCTGAGCACCTTTGTTTGTGGAGTCAGCCTCATGCAAAACGTCATGTTGCGACGCAGATGTTGGTGTGTGTGCGAAGCAAACACTTGTACGTGATCAATCCTGGGGGCCAGGTGGTGCAAACGTTTAGCAAGGATCCCAAGAGCTCGGGTGACTTTATCTACGCCATTCCGTCCCCGCGAGGGGCTTACATTTATGCCATTGGTGAAGATCGCATTCTGTACTGCTTCTCCACCGAGACCGGGGAGCTCGAGCACTCCTTCGAGGTACGTGGACAGCCAAATTTTGAATGCGCAGGCGTTCCACGCTGAGGTGTGGCGACTCCCCCTTTGAATTGGCCTCACCGCTTCCCGCTGCCCTGATGCCTTGCAGGCCCATGAGCGAGAGCCCCTTGGCCTGGTACATCACCCACATCACAACGTGCTGGCCACTTATGCCGATGACGGCCGCCTTCGAGTCTGGAAAAGCTAATCTGACGAACAACAAATTGCATACAGCCCGCGCCTTTTTCTTTTGCAAGCCATTAAGGAACCCCAGCACGTCGCGCGCGACAGGCACGCAAGCAGTCAAGAACCCCCGCCAGGCAACAATCATATGCACACACACATGAACAGAAAGAATACCAGCAGAAGAAGAAGCTGGTTCACTTTCAAAAAATTCAATCTAGATTCAAAAAGTTGCATTTTTAATTTTTTTTTAAAATTTAAAAAAAACGACAAGATGTTGATATTGACCACACTGTTGGCAGCGCTGGTGACTTACAAGGTGCGATCCCGCCCCTGGCCGTGGGACAGGGCTTGATTGATGGAAGGGAGGTGGGGGACGAGCCCGATTCATTGTGGTATCGGGCCTGGGTGGCTGTGCATCTTGGATGCGGCTGGCTGAGGGGCTCACGAAACGCATGGCATGTGCCCAGGCTTGGACTGGCAATGATCTGCGGACGCTCGAGTTCCATGGCCGCGAGCGCTGTCAAGTTGTCACAGGTCAGGACCGTGTTGTCTGAATCAAGCCCAGGGTTGATGGCAACTGCCTGTTGTTGGCCCATGGTCCGTCTGCCCATCCTAGTGATCCACTGCATGTTTGAAATGCTCACACAACGTTTGTCCTCGCTAGACGTGCATGGTGCTGAGGATGTGCGGATCTGGACCCAGGCGCCCAGTGGGCCAGCCATTGTCATCAGCAGGTGCAGGCACTCTCTTCCGCTCTCCTGTCACTGGCCATAAGGGATTGATTGCTTCAAGAAATAACCTCTGAAAAGGAAGATGAAAAAATATACAAGAACAAATCCCGCAATGTGCCTATGAGGTACACAGGATGCTTACGTATCCACCTGCACTTTCCTCAGTGATGACCGCGCGTGGGGTGGTCTCGGAACAATCACTACTGCGTCCCTGAGCCAGCGCCTCAAAGATTCGCCTCCGGGCGCACTTTCGTGGATTCCGGTTCAAGAAGTGGTGCGTGTCCCAAGCTTTACCTTGAAAACATGCTTTGCACAAGACCACTCAGTGGCACTGACGCGGGCATCTGATTGCAGACAAGTAGCGTGTACGCTACACCTCGCCCCATCGAGCTGGCACCCGAGGTCCAGGAGCATTTTCACCCCATGGGCATTAATATTCTCGAAGACGTACGTCTCGTTGTCCTTTGCAGTCCAAGCTCGCGCCTGTGCGTGCACTCTCAACCCCCTATCATTCAATAAATGCCTGTAATTTGCTCAGGATGCCGGAACCTTGCTCTTTGTGGCAGCATATCGGTGAGAATCTTTGACGTCCCCTCCTGTCTGGGGGGGGTTTCTTTCTTTCTTTGCCTGCTGTTGGCACATGCCCGCATTCGTGTCTGCGGTATGCGTTGGAGCTGCCCCGACGGCGCTCAGGCTCGTTGTGGGCGCTGATGTAGGCCCAATTTTGTCGGCGTGGAGATTTTTGACTTGCAAGTCAACGAATCTGGAGCTGTGCATGGCGAGCGTATCAAAATCGTAGAACACGATCTGCTCTATCACGTCAACGCCATTTCTCCGGTATGCCTGCATCCGCTGGCACCGCAGCAAGAAACAAACGGGGCTTTCGCGCATCAACAGTCCACGTCGGCTCGTTCATGACCGCTGATTCAAAATGGGCCATCAACACTGCTAGGTATCGCGCACCGAGTTTTTTGCCACCATTTGGCTCAAAGAGGAGCCCGGTACCTTCAACTCGCTACTCGAAGTGAGGCTTGCTTGAATCAAGCGAATGCAGTGCGCCACCCTCGTGGTCTTGTGCGTTACCTTACGGCCGCACTCACCAGCCATCTCCTTCTGCGGTTCTTTCTCTTCCATCGCTACGCCATCCTCTCTTCCCCCTCTCCCCCTTTTTGGGAAACAATGATACTAGACCACGGTGCCACTGGCCTCGACGCATGTCGTGCGGTGCTGGGATGAAGTAGATGACGGCATGTTCACGTGCGCCAAGGTTGTGGAGAACCTGATCATGGCCAACGGCGTTGTCCATGACCCAGATAGTGGGAGCTTGTTTGTGGCCCCGTCCTCCGAGCAGGCCGTGCATGAGTTTGCCTACACCGATAATCGCCGTGCTCCACTGACGCTTAAGCGAACCGTCCCTGTTCAAGGGTGGGTGATGCCAACTGGTTCTTTCCCCTGCTTGCTCTGCCCACGTTGACCCCAAACGGCATCACCCCACTCATCCGTCTGCTGTGTTGTGTCTGTTTTCTTCAACTTCCGGGGTGCACAGCTTGTGCGACAACCTCGCTTTGCATCCGCACCGTCCGGGTGTACTGGCGGCTTGCCATCCGCAGCTGTTGCACTTTCTGCTTTACTCCAAGGGCATTACACACTCGCATTCCCAGGTGCGAGCGGACTTGTGATGCGCCGACGTCACGGTGCAGTTCACCCTGACGCATGTGCTGACGCTGTGCGGTGATTGCGTTCCTTTCTCCAGGCTTATTATATCCCGTCGGCCAAGGAGGGTGGCGAGGCTGAAGAGCTGCTGCTGGTGCCGGGTGAAGTCCTCTCGGGTCTGGCCACGGCCATCATGACAGAAGATGGTGTCTTGATTGGCGGCACTGTTCACAGCCGTGGCCTCTTGCGCTGCCATCTCGGCGACGAGCCCCAGCAGGCCCACGAAACTGCTTAATGACCCCCGTCCACAACCTTCATCAGACCCGACGCCCACTTCGTCGTTCTTCAGGCGCGACAGCGACAGCCGTGCTCTTCGCACACCAGATCCACTTTTGAATTGAACTGCGCTCGACAGTGACTCTGTTCTTGACCACTCCCCACTCAAACAAACACTCGACGCGACGCGCATGCCGCTTCATTCACAGGGCTCAAGTCCACTTGTTGCCGCATCGCCCTGCTGTCACCTTGCTCTTCCCTTCTAGCATTATTATTGTGTGTGTGTGTGTGTGTGTGTGTGTGTGTGTGTGTGTGTGTGAAGTCTGCATGTTTTCAAAATTTAATCTAGATGTAATTTTTCAGATCTGATTTAAAATTTAAATCCGAACGTTGAACGCGGATTTATAAACTTGCTCCGCTGGGCGAGGAAGATGGCGGCCGAGGGCAAGAAGATTAGTAGCGCATCCCTGTTGGACCTCAAGGCCGAGGTGAGGTTGATCAAGCCAAGCGTGTAAATCTTTTGCGATGCTCTGCCCTTGTGGCTCACTTATCCCTGTTCTTGATGTGGGTAGTTGGCGCGGCAGCAGCAGCTGGTGCGACAGGAACGAGCCAACCCGGAGCTGCGCAATGAGCGCTTGGCCCGTGAGCGGACCAAGCACACCACAAGCTGGCTCAAAACCAACAAGGGTGTGACTGAGCGCGGCTATCAAGACCTTATTCAGCAGGCACATGACACAAAGACGCTTGCGCGCGCAGAAGCCGCCCTCAAGGCCAAGGCAGCGCTGTATGAGCGCATGAGGTCTGTTGGTCTTGCTACTTGTGCCCGCAAATCAATCCGCAGGATGCGACATGCCGCTGGACACATCAACTCAAATTGCTGGCAAACACCTGCCGTGGAACCATACATGCAGGCGGGGCCAGCTTACAAAGGCCGAACAGGACAAATATCTCGTCGACTTTGAGCAAAAGTTTTTTAATCTCATGTGAGCCTCTTCCCAAGCACCGGGAATATTGAGAGCATGATCCATGGGCCCATATCCAACTGTACCGTGGCACTCACTCACTGGCTACATGCACGACTGGAACACAGCTACCAAGACGCTGAGGGGGGCTCTGGTCACGAGGACGGCCGTGCAAGCGACGGAGAAGATGCAGAGGATAGCTATGCCTCCGAGGCAGCGCGCGCTTACCAAGAAGAGGTGTGTGGCGTGGTGTGGCTGCAGGTCTAGTTCAGCATAGCTCAGCGGCCGAGCAGCATGCCTAGTGTGACTATCACGTGTGTGCCTTCCTCATCAATGATGATCATGACGATGGCCTACTCGAAGATGGTCGAGTACAAGGATGAATTTGGTCGGACACGACAGTGCATGCGCAAGGATCTGCCAGACGACGTGCACGACCGCATTCAAGGCTTCCGAGGCTACCGGGGCAATTTTGTTGCAGGCGGGTCGGCAGGACAATCCACCTACAGCCGCTCAGGAACGGCGCCCGAGCTCATGAGCGCTGACATGCGCCGCGAAGCAGAGCGTGAAGCCTGGACCGCCGATGCCACATCGGTATGATTGCTTGCAAAGACCTGGGCACTGGCTCTGGCTCTGGCTCTGGCTCTGGCTTTGGCTCTGGCTCTAGGCTGTCACATCTCGTGCCTCGAAAACTTCTTCATATCGACGTACTGCTTTGCAGGAAATTCATCGTGGACCAGTTCACTACGAAACTGTACGCCAGGAGGAGATTCGCAACCTTGGTACCGGTATGTATGTGGCCTTGCCTCGCAGGGTCGGAGACCACTTGTGCCTGGCCGCCCACCGTGCTTGATAGCCCTGTTGTTGCCGCCGCTGCACAGCCTATTTTCGTTTCTCTGCCAACGAGGAGGAGCGCAAGCGCCAAATGGAATCGCTTGATCGTCTACGTGAGCAGGTGCGTCTTGGCTCTGGCTGGCCAGCGTGCAGCACCCACCCTTTCAACAATCGTCTTTGACCACTTTGCTTGCTTGGCTCTGACTAACTCGACTCCCATATGACCTGGTAGACCCTGAAAGGGCGAAACACGCGCGAGAAGGTGGCTGAGCGTCGCAAAGCCAAAATGCAAGAGCGCTTGGCGAAGATTCGGCGCAAGAAAGGTGTGTCAACGCATGTTGGTGCAGCCCTTCATCGAAGATTTGCTACGAGCTGACGCCATGATGCGTTGATGCTTGCCTTTGTGCCACCAGGATTGCCAGTTGATGAGGCGTTGAATTCCAAGCCAGACACACCAGAGGCATCAACGACAGGCACCGAGGAGCAAGAGGAGGAGATTGATCTTTTCCTCGACCACATGGCTGAGCAGGCCAAGATTTTGGCTGATGCTGAGCAAGAAGCCAAAAAGACCAAGCGCCTTTAGGCCGTGTCTGCCCAAGGGGTCAGCCAATCTGCTGGATACCCCTGCGAGCGGGCCGTGCACGAGCATCGCAAGCGCGTCTGAGACGCCTAGTAAGGATTAACCAATTTAGAACCGCACGACTCGGAGTGATTTCCCTTCTTTTTTTTTTTTTTTTTGCTCCACTCCACCCACACATGCTGCCCTTTTAGCCTGATTGACAGGGTATGATAATTGTCTTCAATTTTACAACCGTGATTGAAAAAAAAAAACGAATGTGCAAGACGCGGCTCACGCCTTTTTTGTGGTAGCTGGCACTGGCGCTGGCTGTGCCTCAGCGTGGTTGTATACCCCGGCCGAGATAACATAGTTGGCTGGTGCAAACTTGAGCGCATAGACGGGGGTGGCCTTGGTGTAGTAGGTCTTGAGCAACGCCCCTGACGCACGGCTGGTGCACATGCCCGAGACAAATGAGCACAAAACCAAAAACCAAGTCATTTGATCTGCCAAACTTCCCGGGTGGATGGCTTGCTCAACAATAGTAGCCAGAAAATACGTACCCAGGCTTGACGGGCTCAGTGGCTGCGCGCACCTCTGCCATAGACTCGTAGGCTGCCTTGAGGGCCTTGCAATCCCACACCCGCACCGTGTTATCCGCACCACCCTTTGATCCAAACAGACAGTGTAGGTGCACGGCAAGTCCACATATCAGTTCAGCCTTGGCAAGCATGCTGCCCAGCAAAGACGGGGCAAGTGTCTTCAAGATAACCGAGGCTCAAGTACACGAGCCCTTACCGAGACCAACATCATATCATTCATACTAAAGGACAGGCTGTAGATGTTCTTGCTGTAAACCGGCAATAGAGAGTGCCACAACATGAAGCAAGGCATTAGCAACCACAGGTCCACATCAATGGCAAGCCCCTTCACCGCCTTTGCATGAACTCGTTGCATGCGTTTCAAAACGTACCGATGGCCACAAAAGTTGGCAATGCGCGTACTCGTTTTGATGTCCCAAATCATAATCACCCAGTCATCCGCTAAAAAGCCAAAATCCCGCACACGAAAAAGAAGCAAGTCGTGCGGTGAGCATGGTGCAGCTCAAGCCTGTACCTACACTCGCCCGTGCCCGTTGCAAATGCGTTGTGCGTACCGGCTGATGCCAGGAAACGACCATTGTTGCTAAACTCGAGCGTGTGCACCTCATCCCTGAAAAGCGCGACCAACAAACATGCAAGTGAGAGTTGGGGATCTCTGAGCAAGCACGGACAAAGAGGGATTCGCTTTGTTTTGTTTTGTATTTGCAAGACGAGAGCAGACTTGCATGTGTCCACGGAAAATGCGGACGCAATTGCCCGTTGGCAGGTCCCACAAGCGACACGATTTGTCGGCCGAGCCGGTGGCCAGGTAGTTGCAGTTGGGGTGAAATTTGACACACTATCAAAAGCCCGGTCGTCAGAAGTCGATGTCGGAATGCAAACGGATGGTTTGAACAGAAGAGGCAAGCCGGGATGGAAACGCGCTTACATTGACGTCAGAGAGATGTCCGGAGAGAATGCGTAGCGCGAAGATTTTCTCCGTATTCCACAAGCGAGCCGTGCGATCGTGGGATGCCGAGGCAAAATAGTAGCCCAGGGGACTAAAATGCAGCGGCATTACCGATCCGGCAGGCACCAGTAAGAAAAGTTGCGACGACAGCTTGAAAGCCAACTTGGAAGCAACACACACATACACGCACGCACACTAGGAAAATTATGGAAACTTTATCACGAAAGGCACAACAGTTGCAGTAGCTTCTTACCTAAACTGAACATCCCAGACGGGATACTGGTGGCCACGGTAAACCACCAGGCATGACCAAGTCAAGAGGGACCACAGGCGGACTAAGTAGTTGAGTACGCAAGACAGGTGGCAAATGGGGTGAATTTGGCACAACCTGTCGGCTCTCCGTAAACTCGACGCTTGCCGCCGGGAGTAGGGACGCAACTGACTTGTGCTATCCTGGGAGCTGGACAGTAGGTACATTTGGTCCGGCGAGAAGGAGAGCCCATAAATTGGCCCGCTGTGGCCCACCAACGATCTAGTCTTGGTGCCCGACTCGCGGTCCAAAAAGTCGTTCAGCGAGGTCGATTCTACCCCGATCCAAGCCGAGATGAGCGTTGAGAATAAAAGGTGGGCCTTGCCATGTCAGAATGCGACTGCAGGTTGAGCCACCTACCATCGATCTGAACCTTGCGCATGGTCTCGGGCGGCAAAAAGTCGTATAGGTCATGCTGAGTAAGGGACCAGACAGTGATAATGCTGTCATCCTGACCCGTTGCCAGCAACTTGCCATCCATGGAAAAGGCCATATGGGTGACACTGCCAGATGATTTGGGCGCAGAGGTACGGAAGTATGAGCCGTGAGTGTCTTGGTTGTTTTTGAGAGCAGAATGAACAAGGCCATGATGACATGGACATACTTGCGAGAGTGAAACGTGGTGTACATGCATGTTGAGGGCAGGGTATCGGGAGCTTGCGCTGCTTCACTTGCCAGCTTTAGTGCCTCGAGTCGTGCCTCAATCTCTTCGCGCCCCCTGGATGGTGAGAGAAAAGTCATGACCATACACAAGGGCGGAGGACATGGCGTGAAGGAGAGGCGCAGCGAACAATGAAAGAAAAGGCGCTCAGCCATTGTGAAATGACGGGAGGGCCAGAAGATGGCGTCGTTGGCAACTGAGGAGCGGGTGACACACATGGGCGGGAAGACCAGGCGCTGGTCTTGAGGCGGTGCATTCTCGTCTGCAACCTGCTTGGCACGTTTGGCTGGCTTGTTTTCAGCGCCGGCTATTTGAGACCGGTGGTCGGCCGCGGGCAGATACGTTTGAAAGACGTGAGTTGCACAACAGGGCAATGGGGCATGAGACACTGCGGGCGCTGCCATGCGAGTGCTTGACAGACCTTCATCGCCTGCAGTGGTTTCGCTGGCTTCCTCGGCGGCTGCCTGCTACCAGGGCGAGCAAGTATGAGCGAGCGAAGAGAGACGAGTGGCTAAGCCAGCACTTTGAAGCATGAGAGAGCAGGGAAAAAGATTGGTAGGCTTACGTCGATATAAGGAAAGGTACCCCAATGGACGGGCGTTTCGTTGATTTCCATCTTGTCACTGTCGATGCGCAGGCCACTCTGATCATTGATGGGATCGCCTCGGGCCTCTGTTGTTGAGTTCCGTCACAAGGGAAAAGAGGTGAGCATGATCAAGGCCGAGGAAGGAGCCTCTGTTGTCTTCCTGGGTCATGCAGCGTAGGCTTGCGGGAAGACGACGAATGCCGGATGCAACGCACGTTTGAGACGGATAAACTGGTTCGTGAGACGAAGGAGCGCCATGAACGCGTTGTCTTTGACAAAGTTGACAAAGAGATTGATGGCAAATTGTGAGAGAACAATGTCGTATTTGTTATTCCTATCAAACATGTGATCCGGATCGCGGGGGCGCCCATAAGTTGGATGGCTAAAACCAGGCGGCCAAGGATGTAGAGTCTGAATCGGACACTGGCCGTACACGTAGAGGCGAATCAGGTCGTTGCGACGAAGCTGCTCGAGGTTGGTGATGACACGCAGTTGTTGAACGTGTGAGGGATGTTCATCGGCATGATCGCGGTAGAAGCGCTCCACAAATGCCACGGCTATCGGGAGGTCATTGACGTTTGCCCGCACACAAAGACAGCAAGGATGCGACCGAGCGAAGGAGGGCGGGGCATCGAGGAGATGGTGAGTTGGGATGTAGGTGCTGCTGGGAATGAGTCGGCTTGAAACATTGACTATCATGACCTGATGCCAAATTGAGGCCATGTGTGTGTGTGTGCGCGCGCGCGTGTGTGTGTGTGTGTGCGTGTGCGCATACCGTGCTTCTCTTGGCCGCGATTCATGAGATCGCAAAAGCAGAGGACAAAGAGGGGGAAGAGCAGCTGGCGCAGCTCGGTCTAGAGAAGCACCGGCACAGGTTGGCCAATTTTGAACGAAAAAAAAAAAAGGAAAAAGGGAAAAAGGGAAAAAAAAGAATGAGCGGTGGCACAGAGTCAATGGCAAGGGGCCAGACGGATGCTTGGAAGCTTTCGAGGGAGAGAGGGACAAAGGGTTCCGTACTCTGTACTGATCAAGCGTGGCATCGGCCCAAGTGGCAAGGCTAGTGTTGGGGTTGGGATGAATCAATCAAGACGTTTGTGAGGCCAGGCCAAGCAACAAGAAAGGCCGGGTGCGTCGGCTAGTGTTGGCTTGTTGGAGCGGGGTCCACCACCTCGCACCTTTCATAGGAGGCAATGAGCTGCTGGGGCGTGGTTTCGCTGGCGTAGGACGCGAGGCGAGTGGCCACCAACGACTCGGGGTCATCAATGTCACCATCGAGCGCCTTGTCGAGCTGTGACACCTTTGACTCGGATTGCAAATCCGCCAACGTTTTCTACACCCATAGCACACGCCAGCGTCATGAGACAAGCGCACGACCACGGCGCGTTTCAAGGCCCGGGCCGAGCCAAACTGTCAAGCTCGGGCCCAAAAAAACACCTGACCCACGTACGTGATAATTGCGCTTTTTGAGGTACGCATAAACGATACGATCCAGTTCACTCTGCGAAGACGGGTCAGTGGCAATGGGTTCCAACCCCGTCGGCACTGACGCCGCCGGCCCGCTGCCCAAAGGTGCCGAAGTCGCCATCGCCGCGCTCTCTCTCTCTCTCTCTCTCTCTCTCTCTCTCTCTCTCTCTCTCTCTCTCTCTCTCTCTCTCTCTCTCTCTCTCTCTCAAGAAAAAAAAAAGAGAGAGAGAGAGAGACAACTTGCAGCTACCTAATGTCATAGATATTCCGACGGCAGTGAGGGGTATTATGCATGTAAACTAGCCGTTACGGATCATTTCTCGCCTCTCTCTCGCTCTCTCTCTCTCTCTCTCTCTGTCGCTGCCGCGTCGTGTTGGAGTGAACGGCCATTTGAGGTGGCTATACAGCCTGGGAGGGTTGATTTCGAATTGCCTTGGTGACACAGGTGAGATAGACCCGTCTTCTCCTGCTGAAAGCCTGCCGTTTGACAGGTGCTCTGACGGAAGGTTGGCACATGGATTCAGTAGATCTACCCGAGTCTCCCTGTTGCAGGCCAGACCATCAGGATGAATGGCATGTGGGTTGACAAGCACCGGCCCAAATCACTGGACCAGCTCGACTTTCATGCCAACCTCAGTCAGCACCTCAAAATGCTGGTGAGTGCGTGGTCGTGCCCAAAGCCAGAAATGCAATGGATCGCCCACATATCCTCCGAGCCTTGTGTACCCTGACACGACAACGCCACTGTCTCATACATATTGCCAACGCCTGTGCATACGCCCGCGTCTTTGAATCAATCAGAGTGCGTCGGGTGACGTCCCACACATGCTGTTCCATGGTCCCTCGGGCGCTGGCAAGGTTCGTGCGCCAAGTCTGCTTACTGCATGAGCGTGGCGCGAAGCAGTCACGCGCCGCTCGCCACAAACCCCTGCGGCGTTCACGCCATCCTCATCTTGTTGACCCCTTTTTTTTTTTCCCATCGTCCTTTTTTTCGCTTTTTGCACGCGGCAGAAAACGCGCTGCATGGCCTTTTTGCGTGAGCTGTATGGCCCCAGCGCTGACCGCGTACGAGCTGCCCGTTCGTGCCTTTCTCATCATCTTTTGTTTGGCGCCAATTTTGCTCATGCTCTTTTGCTCCTGTGGTATGGTTTCATAGCTCAAGATTGACCATCAAGTCATCAAGGTACAGACGGTTTTGCTTACCATTTTGCGCAAGGGCGCAGCCATGTACCGCTCCCTGCTGCCAACGCTATTGCGGCCGCCTTTCGCACTCAGCTTTGCTCCCTCGCCCCTGTCACAGCCCACACCTAGTAAAACGGTGGAAATTTCAACTCTTTCCAGCAACTTTCACATTGAGATCAATCCGAGTGACGTGGGCATTGACGACTATCACGTCGTGCGCATGATTCTGAAGGAAATTGCTCGCACCCCGCTTGTCGACACGAGCAAGCACCCATTCAAAAGTAGGCCATCCCCTCACTCATCTTGTTGCCAACGTGCCAGTCCTTGCCTCGGCCCCTCTCACAGCCGATTGTTGGGTGCTTACCCGTTCCCGCCACCTTTGTAGCCGTGGTGATTGTGGAAGCGGACCGCTTGACCCGCAAGAGTCAACAGGCGCTGCGTCGCATCATGGAAAGCTATGTCAGCAACTGCCGCTACATCCTCATCTGTAATAGCAGCACCAAGGTATGGGGGCTCAAAGATGCCGCGCAGAAGTATGCTTTTTGACCAATCGGCCCTCTTGCCCTGGTTGCCCTTTGGCACAAGAGTCTCAGCAGCATGCCTCAAAGCCACTGTCTCATCCCTCTTGGAAAAATAAATCGCCATGTCCGTCCAGATTTTGGCCCCCATTCGCAGCCGTTGCTTGCAAATGCGTGTGGGAGCACCGACCATGAGTGAGGTTTGTGTGGCAACGGCACAATTCCCCCTCTCAAGCTTGCGTCGCGGCCCGGGCCCGTCAAGTTTGGTGGAATGAATTCACCATCGTTCCCTCCTTTTTTTTTTTTTTTTTGTTGTTGTTGTTGGCTGTGCGGAAATAGATGTGTGCCGTCCTACATGGTGTTGCCAAAAAAGAAGCCGTGACCGTACCCGACGAATTGTGTCAACAGATTGTCAAAGAGTCGCGGCGCAACCTTCGCCGCGCTCTTCTCATGCTGGAAGCTTCTCGTGCCCAAATGTGCGTCGCTTGGGTAGCAAAATGCTGTTGGTTCTGTATTCTGTCGCTGTACTGACGCCTCTGTGTCTTTGCAACTGTGGTAATGTGCTTGATAGACAAGCCACGAGTCTGCCGGTGGACTTGCCCATTGTGCGCGCCGATTGGGAGGTCTACTTGCGGGAAACAGCAGAGCGCATTGTTACTGAGCAGTCGGCGGCGCGTCTACTTGAAGTCCGTGGTCGTTTCTATGAGCTCCTCACGCATTGCATTCCGGCCGATTTGATTCTCAAGGTATGAAAGGTGGCCAGAACATTGAAGCATTACCAAATAACATGATAAAATTAATTCCATTGCCCCGCTTGTTTTAACCTGCCAAGCTTTGTGCTATCAGCCAAGCCTTGCCTCATAACGTGTGGGAAATCATGGGCGTAGACGCTTATGGAAGAGCTTGTGCGTCACCTGGACACAGACCTCAAGGTACAAATTGTGCAGCTGGCTGCCGAATATGAGCATCGCTTGCAGGTATGTGGCCGAGATAAGTCTCCAATGCTGGGCTCGTGAGACCGTGGTGTCACCTCACCCACCGCTCCTGGGTCGCAGTCTGGGCGCAAGGAAATTTTCCACCTTGAAGCGTTCACTGCCAAGTTTATGGCCCTGTACAAGGGCTTCCTGGACCTGTTGGGCGACGTTTAAGAGCCGCCGCTCTCGCTGCCTGATTGTCTTGTGATCATGACCGAAAAAAATTGAGTATGTCTGTGTTATCGGGTCAAGCAATCTGTGTGGAGATGAATTTTGACAGTAAAGAACCATTTGACATAGGAATGCAGAAAATATTGCTATGAACACACACAACGATTCCTGCAACAAGTTGGGTCGCATGCTTGTTCGCACCAAAGGAGCCAAGGCGACTTGCCATGCCCCCACCTCGTCTCGAAGGGGGCACGTCGCGACCATGCGGCAGAGACGATCGTGACACACAACGGACAGAAAAAATGGGCCAACACCCACTGGCACTGAGGAAACCGGCTGTGACTGTATTGCCTCAAAGTCAAGGGGCAAAGGACCCGGTGTCCAAGCTGATTCCGGATGGATCAAGTTGTAGCAGGCAAGTCCTTAACGTCTTCCTTTCGTTTTCGTAAGAAGTGGGGCAGGAAAAACCCCCTTCTCGGAGGGTCCAATCAAGATGGGTGGGCTCGAGAGTACCGAGCACCGGGCTGCCGCTAATGGGAGTTATTGGCCAACGGGGAACCCACGCTAAAGTTGACGCCGGCCGAGGCCGTGCGGACCAGGCTGGGGCTGCGGCCTCGCACGACCATGACAGGGCTCGAACCGGAGCGCACAGGCGAGAGCTCGCGCCCAGAAAGGGGGCTGTCTGGTCGACTCGTACCGCGACTGCCAATGGGACTATCCAACGGCGAATCAATGTTGAGACGCGCCGAGTCAGATTCGAGCTGTTTCATCTGCATGTGGTCGGCAAACTATCACAGGCGGGATGGAAGAGCGTCGTGAGATTGGCCTGCACAGCCAGGTGACACGTGTGAGGCATGATAAGCATGCACAAGAGACAAACCTGAGCGTCATATTGAGCCAGGTGGTCAGCGGGAAGCTGGGTGCGGAGAAAGGAGAGATACTCGACAGCCGTGCGAAAGACCGTGGCCTTGTCGGCATCGCGGTTCACGGGCACAAGGTTTCGGAAAAGATTGCACGAGTTGACAATATTAGCACGACGTTGCTTCTCCTTCTCGGTGTGACCAGGGGTGTTCTTCGTGCGCTTGCGAGGCCACTTGTTCTGTTGTCGCGAGCACACGGGTGGCGCGCGTGAGCAGTGGAAGGAGGGCACTCAGCTGACGTTTTGAGGGGGTTTTGACACAGCCTCACACTCACCTGGCTGGAGTTTTGGCTCGACGCAGATGTCTATGGAAAGGGTTCAAGAGAAATGCGTGAGGGCTTGGGCAAAAGAGCCAGAGGCACACGAGCACGAGAGCAAGGCAATTTGAAGGGGCTGGCAGCGCAAGAAGAGTGGGCATTTCGAGCGCATCGACATGACAAACGTACCGGGACGCGTACGGTCATGATGTTGGGATCAGACCCGCTGCGCGAGCGGGTGCCCGGTGACGCGGTGCCGCTGGGATGCTGCTGTCATGAAGGACGGGCAGACGGACCAAGCCACAAAAGAGCGAGTGAGGGGCAAGGCGGGATCAGATGATTGGGACCTGTGTGGCAGTGGGGGAGAGAAAGGTGGGGCAGACCTGTTCGGTGACAAAGAGAGGGAAGTTGGAGGGCGAGGTGGCGCCATCGGCCGCGGCGGGGGACATGGCAAATCGAAGCATGCTGTGGGAGCTTCCACTAGCAAGATGGGCGCCGGGGGAGGTGGGTAGAGAGGCACTGCCAAAGTTTCCGTTGGCAGCAGCCGTGGCAGATGATGAGGCAATGGCGGATTCGTGACCGGAAGACATGACGGCGACAGCCAGAGGGGAGGAAGGCTGGTGGGCAAAAGCGTTGCCCGACACGTCAAGGCCGCCGTTGGAGGAGGCGGCCGTCAGGTCGAGGGTTGAGTTGAACTCGTTGAGGGTGGATTGGCCGAACGGGGTCCACTTGTCGAACTGAGCCTTGAGGGCTTCGACGGTGAATGGTTTTTGAAGCATGTCGTTCATGCCGTAGGACTGGTAATCTTGGAGGGTACCTGACGAGGTGAAGGCGATGATGGGGGTGTACATGTTGAGGCGGCTGCTGGCGCGAATTTGCTGTGTGGCCTGAACGCCGCCGATCTTGGGCATGTGAATGTCCATGTAAATGATGTCAAAGTGTTGTTGGTGGCAGAGTTCAATGGCTTGTTCGCCATCGGTGGCTTGGGTGATGTTGTCGGTGAGCTCGCGTAGCAGAGAGGTGATGACGTGTTGGGTGAGGGTGCAGTCTTCAACGACGAGGACGCGGGCACTGGTGGGGATATCCAAAGGAAGGTCGGTACCGGCGGCGCCCAGAAATTCGGGGAGGTTCAGATCGGGAATGTCGACCAAAGGCACATTGGCCAAGTCGGCGGGTAGGGCGCCAATCTAAACCGAGATGATGGTGTGATGGTGAGCGAGGAAGGGCAGGAGGGGGGGTCTTGACTCGCTCTGGCCAGCACAATGCAGGACGCAAGCATGGCCAAAGCAAGCGAACAAAGCAAAGAAGAAGAAGAAGAAAAGATACAAAGCTGGTGCAAGACCACATGAAACGTACGGCACGGGTTTCTGCCCAGGTCTCGATTTTGAGGAGAAAATCATCTTTGTTGAGGGGTTTGAGGAGTATGTCCTGGATCCCAGCTTGGGTCAGTTGTTCCTCGCCATTGGCGGGCATGGAAAGGGTTAATCCAACAATGGGAGTATCCGAATTTAAACCTTGGCACCTGTGAGAGTAGTGAGAGGGGGAAAGGCAAAGGGGAGGGAGAGAGAGCGCGCATGTGCATGTGCATGTGCATGTGTGAGTGAGGGCGGGTACAAGGAGTGAGGGCGGGCACGGGCATGATATTCTGCTTCTACCCTACCTGAGGTTGCTGGCGAGTTCAAGACCCTGGGACAGTTGACCAGGCCAGGTGGTGTCAAGGTCGATGAAAATGAGACTGAAGCGATTGGATGCGCACGCCGCAAGCGCATGCTGCGCATCCGGCACCTGTTGGGATGATACCATTGCGTTGTTATTGTGGTAGACCAGAAAAAAAAAAATGTGCAGCATGATGGACCACATGAGCAAGTTGCTGCCGGGCAAATGAACACCACCCTTTTCCCAACCAAGCCCAAAAGTCACACATAGAGAGAGGGGGTGGTGGGGGGATGCTGCTGGGCGGGGCAACGAAAGAAGAACAGCTTGTCTGCAGGGGCGAGCTCAAGCGGGGGCGGGCGGGAAACATACTTGTTGGTGAAGCACACGGGCATCGGTGAGCCAGACATGAACGAGGCGTTGCAAAACCTCATTGCCATCGACAATGAGGCAGGTTCGTTGATCCTGTGCCATGGCGAATGTCTCTTTCCCGGACGAAAGGGAGCCAACGGAGCAACAGAGCAGAGCGCAACCGACGACGACGAGCGGTTCCAGGTCGACGCTGAACGCCGTTGGTTGAGTCTTTCGACAACAACAGCGAGAACAGACCCGACGACGCCACCAAAACCCCCACGTCAACGCCTTGACAGATCCACACGCACGCACGCGCACGCACACATGCACACACGGCGCGCCCGGCAACCGATTCAACGACGATGCATTCACCGCGACCTCGACCGCGACCTCGACCGCGACCGCGACCCGCAATCTCTGTGTGTGTGTTTGTGTGTGTGTCTCTCTCTCTCTCTCTCACGAAATTGAACATTCGTTGCAAAGTAAAAATTAAAATAAAGAGAGAGAGAGACGGAAAAATGAATTGGTTTGGTCAGAGAGAGAGACAGAGACAGAGACAGAGAGAGAGACAGAGAGAGAGACAGAGAGAGAGAGACAGAGAGACAGAGAGAGATTGAGACAGAGAGAGAGAAGGATAGAGAGAGAGAAAACAGAGACAGAGAGACAGAGAGACAGAGAGAGAGAAGGATAGAGAGAGAGAAAACAGAGACAGAGAGACAGAGAGACAGAGAGAGATTGAGAGAAATTTAAGAGAGCGAGAGGAGAGAGATTGAGAGAGAGAAAAATTAAGAGAGAGACAGAGAAATTTAAGAGAGAGAGAGAGAGAGAGAGAGAGGATGAATTGGTGTGGTTGGTTTAAGAGAGAGAGAGAGACAAAGAGAGAGAGAGAGAGAGAAATTTAGAGAGAGAGAGAGAGACACACACACACACACGGACAGATCCAGCCAGACGGGGGCGGATCAAAGTTGGGAGTGAGATGGAGGGGGAGCCTTGAGAACACGCAACGACTCGGGCTGAGCGCTCAGCCGCTGGAAGATGGAGGCGGGTCCATGTGCCACAGGTTGAATTGCCACAACGGCCAATGGTCAACCGTGTCGAGGTCCCGGTATCAAACGACCACGTACTATGGCAGCTGTCTGCGCAAAGGGACGTGCGTACGGACTTTGATCCCTCGTGGGTCACTGCTTCAAGGCAGGGCTCAACGGTCAAAAGTCGGTCAGGTACGGCCCAAGCAGTCGATGCGATGTACTCGCCTCAACGGCCCGAAGTCGCGACTCACCCAACCGCCCGCTCCTATGGCCCCCGAATGGGCATGAACGGACATCCGGCCGCTGTCGCGCAACAACATTTACAACTACAACTTCAATCAACAGAGGGGAAAATCGCCTCGGTGGCATTACTCTACACTGTCTTTGACCTCGGGCAACGCCTTGAGCTAGCAGTGGCAGACACCGGCGCTGCCATTGCCCCAAAGGCCGTTCCAAAGGCCCGCAAAGTACACATTCCATTGACATTCCTTCTCAGGCTGAGGATGTCCGTTTGACTACCATCTCTGCTTGGGACCATCAAGAGTTGAGGCCAAGGGCTCGAGAACAGAGCGGCCGAGCCGACAGCAACAGTCAGCCATCCAGTCAGTCAGCCAGCGCCACCGCCATCGCGACTTCCCCGGCTGCCACTTTGCGTCCCTAAACTGATTTTACATTGGCCTCGACCTCTGCATGGCTACCACGACAACTGTCAGCTCTCTGCTTAGCCCTTGCTTTCTACGTGGGCACATGGGCCCCCAACGGAAATCCCTCTACCTGCACAACACCCACCTCCCCCACCCTCTGCCCCTGCTTGCTTGTCGTATGACATCACCAACAACTCGACCAAAAGTACATCACGATGATGTACCGCGTTGTATCACCCGCGTCACCGGTGTGCTGACAATTTGTGCCAAGTCATACATCATTTGGTAGCGCTATGCAGCGGCAAGGTACCAACGACCATTTTGTCAGACAAATTATTGCTATGGCACAGCAGCCTCCTCTCCCTTCTCTCCCTCCTCAAACCGACCAAACCAATTCATCTCTCTCCCTCCTCTCCCTTCTCTCCCTCCTCTCCCTCCTCTCCCTCCTCTCCCTCCTCTCCCTTCTCTGCGCCGCTTTGGAAGAAACGAAATGCTGATACGTCCCGGGGGTTGTTCCAATGACTAAATGTCGTCAGGGCTTGGGACTCGGTCGATTCTGATTACGCTAAGCACCTCTAGTCGTGGCGGGTGGCACGGGGCCGGACACCCCAGGTGGGCAGCATCACGCCAGCCCATGCCAAACCGCCGACGACACAGATTGACAAGGCCACCTCTCGCCCAAACACCTGCTGAAGCACCGTGATAGGGTATCCAGCCAAGCCCGCGCCAAACTATCGCCGTCCGTGCACGCAGGCAATGTGAGCGGCCCAGCCAGACCTTGTCGGCTCCAGGCCAGTTCCCAGCGCCACCCCTGGCCCGTGTCCTGACCCACATCCATCCCTACGAGCACCTTTTTGCCTACCTGTGAAAATACGCTCACAAGGCTGCCAGCCAAAGCCGCTTGGGCGCGCGGCGAGATCTCCATGGCAAACAGACCCATCAAAGTCTGTGGCCCAAACAGAAATGCCCCCGCCAACGCATACCCAGCCTGGAGCGCCTACGAACACCCACAAGCATCATTCCGTCACAGCCGCAAACACATCCCGTTGCATAAGGTGGCGTTCAGATGAGCCATCCCCGTCGCAAACGGTAAAAAAAAATTGGATGGCCACCAGCCCGCTCCGACTTACCCAGGTAGCGGTGGTGGTCTGTACCCAGAGAACCACAGCCGCAAAACCCAGGCCGTACAGACAACAGACCGGTCCTCGCCGTCCTTCGAACAGCTATTGCAGTCCACAAGTCAGCCACAAGGACCAACCAGTGAAAAATAACTCAAGTGTCAAATAACTCGACCATGCCGCCACGTCTCAAATACGTAGTACGACAACCACGAGCGAAAGCACACAAAGTAATCATAAGATGGATAGCATCAAGTCTGGTGCAAGCCCACAGACCTGGTCCGACGCCAAGCCGGCAACCATGCTTCCCACAATGCCCCCGGCTTCAAAGTAGGACAGCGTCAGTCCGGCCGCACTGCGCTCCATGCCCTTGTCGTGCACCAGCATCAACAAACTCCAATTGCTCAAAATGTCCTTGGTCTATTGCAGCCAAATGTGAGGGGGAAAGGTGAACCGGCACTGCTGCTGCACCCCCCGCCTCCCCATTCGCAGCGTCATTGCCAGTTTACACACCAAATAGATCAGCATATTTGCCACCACCAAGAGCACCAACAGCGAGGGAAGGTGGCGCAGCTCGCGGAACCACGTCGCCCAATCCCGCTGCGGCGCGGTTTTACTCGATGTCTCGACCCTCTTTTCCTTGGACGGCACAGTCAGCAACGTGCCTGGTGTGCTCAAGCGACAACACGAGAGCCCAGAGTGAGCGGGCTGTCGGCCATGGTATGACACCAGGATCGCTGACGGGTCTACTAGTAGCAGGTTTCTGGCAAGTCTTTGATTGCTTACCGACAAAAGGCACAAGGGCGGCCATTAATAGAGCAGGCCACACAAACGCCCGTTGCCACGGCGCAAGCAAGCCTCCGTCCAGCTAAAGGAGAAAGAGAGGGAATTCCCTCACATTCACATGAGAACGCTGGATGGTCTAAAGCACTACGCAGTCTTGAGTCCATGCCAAGATAGCAAAGGTGCGCACTTACCACACTCAAATGCATTGTGTTCATGATGGCAATAGGAGCCAGTCCGGCCCCAACGTTTTGACTCGTGGATATGAGCGCCCACCAAGTAGCCCTGCCGGCGCGCCGCCACCAATGATCGGATCAACTGAGTCGATGCAGACACTAAATCCCTGAACAAGGCTGCGCACACGCACCGGCCCTCGGGGTCTGGAAACCAAGCATGGATGAGGGCACCGATGGGTGACCATCCAAATCCCAGGACAAATCTATCAAAACATCGAGTCAGTAGTAATCCTGGCCGACAAGCGGCTGGATGCTTGGCGTGATCCCCGGTGCTCAAGCCCAGCACAAAATGGATCATACCCATTGGCTGTCCACAACAGGATGCCCATCCAGGTCGAAAGCATGCCCACAAGGGCAAAGGTGATGTTGAGGGCAGCTGAGATGAGAAGCACCGCCTGTAGCATCTGTCCTGGAGCCATCAGGTCGGCCACAATGCCGCCTGGGATCTGTTGCAGAGAAACACACAGAGAAACACGCCCGCACGCATCCAGTGAGCTCGGGCACCGTGACTCGGACACCAGCTGAAAAGCAGACATGCAGCCGTAACAGCGCTCAAGGCTCGGCAAACCAAGCCCGCCTCGCCCACCTTGCTCAGCCCATAGCCGAGGGAGAAGAAGGAAGTGAGCAAGCCCAGATCAGCCTCGGTCGCACGCTGCTCCTGTGATTGCACACGCCAAGAAGAATCAGATGGTCGCAAGCATAAATCAAGATCGACGGAGCACCCCGCGTTGACCCGCCACAAACCTGTAAAAGATCCAGCGCTGCCGCCGTGAGCGTTTTGCGCAAAAAATAACATCCAGTGTAAGTCGTAAACATCACCAGCGCCGCGGCATGCGCTGGTTGCCATCGCCCTAATATACCCGCCGCCATGGCGTCACCAATCTCCTCACTGAAAAGAGACCACCACCGCCGCTGCCGCCGCCGTCACGATGATTCTAGCCACCGCCCCACCCGATCTCGCGCTCACGACCTGCTCGTCGTGATCCCCGTGCCACAACACACACTCGCACAAGAAAAAATTTGACCGAAATTTCCTCTCTCTCTCTCTCTCTCTCTCTCTCTCTCTCTAAATCTCTCTCAATCCCTCTCTAAATCCCTCTCTCTCTCTAAAAATATCTCTCTCACTCTCTTTTCTCGCGACTGCAAATTATCCATTGCGGGCCGGTCATTTGGCATGTGGATGCACCGTGGAATGCCAACCCCTCGTTCAATGAGACGACCAGATCCCTGATTCCTCGCCGTAGCCAAAACCATGCACCCGCTCAGCTAAAGGAATGATGTGCCTTGACTGAGCACATGACAGTGAAAAGGAGAATCATTCTCGAGACACGTTACGCGACAAAAGTTCCCATTGGATTATGTGGACCATGATAGGCAAGAAAGAGTCGGGGAGCCTCAGGCTCAAAGGACGAGAAGGTTTGCATGAGCGAGCAGATCGAGCAAATGACAAAACCAGGAAAACTGGAGTTTGGCAATGAGATCACAAACGCTACGCTTAGACGGCGTCGACCACGAGCTCCTCCGGAGCAGCAGCAGTGTCCACAACCACCTGGTCTCGCCGTCGATGGCGTGCTTGACCCTCCAGCAACATGAGCTCGTGGAAAACGGCTGTGATGGTTCAAGGCACATCACAAAGAATGAGTCGATCAAGCCAACTTGTAGGCCCTTGCCCGACCTGACCCTTAGCAGCTCGGCAAACGCTTTGTAAACAGACCGTCGTCGACTTGCACCAGCACGCCCAGTGGGTTTTGCTGCTTGTCCACAAACAGCTCGACCTATTTTTTTTTTTTTTTTTTGATCCATCCAAGAGCCAAAGCAAAGCACAGAATGGGGGCAAACAGGCCAGTAAAGTCACTCATGAGTGAGATCCCCCAGACGCGTGTGTTTGAGCGCCTCAAGCGGGTGGTCCCTCTTTCAGAACAGCTGGGCTAAGTCAAGAATCCAGCACATACATTGACTTCTTTCGAGGCCAAATTTTCGGTGGCGAAGAAAGGACTAAAGTCCCACAGTCGCATAATAAAGAGGAGGCAAGCATAGAACAAAAAGCCCAGCGCCGACACCATGATTTCAGCGATCCAAGTGTGCTCGGACAGAAACGAGGCCGAGATGGCTGCGAGCCAGCAAACCACGAGGCCGGATCAATGATGAGCTGCCATCAAAAATCCCGCACGTGCAGCCCAAGGATCACACTTAGGCCAGGACTCACAGATGATAACCCAGAGGATGCAGTAGGCCACAAAGAGCGCCCGCACACGCTATCAAGAAAACAAAACACCATCCAGCAAGGCCTCGTGATGAGAGACAGTGCGAGTACGAACGGCACCCGATGTACGGCCGGTAAAAAAACGAGGCAAGCCATCAGACTTACGCTCAGCATGCGCAGCTTGAGGTTCAACGGCAACAACAGGCGAGGGTGCACAGCCAGGTCCTGCGTGATGGCACGTGTGTGCGTGCCATGGTGAGCACAGGTCGTGGTGGCTGCAAAAGTTTTTCCTTCTTCTTTTTCTTAGGAAATGCAAAAAAAGCGTACTGCGAACAGTAACATAAGACGTACTTGATTCATCATGCCAATCAGATCAATGCGGCGGTGCTGGAGATAGATGAGGTTGGCGCCGCTTGCGCGAATCACAAAGACCACCATGATCACCGTCACGAGGACAATTAGAATCAAAAAGTAAGGATGAACAAAATGGCGCAAGAGGGCTAGGCCAAAGGAGCTGAGAGGAAGCGCTGCTCGCGACAAAGGGCAATGCATCACAGATGAGTGAGTGGGGCAAATGACAGAACAAAATGAGGCAAAGGGTGTCACCCTGGCCGGTTTTGCCAATCAGGGCCCCTGCCACAGACCATCCCAGACCGAGGCCAGAACTCACTCCAGATGTAGTTGCGGGATTGGCGTTCAATACTTTCATGGATAATATACCAGCTAGGATAGCAGACAAAAAAAAAAAAAAAAAAAAAAAAAAAAAAAAGGAAGTACACAGAATGAAGATAAACAACGCGCTGGAATAAAAGGAAGGCACGGATGCCTTAGAAAGCTCAGAGCTCGTACCCGGTGGAGAGACAGAGCACCACGAGGAAGAAGATGGCTTCGGCCAGGAATTGCAGGATCGTCTTGGCGTTGACCATGGCGACGGGGTCCGTACCTGAGAAGCCACGGACAAACCGACCCATGGGATTACCAAGAGCATGTGAGCAGCTTGAGAAAAGGCATGGCAAGAAACAATCAGAGACACAAGGTATGTGACCAACCGTGACTGGAGCGGTATGTCCAGATGTGATACTCGAGCACAAAGACCACCAAAAAGATGATCACGGGAAGGAAGATGAGCTGCGGGACCAGGGGAGCAGACAAGAAGCAAGGCATGATGAGTCAACCCCGCAGCCGGTGGACAGAAAATGGTCCGGCATGTTGTCGTCGAGGCAAGGCACGAAAGGATTGGGCGTAGACCCAGCAAAATTAAAACGGGATTGGAAAGAAAACAAATCGATGAAGAGATGCGGAGTTGACGCCACGCACCTTATGCATGGCATTAGAAAAGCGAAAGTAAATGGCCGTGTTGACAATGGCAAGGACGATGATGGCAGCCCAGAGAAAGGCAAAAACGCGGTAGACTTCCGGTAAGGGTATCTAGGACCAGGGTGGGCAATTGCAAAGCGAAGAAAAAATGAAAATCCTGTAGGCTCTGACACTGGGCTGCAGTTGGAGCGGATCAGATGTACTGACCTCGTCCCGGCTCAGCTGTTCGCCCCCAGGATTGATGGTTTCGAGCAGGTATTCGCAGGTGACAGGGGTGGCATCTGAGCCCTAGGATTGGAAGCATCGAAGATTAACAAGGATGAGCTCAACCGAACCGAGTCGATGGTGGTGGGCAACGGAAGATGGAGCCAAAAATAAAATGGGGGACAAGAAAAAAGCGCCTACCAGCCCAGGTGGACATTCCAAGAGCATAAAATTGTAGTAGCTATGTCGCCCCGGGCCGCCAAAGTGATCCGCGACCTCGTAACTGGTTGGAAGAGAAGGAAAGGTCAGGTGTGTGAGTTGTTGTCTGTTGAATGGGTCTGAGAAAATGCCAGGGCCTTGGGTGAGGCATGCTGGAGCAAGGCAGCACCCACGTGTTTGGTAAGGTTGGATGAGTCGAGTTTGGGAGGTAGACGGCGTAGGCCATCCGGTCAATGTCGGCACAGGTGACGCTAGGCCGCTCGCGAAGATCCCCGTACTGCTTTTGGGTGAGCCCAGCCAGATAGACGTGGCCCGGGCTGGCTGAGCAGTTGAGCCACAGATGCAGCTGACCACCTTCCTGGAAGCCAAAGAAGCGAGTACCTGCCATTGAAAAAGGGTCGAGGAGGAGGGAGTGAGAAACAACCATGAAACCGGTGGCACGGGGCACATTGAGTAGGTCGGCAACGGCGCAAGGACAGGTTCGGACCTGTGAGACCAGTGAAGCGGCCCTGAAAGGTGTCATGAAGGTCGGGCCTGAAGATGCCATCGTCAATGTAGGCGTGGGCAGGATGAGGGACCAGCAAAGCCAGCCAGACCAGGGTCATGCTCAAGCCGGCACCCAGCCGGAGCCCGCATTGGGCCATGCCGGCAACGTTGCCTTTGCACGGCCCAGAAAAGATCAACAGGGACCTGGAGGCCTAATTGCCGCCTGATCCAGCAGCAACAGCAAAGGGGAGAGAGAGAGGGAGAACCAAGTGGGGGAGGCAGAGACGGAGGCAGAGACGACGCCAAGGGATGGCGCTGCCGATTGATGATCGGAATGTTTTGGTGTTTCAATGTTCAATGGCGTTGCGCTGAGAACGGCAGGCTCGAGGCGACTTGAGGACAACCAGGACACCGACACGGGAAGATAGGTGTTGTTCCGATATCAGACTTCCGATTATATCCAATGGATAGCCTGTCTTGAGTCACCAGATGACTTGAGCAGCTCTGCGGCGGGCGGACGTGTGTCACTTGACCCTGCGCGCACAGAGAGAGAGAGAGGACGGGCGCGCAAACTGGAGAGATAGGGGGAGGCTGGCAAGGGAGTGGAAGAGGCATAGGATGAACTTGCGAACAGATTCAGAGATGTTGTCAGAACGAAATTATATCAAGGGGAGAATGTAGAGGGCGAAGAAGAGAAGGTGGGTAGGATGAAGTGAGAATCAGAGATAGGGACGGGAATGAGGATTAAGGTCAGAGAGACAGGGCTGCAAGAGAGATGGCTGACAACGACAAGGAGAGCAGAGAGGAGACGCAACGAGAGGACTTCGTTCAGAGAGCAGGGCACAGGGCGCGATAAGGCACAAGCTTAGAGGCAAGGTAATACAAGAGATGGTGCTGCTGCTAGGCAGACAGCTGAGAGAGACAGCCAGTGAGGGTTGTGGGTTAGGTGTGTAAGGTTCAAATCAATTTTGGAGAGTGTATATCCCAATTTAGAGGATAATAAAGTGTTTTACTTTTCACAATGGTGTTTAAAGTCGGGTGTCAGTTCCAGTTACCGATGCCAGATAAGAGAGCCAAAATGTTATTTTAGAGGGACAGTTTCCTCTTGTGGTCAGTCGCGCGCTTCTCTCTCTCTCTCTCTTAAAAAAAAAAAAAAAAAAAACGGCAGCCCCCGAGCACCAGCGCCTCGTCGCCCGCTTGCTATTCTCAGCTCTGGCTTTTTGGCTTGATTTAAATGCATTTCATCACTTTTGGCTACTTGCCATCTGCTCCTCTCGCGGCCAACTCAACAGTGTCTCGTACACGACCTTTTTTGGCCCTGCTCATTGGACTCACTCACCACCCGCCTGCTCCTCACCCCGTTTCGCCTGCCCATGCGAGTGCAGACTGGATTCCAAGTTGCTTTCCATTGTTGGAGCAGCAAAAGAGCCTGCTTCGCAGTCACGTTGGCTTGATATCCCGTCACAGCAACTCTCCCTCTGTCCCTCTGCCTCTCTCTCTCCCTCTCTCAGAATTCGAGCTTGTCTTGTTCGTACACCAGCTGCTGCTGTCAACACGCTTCGGGCTTGTTTCCCCTCTGGGCAACCGTCAGGATGGCCAAACGCACACCGAGCGAGCAGATGAGCGCTGATAACAGCGTTCAAGAATACAAGACTTTTCTCGTCCGCCAAGGCACCAACACGGGTGCCTTTGCCCTGGCCAAATCATGCACCATCCTTCTTCGTAACATTGTCGCCATGCACAAATGGTCGACCGCCAAGTACGCCAGCTCCCGCCTGCCCAGCCTTTTTTCCTTGCTCCCACAGGCTCGAGTGAATCCAAACCCCTCAAAGTTGGCCATGTCTTCACCATCCCCTCACACCTTGATCCGTCGCAGGGACCTCATGGCCCTCATTCGCGCTGCGGGCAAGGAACTCGACGATGCTCGCGCAGGAGGTGCGTCCCGATTATCCTCGGCTCGCTCTTGGCATCCTATACAGCCCCGCAAAGCCTCGCCCATTCACATTTTCCCCATCTACCGTTTAGAATCAGCCGTGGGCAACATGATCAAGCGCGTCCTGCGTCTGGTGCGCGAAGCTTATGCACAGTACGTGAGCCTTGACCCCTTGATCGCCATGAACAGAGGCACAGTCAACCTCATTCTGGGCCTCTCTTGACGCGTCACGATTATCTCCTAGATGCGTCCGCGAGGAAAAGGGTGCTGGTGTCGAGACCATGGCCTCGCTTCATGTATGAACGGTTGCCCACTTGCCCATCCTGCCATCTGCCTGCTTGCATTGTCTGACCGCCACTGGCTTCTTCCTTCTTCCCCCATAGAACATGTTGGTCTCGCGTGACAGTCGGGCCGACTATGACCATCCTTTTAAGAGCCTCAAGTCCAATGTCATTGTGAGCATTGGTGAACTCTTGGAAGACCTTGAAATGGCTGCCAAGGACATTGCCGAACAGGTGCTCGCCCTTGCCCAGCAAACCCAAACCTCGTCGTGCGCTCCCGTGCTCACATTCTCTGACTCCGCCCGAGCGCGCGTTTTACTCATGAACCAACACACGCCCGCACGCTTGTGCCTGTGTCCGCGATAGGCCAAAGACCACATCCACGCCGACGAGGTGATCATGACATTGGGCCACTCCCACACGGTAGAGGCCTTTCTCAAGGAAGCCTCCAACTCTCGAAGCTTCCACGTCATTGTGGCCGAGGGCGCACCCCAGTACCAAGGCCAGCAAATGGCCATGAACCTTGGCAAGGCTGGCATCGAAACCACCCTCATCACCGATTCCGCCATCTATGCCATTATGTCTCGCGTCAACAAGGTGCCCTCACGCCGCTCCCCCCCCACAGGTCACGCTTGTCTGCCTCGCGCTGCTCATCTGCTGCCTGCGCCCCCGCTTTCACCGCGCACAGGTCATCATTGGCACTGCTGGCGTTATGGCTGATGGCGGTCTGATGGCCATGAGCGGCTCGCATGCACTTTGCATGGCTGCCAAGCACCACTCGGTTCCCGTCCTGGTTTGCTCGGCCATGTTCAAGCTCTGCCCCAAATACTTGTGCTCGTACGATCAAGACGCCTTCAACAACCTCGGCTCACCGGCAAGCATCTTTGATCACAGCGGCGGTTCGTGCGCATTTACTCCGCCCGCGCCCATCTGTTCCTTTCCTGAACCTAACCAACGTTCGTTGCCAATTCTGACCTTCTGTCTCGACTCTAGGTGATCTGATTGATAAGATCAGCGTGGTCACACCCTTGTATGACTACGTGCCGCCAGACCTCGTCACACTCTTTATTTCCAACCTGTACGTTTGAAGCGATTTTGTAGGCATGCTGTCTCGTGCACAGCGCACCCGAGTCGACAACCCCATCTCGCTTGATCCTCACGGCCCGACGACCCGTCTCTAGGGGTGGCAATGCGCCGTCATATGTGTACCGATTGCTGAGCGAGTACTACCATGAGGATGATTACGAGCTCTAAGCACGTCTCGATTGTTCTCTCCCCCTTTGTCCCCCGCTCTTTTCCCCTCGCTTTGACCTCGGATCTAGCCACCCTGCTTCACCTCCCGACTTTTTTGGGTTCTGCTTCTATTCTCTTTTGCGCGCCTTCCTTCAGTGCCACTTACTTGGCAACTCGCCGAGGGCAGCGCCCTTGACAATTCAATCTCTTACACGGTTTCTTCTCGGTTTCCTCCACAGTTTCCTCCACGATTTCTTACACAGTTCCTTACACAGTTGACAGCTGTTCAGTGGATCAATTGTGCTGCATGCGGTGGGCCCCCGGTCCGCCAGCTAGTTGACTGGGTCGCGTTGAAAGACATTCAACTGGCTGGCCAAAAGTTTTCGAATAAAAGGCAAGCTATCCAGCAGTGCAACATGGGCAGCCCGCCCAATCGTGGAGGCCAGAGACGCCCCTGCTGGCTTGAAGGTCACCTGAATTCGAAGCAAGCGCACACGTGCCGAGGCAATCAGTGCTCCCATCAGGTTGCGACGCATGCGATCATAAGCTGGCCCAATGCGACCATCGCGCTCCGCACGACGATCTGGAAGCAACAAGGCTGAAGTCGTCGGCACGTAACCGTCCTGCGGTGATGCAACCAATACCACGTAGGCAAAGTGCCGTAGCGCTGTATCCTCACTCAACTTATACACCCGTGTCTGCGTGGCGTCGGGATGATCTTTCAGCTCCAGCTGGGGGATACTGGTGCTGCGAGTGAAGCGCGAGAGAAGCCACATGCCCGCACCCACCAGTCCCCCGAGATGTGCCACACCGAGATGAGGGCCAGCCAGCGAAAGAAACAGCTGTAGTCGAGGCTTGGCGCTGGGCGCACTCTTGTCCTCTCCGAGAGCAAAGAGCGCCTGAGCCTGAGGTAATTGGAGCATGGTACGAGCTACCAATGTACCCAGAGAGTGACAAAGGAAGCTGACGTGGGTGGGCTTATGCCGCAGCAAGGCACGCTCCACTTGCTCCAACAAGGAGAGTCCCAGTTCGTCCAGTGAAGCATGTGTCTGCCCATCAACCGACCCCATGCTGGCCATGTGAAAGTGGGCTTTGGGAAAGTGGCGGCTCAACTCGAGCCGATACAGACGCAGGTCATACTCATTTCCACCCAGTCCGTGCACACCCACAAACAGCAAGCCCTGGCCATCGTCTCGATCGAGGTCAGCATTTGCCCCGAGCCGATCCACGGCAAACCCTTGCAAGCACTCCAGATCATCGCGTAACTGACGCCCGCGTCCACGCCGTGCACTTGATGAGGGCGGCGGCGAGATACCTCGGAGCGGGGTGCTGCAGGCAAACACGGGCAAGCACGACGTGGCCATCGCACTCACGACCTCTGGGCCAGATGCAGTAAAGACTTCGTCATCGGCCATGCCCACGGAGCTGGAAGAGTGGCGGTCAGTGCGCCGAGATGCTACGCCGCCTTCACCTACGGCTGGAGACAGGGCCTCTGAGGTGGAAGCAAGAGCCTGATGTAGCTCCTGACTGGTCAGAGAGGCGTGAAGGGAGCTGGCCTGTGAAGTGCGCGAGCTGCGCCGGCTCCGAGCAGGACGCAGTGGTACCAAGCTCAGTTCTTGAATGAAGATAAAGGGTCCATCGCTGGGGTGGAGGGGCGGGTCTTTCAGCGTGAAAAACTGTGGGCCCGCAAGGCGTCAACGCAGAAGAGACGTTGAGGATGAGCGAGGCGACTCATTTTTCTCGCACAGAATCAAATGGAGATGGGAAGGACGGCGCCAACCTCATGACGGGGCGGGTCATTTTCAAAGTTCTGGGCACGTCGTAGCGCCTGTGACCACGTCAGAGGGGGCCGATCGGCAATGCAGCCTGCAGGGTGCGTGTCACAAGGCACCATGAGTTTAGAGAGCCATGTCCACAATTCAGGTGGAATGTGACGGGGTCGTGCTGGTAGGAGAGAAACCGGGTAACATTGTCATGGCAGCGCGCGGAAAGGGAGGGTAGACACTACGAATTTACAAACCATCATCGGTAATGGATGCGTGTCCCAAGCGGTGAGGCGCAAAGAAGCAGCCCTTGCGAAGCCAGCGCAAAGTCAGCAGCTCAAGTTCGCGGCAGAGATAGGTAAAGGAGTGGTTGTTGAATGCGACTTGGGCAATAAACTCATGCCAGCGCTGTTGAACTTGTCGGACCGCGGAGAGCAGCGCCCGAACGACGTTTTCAGCAAGCTCGGGGCCGAGAGCCCCGGTTTGAAGTTCAGGATGTTGGTGGGTGAGAGTGCTGAGGTCAAGGGTGACGTCGTCGACGTTGACTTCGTCCTGGCAGACAACAAGAAGGTCGACAAGCTGACCGCCACCCAAGTTCAAATGCTGTAGTACGCCCTTGTAAAGCATGCGGGCGCGACGATGCGGCGCCTCCCACGACACGTCCGACTGACTGGTGCCTGATTGAGGGTTAATTTTTACAGCGTGAGTTGCCAAGGTGAGATGAAAGGCTCATAAGGGGAGGATGGGGGCGGGGTGCTGATGGACGGTCAGCACTGACTGTTGGTCTCGGTGGGGGTACCCTCGGCGATTCCAAGAAGTTGGCTGAGTGACTGCGACCAAGAAACGGTCCGCCTGGGCTGGGGCGGGGAGAAGGGCATGGTTTCTTGAACAGGAAGCGAAGGGAAGAAAGACAAGGTTAGCCGTGGGATGAAGGTGAGCAGGCGGACGGCAAGCCGGCACAGCACAACTGGGCGCTCGCCAGGGCCATTTGTTAGAAGAGAGGATCACCAAACGCACCAAAGTACGACTGGACGGCGTGCTGAAGGACCAGTTCCTGGGTTTGGTCAGGCAATATGGGTAGGATATCTCGCTCGGGGGTTAGATCATAGGTGGTGAGCCCCAACAGATAGGCGTGAACCTGAGAAGAAGGTAAAGGAGGACAAGCGTCAGGGTTGGGTTTCAGTGCTCAAAAGCAAGAAAGGGCTGGGATTGCACCTGCGTGTCGATGCTTGCGGTGTGAAGATAGTCAAAAGTCAGGGCTTGAGCCCAGGCTCGTCGGCGGCAGTGAGCACCGTGGATGACGAGTGTGTGGGATGCAACGGCTTTGAGGGCCAGCGGGTCCTCCTCATGAAAGAGTAACTCATAGGTCACAGTGGCCACACCCTGATTGAAGAGAAGCGGGACGGGAAAGCACAAAGCAAGGGTCAGAGCAAGGAACAGAATTAGCCAGACCTCTTCAAAGCTGTTGGGCCCGGCTCTGAGGTGGGGATGTGCACGTTGAGGAGGGTGTGCCTTGAAGGCGGACCTGCGGTGAGTCATAGAGACGGTAGGGTAGGACGAGATCGATGGTAGCAGCCGTGTCTAGGTGGCAGGCTTCTTTGCTGTACCTATTAGAGGGGGGGGAGATTCCGTTTCAGCAGGAGAGATGAGACACAACAGCCACGGAGATCGAAGCAGCGGTGAGCTGTCAGTGGGGGTCAGGGAGGCAGTCTTGTTGTTGGGGCCTGAGGTGGTACGCGTGAGGAGAGGGGAGAAGCAGACCGGATGTAGGTGGTTTTGGTCAGTAAGACCACGCGGCGGTCCAGACATTGGACCTCGCCATATCCAAGAAAGCGACCTGACAAGCATTGATGGCGGCATGTGATGGGCGTTGTGAGCGTGAACACACAAGTCTGTCTGGTACGATGGGCATGGGCGATGGGGCCATGGTCGGGGGTGGCACTGACGAACCGTTGCCATAAAGGTCGCCATTGGCGATTTGGCGCTGGGAATGAATGGACGAGGCGCAATGGACAACGGCGCGCTTGTGGGTGGGCCGCAACGTGCATCGCACGGCATAGTGGCCCTTCTCAAACAGGTCCACGTTGAGGAAGCGCCCCAGCTCGAGGTACACCCCGACCTGCGCGAGCAGGTCATCCATCTCGACCTAACCGCGTCAAGCCAGCCAGAGCAACAGCCAAACAACGCCGATCCAGACCCAAGCCTCCCCACCCCACACTCCCGAGCCACCACCACAAAACAGCCCCTCCCCGCCAGCGCCCCGCCCTCGCGTCCTCTTGACAACGCCGCCCCCGACATCCAGCAGCAGCAGCGCGCTCTCTCTCTCTCTCTCTCAAAATCTCAAAATCTCAAAATCTCTCTCTCTCTCTCTCACAAAATCTCACACACACACACACACACACACACACACACACACACACACTCGAAAGACCGAAAAAAATTAAACTTTTAAACATCTGATTTGAATTTTCAACTGTTTCCTTTTAAAGAAAAGCTTGAGTAGATTTAAACTTTAGTATACCAATGTTATGAATTAAATTGATTGTGAAGGCCGATGTCAAAGTTTAACATCCATGCATGATTCAAATGTTAAAAGCTTTTGCCCGGAGGCGGTCCTCGACTCCTTCTGGCGCTGCTACCGAGCTGCCCCTCCCCTCCCTCACCCCTGGATGCCCCAACAGCGGCTGAAGAAGCGTCACACACACACACACACACACACACACACACACACACACACACACACAGACTAAACTTGTTGTTCTCTTTTGCGTATGGATGCATAGAATACGACGATTTATAAGAAGATGTAGTTTTCAACGTTACATCTGTGTTAGTTTGTGTAGATCAAAGTCGACTATTTGTTGGAGATTTCGTACTCGACCATCAACGTGCGTGAAACACGAGAGAGAGAGAGAGAGAGAGAGATCGCGCGCGACTCGAACACCGTGCTGCCCCTCATGCCCTCCCCCGCCTGCTTCCCCCCGCCTCCCCCGCTTCCCCCACTGCTCTTCATTCTGAGCGCAGGGCTTGTTGGTGTGAGAGGATTGAGGATCGAGGTGGAAAGGCCAAGCCCTGTCAAACCGTGCTCTCCAATTTTGATCTTCTTCTCGTGATAGACTTGAGCGAGCCTGGGGTGGTCCGTGTGCGCTTTGCGTTGCTTGAGCAAAGCTTGCTGACGGCGGCCGAGTTCAAGTGACCAAATCAACCCACCACAACCCACCACCATGACGGGCGACGACTTTCTCGAGCGTCTGCAGCACGATGTCAAGGCCTTTGGTCACAAAACTATTGGCTATTTTGCCGGCATCGCCCTCTTGATGTAAGGACCCCCCACCCGCCTTCGCTCCACCGCTGTACTTGATGCAGCTCATGTCAGCTTTGATGCCGCTTCGGGCTCCATAGCAATAACATCACTGGGCCAGGTGTGCCCAGCCTGGCCAACATGTTTGCTGAATCGGGTTGGCTCATCCCCACCTTGGTCTTCCTTGCCGTATGGCTCATGTCAAGTGCGACCCGCCTCCCATCTCTCCGCCTTTGCCCTCTGCCCCTGACCCGATCCGTTGTGGTCGTTGACATGCGAGCCTGCCCTCATATCGCCCCGCCCCACGTCTGATTGAATCCGTCCCAACTTCCCTCCCCTCAGGCATCTCGACCACCATGTACTGCGAGGCCATGCGTCGCATTCCCCACAACGAACACTTTCGCCAACGCGTCGAATACACCTCGGTTGTCAAATACTACTTTGGTACCAAGTGAGTGGTTTGGTTTGGGGCTCACACTCCCATCTTCCGCGCCACAATCCGCCCGCACTCCCACGCTCCGACCCCACGGCTCATCGCGCTCGGAACATTTCAGGGCATACGTCGCAGCACAGATTGGTCTCTCGGGTGCCCTTCAATCTCTCAACATCATCAGCGTTGTACAATCGGCGCAGGTCGAGTTTTCCTCCTCCTCCTTCTTTCCCCCTTTATTTATTGCGCACACCCTCCTAGTCCTTCACCCTCTGGCAGCCCGCATGTTCATCCCAGTCTCGAGGCCTGCCTACCTCTTTTTCTGCTGACCGGATAGGTAATGGATAATGCCATCTCTGCCATCTTTCACAAGAGCTGCGGCCTCAATCTCAGTCCCTTTCCCGTCCACTTTGCCAATGCCTCCCTACCCGCTGCCACCGAGGTCTGTATACCAGGTTGCAAGAGGGCGGCCCTCTTGTGTTGTTTCCCATGTTGTTGTTGTTGTTGTTGTTGTTGTTGTTGTTGTTGTTGTTGTTGTTTTATGAATCAAGTCCTCAAGCACCTCGAGCATTGTCGTGACAGTCCCATGCCACTCATTTGGCTGCTGCGCCCATTTCTTAGTTTTGGAGTTGCATCGACACGAACCATGTCGATGTCGACGGCAATGCCTGGGGCTGCCATGTCGTCCTGACCGCCGGCTATCTCTTTGCATTGCTCCTGACCGTGCCCATGGGCTACTTTAATCTGGATGACAACATGATTGTCCAGGTACGCGGGATCTCCGTTGCAGTTCTTGACGTGGCCTTGGAGTGTAAAGAACCCGCTACCGAGCAAGGCGCTTTGAAATGAGATTACAAATTGCTAATTCTCTTGCTCTTGGCCTTGCTTCATCCGCACGGATTCTGTGCGTTTGTGCGTGCTTTTTCAGGTGGTGGCGTTCGTCTTGACATTTGTCTGCTGGCTAATTTGGTTGGTGGGGTGCTTCTTCTCTCCACGCTTTGCCGAGGGCGAATGGCACTTGCCTGCGGTTGCGTCGGGTCATGCATGGACATCCCAGGCCGGTGTCATTGGAACCGTGCTGTTCAACTATGGATTTGTCACGGTACGATCATTGAGCCATGCTTGTAGTCATCGACTCTGCGCGGCCTGCGAATAATCTTATTCTGGGCGCTGGGTGTGTGATTGCTTGGAATCTCCAGACGGTACCATCTTTTATCAATGAGAAGAAGCCGCACGTGAGCGTCAACAAGGTCACATGGGTCGCCACCTTCATCTGCGTGGTGGTGTTTATGGTCATGGGACTGCCGGGGGCCTTTGCCTTTCGCCGGCACCTGGCAGGGCCTGCCACGGGTGTGTGCGAGGCAGATCCCACTGGCGCTAAATGCGCCAGCTCCCTCATGGACATTTTCACAACCGAGGGACTGGCACCGGCCGTGCTGAGCGAGAATCGGGTGGCTAGTGGCATAATGCAGACCTCGGTCTACCTGTTCCCGATTGTCGCCATCCTTTCCAGCATTCCCGTCTTCTCCATCGTCATCAAGTACAACATGCTCGAGAACGGCTTTTCAAAGGGCTTTAGTAGCTTCTGGGGTGTCATCTTTCCTTGGGTTGTGGCCTTGCCCTTGCTGTACCAACCCGATGCGCTGAACCAGTTTATCACCTTCTCCTCGCTCATCTTTGTCTCGTGTACGTAGCTCTGGCACGGCCAGACACGCACTTTTGGGTCCATTGTTTTTGTTTGAGGAGGGGGGGGTTCCGTTTGTTTGCTTTTTAACCGCATCACTCACCTGGCTCTTTGTGAACGGGTATTTCTTGGCAGTTACGGATTTCATCGTTCCATGGGCGTTGTACATGGTGTTGCAAAACAAGCATGACCATGCTCTCGATCAGAACTATGATGAGGACTGGAGCAACGACCATGACAACAACCTGTGCGCGGGCATTCAGGTAAGGATGGTGTGCTTTCGTTCGACTCCAGACGTGGCTTGCAAGATTGAGAATGTTTTGGGCTTGATCCGAGAGCTCATCTCGTCCCTGGCGGGGTGCAGGACGTGGAAGATGAGGAATCAGCTCTGCTACCGCTTACGAAGAAGGCGCCATTCTACATTGCGGAGCACTTTGCTCTGCCTCCTAGCTGGAATCTTTCAAGCAGTACGTTTGGCGCTCGTAACACGGTCCTTGGTCGCGCCTGAGCAGAGGCAGGCGCCATCATCTCATCCGTGCATGTCCTTGTTTTGGATCTCGGATCCGGGTGGTCTGCATTTCAATGTGCTTATGTAGGGTTCAAAATGTGGTTTTCTGGCTGTCTAGTCGTTATCATGGCGGGTGCATGTGTGGCTGGCACCATCCTCCAGATTCAAACCAGCGCCAGCTTGGAATGGGACTGTGGTACCGTAGGGAGTTGAAGGCCTCTGCCTCATTTTGCTAGCTTGACTGATGACGTGTGTTGCGTGAAATCGTACGCCTCGTGGCCCTGCTTTGGAGTGGGGAGCCTTTGCGACAGAGTGCCTTGTATCGCGCGTGCGACCCGATAGGAATTGATTTTTTCAACTTGCTTTTCCCGTGTCAGGCTCCAGCACGTCTGGAGGCCGGTTGTGCTCAAATGCGTGGAAGCACGAATTTGACGCTAACATCCCGTTCTCCCTCTCGTTCTCATTTTTGGCTTCTCATCTTTCGAAATGTGCCTCATTTGCACAAGAGGAGAGTTTGGTGGACGAGCACGAAGCCAACAGCAGTGCTTGAATTTTGTAACTTGGGTTGAACAGGATCCTCCAACTGCATCGCTGCAATCCCTATGCTCATCCGCAGATAAAATTTGTACAAAAAAGGCGGAGCCCCAGATGCGGGTACCATGAGTTCGAGTCACGACAACCGTTGGTGTGTGACTCTGTCGCAGAAAGGGCTCAAGTCCACCCTCGCTCGTCCGCACCACCTCGTCCCGAATCAATGCCTTTGCGCCTCGGCGTCTCGGCCTTCTTCCTATGGGAGCGGGGTTCGCTTACACTGGGAGTGGGACAGTCCTTGAAAGGGAAAAACAAGCCAATTTGATGTTTTATGCATAAACTATAAGGTTATTGACGAGATGAAATAAATTTATGTATCGATTTTGTGAAATGATGCTTTGTGTTTACTACACTAGTAATATAATAACGTTATCAAACGACATATTATTGAAGCAAGTGATGGACTTATCGTTGAAGAATCTAAAGTAGATGTAGATGATAACAACGTTATCGTTGTGTTTTGGTTTTGTGTGTGTGTGTGTGTTTTATTTTTTTATTTTTTTTTTGTGATCGAAAGGTCAGTGATCGTTGAGATCAGATTGCTTCGGCAGCGCGCATCAGAGTACAACGGCGGTACGGGGGCCTGGCTGGGGGTATGGATGGTGGAGGGTGTGTGGGACACGTGTTGGTGGCATGTTGTCTCGCCTGCTTGGCGCACACGTGTTTGCTTATTGGGCCGTCACACTTCTGCACCCAGCACCCCACCGTCCAGGCCCCGGCGCGTGCGCGTCTGCTCCGGACAGGGTCGACTCATTGCTTGTTTTTCTCAAGGGCTTGTGCCTGCCCCTCCTTTGTGCGCCCTAGTTGAGCACACCTGGAAAGAAAGGGGAGCGCGAGAAGCTGCCGCAAACATGGCCCGCATGCTCATCGGGCTCGCGATCGCCCTGATCGCCATCGAGGCACCATCAGCAGCAGCCGAGGTGCCTCAGGGATATTTCTACGTTGCCCTCAACAGTAACAACAACCTGTGCGTCCCAAGTAACGATCCCAATCTTGTCTTGTCCCATCCCCCTGCTACCCCTTATCCCCACTTTTATCTCAAAACCCTCAGGCTACTGCGTCACTGTGATTTTGAAGCCTTTGTTTGCAACGACGACCACACTGACGACTTTCATTGGCATTTGGCGCCGGCCCTCAACGGCAATGCTGGTGCGACGCTCAGCCCTCGCATGCACACTGAAACCCATCGCCTCCACTTTTGACTCACTTGCGCTCGTGTTGTTTAGATGCCGTGTCGATCGAATCCTACAATTATCCCGGTACCAGCTCATCACCATTTCTACCCCACAAACGATTGCGCGCCAGACTTGCCTCATGCGCACGGCTGCTCGCCATTGCATCTCACAGGCTACTATTTGGCCTTGTCGGAGCAACCCAACCGCCTTGGTGTCATCACTCACCCGGATCCGAGCGCCGCCTCCTTTGTGGTACAAACCTCTGCACCAGCCAGGCTGGCCAAAAAAACTCAAACCTTTATACCCCTCACCCCGACTTCAACTTGTTTGTCCACTGACCTTTCTGTTCCTGCCAACGTTGCCTTGTAGGTCAAAGCAGGGGGTGCCAACAATCAGTACTCTTTCCTAACGGGTGACGGTACTCAGGTCGTGGGCATCGATCACCAGCTTCAGGGCGGCTGTGCCTCAAAGTCCGTCAGCACACGTGCTCATCGCTGGTAGCGATAGTGGCAGAAACTGGCAGACACTAGCTCCACCACAGCATTTGTCATTCATACCCCGGTACTTGGGCATCCTGATTCTGTTGTGCTTAGATATGCGCTGCCCGAATCGGATGTGGTCCTACTCAACGCCAGCCAGGTCCTTGTTTTGCCCCTCCCTCCCCTGACGTGCCCGCACCGACTCAAACCGGTGGCTCATGTGCATTCACATGCTATGCTCATTGTGCTTGATATTCCAATGCAGGCAAGCAGCGACGCCACAACCTGGCTGCTCAAGCCCATGCCACTACCGGCCCCCGGCAATATCACCGTTGATTTTACCAACACCACAAAGCAAATCAATCCTCTCTTTCTGTGCGTCTCCGCCCCCATAACACGCAGCCACGCCATACCATGACACAGGCACACACGCACACATTCCCTCACTCGCTCGTCGAAACGGATCGACATCCTCGTGCCATCTGGACTACGTCAGGGGCTGTCATTCCGACACCGGGTACGTACACCAAGGTCGAGCCTTCTTCTCACAACTGCTCTATGGAGAATCCTTCGAAACCAACCTGCCAGAGAATTCGGCCTGGACGAGCACGTTTTTCGGTACGACCTGGCTTTGATTCTGGCCCTGTTGCTCTTTTGACATCATTCGCACTTTTGGTTATCAATTTTATCTCAGTCGTGTTCTCCTCATGAGACCACCCCTCGCGCCTGCTTGGCATATTGGTTGTGACTAGGTTTGACGCACTCCAACGTCAGCTTCGACGACTCGAGCAATCCTTTCCATGGCCGAAACTCCCTTCGCGTACGCTGGACACTCTTTTTGTTTGGCCACCTAGTTCATGCCATGCCTCTCGTGCACTCGCTCAAGCTTTTGCGGCCGGACTTTGATGATAGATTGATGTAGCCTCGGGCTCGGGCTTTGCTGGTGCCAGCAACCGCGCTCTTGGCAACGAAGGCCTGTACCTGGAAGCCGGTACGCTTTTACGAAGTGCACACAAGTGTGCGCCCGCCATGATTTATTAGAGTCGACGCCAGCGACAGCACCAACCTTTGTACACCCATTTGACGGTCTTCTCTGTTGTCCCCTGTTGTTTCCTTAGGTAAAACCTACGAGGGCTTTTTCTTTGCTCGCACCGACGGCAAGCCCATTAACGTTTCCATTCTGCTCCAAAACTATCTGGAAAACAACGTTCTGGGATACACCTCTGTCCTTGTGTCCGGTTCAACTTGGCAGCGCTACAACTACACGATCGTGGCCCAGCTCGGGGCTGCATGCCATGATGGAACCCACGCCGAAGGGGTAGGAATCCGCGCCTGCCAGGATAAACTTGGTGTTCTTGCCGCTTGCCATTTCTCTCGTCCCTTTCTTTGATTGGGTGCCATGTGCGCGTGCCAAACGTGTTCATTTGTGCGAGGGCTTTCTGTGTCGATCCGAGTGAGTATAGTGGGTTTGCGGGCCTATCAGTCCTTAATTGCGCTGGCTGTCCGCGAGAGATAGGTCAATTGTGGCAAGATGGGACCCGAATCACACGTTTGTGTGCAGTGTGAGGGTCAATTCTCAATCGGTGCGCTGTGACTGCTTTGGTCAATGTCATTGATTTGCACGCCTTTTTGTCCTCATGAACCTGGGCGGCTCCTAGGCCTGGAAATGCCTGGATCGGTGAACATTGATTATGTTGTGCTTCAACCCGGTGCTTGGGGCCGTTATGCTGATCTGCCTGTCCATCGGTCCGTCTTCTTTTTTTGCATCCTCCAGATGCATCAACCTGCCTTCTCCCCTTGCCTCTCACTTGTTCTTCTTGCTCGACGCAATAGCGGCCAAGTTGAGCTGCTTCAGTCGATCGGCATTTCGGCGATCCGCCAAGGGTAGGCTGCGGGAGGGTTCGTTGACCATCATGAATGCAGCCAAGGTGCCTGCACGTCCTCATCAGCTGGAAACATGCTCCGCGCCCTCCTCCAACCAACCACCTGCCCTCTTCACAGCGGCACATTTACAGATTCATCTTACTACTTTTGGAAGAACTGGCGAGGTCCGGCATGGGAGCGCCCTTCAGTTGGTGCGACCTGGGGCGACGAGCTCATCGGTGGTTGGGGGCCCTTTGAAATGATTGACATGTGCATGGCCGCCGGTATTGAGCCGATCATGACCACTACTGGTGCGTTTGCTCGACCTGGACATACTTGGCAAGCACCCCGCATCGGTTTAAGATGCTCGAGGAGGGATGGTTAAGCTCTAACGCGTCTGGCAAACACGTGTGCCTGTAGCTCAAGCATCTGATCCCGGGTGCTGTGCAGCCGATGACATGGCCGATCTCGTTGAGGTACGCCTCGGTCACTTGAACGCCCTCCATTGTCTTTTCGCCAGGTATTCTGTTATTGCCCCCAAAGACGACGGGCCTTGAGCACTTCATCTCAACTCTTTGCATGGGTGCGCATAGTATTGCTGGGGCGATAACACCACGACTTGGGGCAAGCAGCGCGAGGCTGACGGCCACCCCGAGCCGTACCGTGTCCACTTCTTCGAGCTTGGAAACGAGCAGTACAACTCGTTCTACCCAGATCAGGTGGGACACTGAGCCTCCAGGCGTTTGGACTTTGTGGAGTTGTATGGCCTAATTTGAATCTTAACAACAGGTGGCAGCCATGGAAGCACGGGCCAAAACGGTCGGCAAAGGCGGAGAACTCTACTACATGTTTCCCTGGAACTCTTGGCTTAATGTACGTTGACTCTGCTTGTCAGTTGCATGGCCAACAAGCCTTGCCTGGTGGGCAGCGCGTCTTGGCCACGCTCTGGCACGGCCACGAGCTTCGACCAATCGTCCTACTCACAGGGTGTAACCCATGTTTTCAGGACACGCAAGCGGCTCAGGTGGAGCAGCTGGGTTTGAAGGACCACGTTGTCAATGACATTCACATTGGGTGCGCTGTGAATCGTGACTTTGAGCCCCAAAAAGGCCGGCTCCATGCGGGCGCTTGGGGCTCATTCTCTTGTCTCACGTTTTGGTTCGGTGGGTTGCGTAGGGCGGGGGGTGCTGTCGAAACGGCACTCTCCGAGTTTGAGGCGCGACCTCAGTATTCGTGGGGCGCGGTGAATGCGGAAACGAATGCTGGTACCCATGACTTGCTTCGTGCTTTGGACGAGGCGGCAGACCTGAACGACTGGTTTAGCTGTGCCGAGCCTAATTGCCAGCGGTAAGGCAGCCGTGCTTGAAGGCTATCATTGGGCCGATGGCGGACGTGTATTCACAGCTGGACCGCGTCATGTGGGTGCTGGCCTGGGTAGCCTCAAATTTCGAACGGCCAGCTTTTGTAACGAGCGCTCGGGTCATTACGATAACTTTGACCAAGGTACGTGCCAGCGTCGTGCCTTTGGCCGGGGAGTAAAAGGAAGGTGCATCCACATGTGGCTCAATAACCGAGTGGTTGGTGGTTGGTGGGGCGGTGGCTTAGGCATTACCTTTTTTCTGCCAAACATGACATGGATCCAGCCTCCTGGCTACGTACATCAGATTATTAACCAGACCTTTATGGGGTCGGCCGTCAACGTACAGGCACAGCTGCCGACTGAGGCAAGCGTAAGCGCGCAGGTGTCGGCCGATGGCAAGGAGGGGGTGTTGCGCTTCACCAATCGGGCCAGCGTTCCGATTACCATGAACATTGACTTTGTCCAAGGCAAGCCGGCCGCCACGGTGAAGCAAACCATTTTGCGTGCGGGCCTCAACGGGGAGACGGCCAATGCACCCAGCAACCCAACGGCCGTTTCGCCTGATACGACCCAGGTATGTCATACAATCCTGGTCAACGGTCAAGGGAAAGCCTGAGACAAGTTTGAGAGAGGCCGCTAGATGGGCAGGCGTCACCTGATGACTTCTCGGTGTATAGGTGTCGATTGTTTGGGATGAAGGCGTCACGTTGGCGCCTCTCTCGTACACGGTTCTGGTGGTGAGCCTCTCTTAAAGGCGAGAAACCCGTGGTTGAGCCATGGCTTTGGGGTTGGAGGAGGCGGCTGCTTCTTCTGGCAAAGGATTATTGCTTTGCCAGGCGATTTGCAGATCCTTGACCCCTTGTGCCCGAGGTTTTGTGATATCTTATTATACTTGGTTTCTCTTCGTTTTTGCTGTTTTTCTCCTGCTTTTTTTGTTTTTTGTTTTTGTTTTTTGCGTTCGATGCTGCTGACGGCACTGGCGCGTGCGTCGCGGGCTTGGTCTTGGGACGGCGGGCCATGGGTGTGGTGGCATTGGTGTCCACGAGCGGTGCGCTGCGATACAACCACGCACTCGGAATTGAACGGGGCACTTTGTTCGATTATTGATCGGTGGGGCGCGCTATGCGGGACGAGTGGTAGCAGGGTTAAAATCAAAGGCAAGTGGGGGTTCAGACATCAGCGTGTCTCGTATGCGGATCGCTTTGCAACCTTTTTGACTATCAGCTATGTGGGGCAGGCATGATGCAGCTCTTCAGTTTGTGCGGCGTTTATTCTATCACAAGTTTGGCCCCCCATTGTAGACGATTCCAAAGTGAGAATGGGATAGAGACTGGCTAAAGACGAACATGATGACGACCACTTACGCGATCGACGGCATGCCCACTTGCGACAGTGACGTGCATGTCATCGTCGCTGTCATCGTCGTCCATTCGCCGGCGATTCTGTTCAGGCCATCCCGAAAAAAAAAAAAAAAAAAAAAAAAGGGAAAGGGAGTGTCAAGGGCTGATGGGGGTGGGTGCATGGGCGGGGCGGGAACTGACCGACGCGCGGGCCAGAGATGCTTGGTTGGAGGCCTGATCAACTCTAGAAAGGCAAGGGACGGGCACAATCGAGCAACGAGTGAGGGGAGGAGAGAGAGGAACTCATGTTTGTTGAATCAAGTGGACGTCAACGGCCACGCCACCGTCTTACGTGCGGACGTAGCGGGTGGCGTTGCTGGCCATGGACATCATCTGCGAGAGTTGCGAGTAGGCTGACGGCACCAGCAAGTATTGAGTGACTCGACGGATCTTCAAAACCCCGTGTTTGCATTTCCCTGTCCACCTTCGCCTCTTGAGAGATACCACATTGACATGCCATTCACACCAACATCCACACTCGCGCATCTGCGCCCCCCGCACGTGATATCCCACCTGCCCCGGAGCGAGGCGCCGACGCGGGCGCAGGTGCGGGCGGCTCCGACCCATCGGCCGTCACGTCCATCCCGTCGGTCCGAGTGCGTGCTTGTAACGGCGAGTAGTGGAAAACCACAGTCTCACTCCCTTCGTTTACTGTGATGAACAACAGGTGTTATGTTTGTGTGTTGTTCACTTGAATGGACACACGGCGTGACACGCGCGCCCCGAGAATGGTCGAGCCCTTCCTTCGGTGTGAGTGAGAGGATGAGAGAGAGAGAGAGAGTGAGAGTGAGTGTGTGTGCGCGTATGTGTGTGTATGTGTATGTGCCAGGGCGAGAGAATGAGGCGAGAGGGAGCCAGGGACAGGCGAGAGAGAGAGAGTGAGAGTGTGTGTATGTGTGTGTGTCGGAGAAGAGAGAGGAGGTAGGGATGATTGGGCAACATGCCTTTGAACTTCTTTCAGATGTCAGTTGACATGTTTTCACCCTCTCTCTCTCTCTGAATTCAATCTCTCATCAGTCTTTATCTCTGTCTCTGACTCTCTTTCCCTCTATCTCTCTCTTTATTCTTTTGTCTCTCTCTGTCTTTTCAACGGGTGTATCCCTCTGTCTCTGCCGTTGTTACTGTCTCTGTCTCTGTCTCTGTCAATGCCCCCATCTCTGCTTTTGTCTCTGTCACACACACACACACACACACACACACACACACACACACACACATTTTTTTTTTTTTTTTGGTTCTTGAAACGGCAGCGGCGAACGGCTGCGCCTTTGGGTCAGTGTGCAATGTGCCATGATAGCTGGGTATCAAGATCAATCAAATGGAACACTCGCTCGCTTTTCATTCCTCACCTTTGTTTGGTGTGTGCTGGACGTAGAGACCCATCAGGATGGAGCCGGGCCAGATTGACCCCGAGCAGCAGGGCAATGTCCATCGTGGGGGCAAGGCTGAACCAGCCGACATCATCCATGATACCCATTTCATCCATGAGCCCTGCGTCTCTGACCCCCAGTCTCCCCTTCTCGCTGAAAAACTCGCCGTTGGTTCGTACCTCGTCGTCCTGCAGGGTGACGGGATTACCACCACCACCACCACCACCACCAGCAGCAGGCAACCGTCTGCTCTGACGACGATTTGACTTCCTGCTTCCCTTCCCCGAGCTCAACAACTCACTCACTGACACGGGCCCTCGTCTACCCATTCACATAGTCATGGTGGGCCTGCCAGCCCGCGGTAAAACTTACATTGCCACCAAATTGGCCTACTACCTCAACTGGGTCATGCTCAAGACGCGCGGTACGTGTGGTCACCTTGACCAGATCTCTCTCTCTCTCTCTCTCTCTCTCTCTCTCTCTCTCTCTCTCTCTCTCTCATGATCAACCTGATCCTGACTGCCATGCCTTTGCTTGCGGTGTTGCGGGACTGCTGGTTTACCCATGTTGCAGTCTTCAACCTGGGTCGTTACCGGCGCGAAAAGTATGGACCCCAGTCCCCGGCCATGTTCTTTCACCCCAACAACACTGCCGGTGTTGAACAGCGCCGGTATGTCGAAGCTGCCCACTTGCATGCGAGGCCTCGTGTCCTTGATGCTTTTGCCGACGCACAAACGCATACACACACATTGTCGTTAAAGCAGCCGACCCCAGGTCGGGGCAGACGGCCGACTGGCGCAATGACGCCCCACTCACCAAATCTCGACGGGCCTGCAATGCGACCCTAGTCTCCTGGCCTTGGAGGCCATAGATGACGTCATGGAGTGGCTCAAGAGCGGCGGCGTGTGTGCCGTACGTACATTTGCTTCATCACACCACAATGCTGATGCACTCTGCTTGCTCCTCCGTTTCTCCGCGCACCCCTCACTCATACCCTCTTCTCTCTGCCTGCCTCCTTTACCGGATTGGGACTATATCAAGGTCTTTGACGCCACCAACAGCGCACGCGAGCGACGCATGATGATCTTCCGAGAGCTCACGCAGCGCGGTGTGCCCGTGTTCTTTGTCGAGTCGGTCTGCAACGATGACGATCAGATCACCCGTAACATCATGGTGCGTCCTTCTTCGCAGCGACACCCCCACACTCTTGAGTACGCCCACTCATCCGCGCTTTGTTCATGAATCACATCAATTGCTGGTCCGGCAGCAAGTCAAGGTGGGCCTGCCTGACTACATGTCGTCCACAGTCGAAGCAGCGGTCAGCGACTTTAAAGAGCGCATCGACTACTACAAGATGCTCTATGAGCCCCTGCACGTGGATGTCGATCGAGCCCTCAGCTTCATCAAGCTGGTTGACGTCGGCCGCTACTTTCTCGTTCACCGCTGCGAAGGATATCTGCAGATGCGCATCAGCCGGTCAGTCAAGCTTGGTTCTTGACTTTTTTTTTTTTTTTTTTTTCAAATGAAGAAAAGGCACTTCTTGAATGCCGTCTTGCAGATCGCCGTGCTTATGCCTTGCTTTTGTTCCAGCTTTTTGATGAACATCCACATTGAAAAGCGACACATCTACATCTCACGCCACGGCGAGAGCATGTACAATACCAAAGGTGCGTTAATTTGTTTGAATCTTTTGGCTACGTCATGTGTCTTTGTTTTTGTTTTTGTTTTCGCGAACAAAACCTGGGTTCAGAAGGAGACGGCGAGACCATGATCAGAGTCTCCGTGAGCCCGCTGGCCCCGAGTAGAGGTCCAAGACTTATACACACATCATACTCGCCCTCGCCCTCCCCCTTTTTTTTTCTCCACCCGTATCCGCCAGGTTTGATCGGTGGTGATTCAGATCTGAGCCCGCGAGGCCGACTCTACGCTCGTCGCCTGCGCAACTTTATGGCCAAGTTTGTCTCATGGCGCAGCGATGGCGATGGCGATGGCGATGACACCAACGGGTTGCTCACAACAATCGTTTGCTAACGATGGCAGGGAGAAACTGGACAACCTTCGAGTGTGGTGCAGCTCCCTCAACCGCACCATTCAGACGGTGGAGCATTTTCGCTACAAGGAGGTCGGTAGCTCATGTCGTGTTTCGGATTGCCAGGACCCCAGCCTTGGCATTGAATCCGTGCAATGCGTTCAATCTCTTTGCTTGGCTGATGTTTTACCTGTACCATGGGTGGCCCTGCTTAGGCATGGAAGGCCTTGGATGAGCTGGACGCCGGCGAGTGCGACGGTTTGTCGTACGAGGAGACCAAGGAGCGCTTCCCGGAGATGTACAAGGAGCGCCAGGGCAACAAGTACTGGACCCGATACCCTCGTGGCGAGTCGTACGCCGACGTCGTCCAGCGACTGGAGCCCCGCATCATGGAGCTGGAGCGCATGCGCGTACGTTTCGCTTGAACCGTGTTGTCAACCAAGGGCCAAGCCTGCGGGCTTTCTTTCTTTCTTTCTTTCTTTCTTTCTTTCTTTCTTTCTTTCTTTCTTTCTTTCTTTCTTTCTTTCTTTCTTTCTTTCTTTTTTTTTTTTTTTTTTTTCTATTTTTGGCCTTGTCGGTGATTATGGCGTGTAGGACAACGTTCTGGTGGTGTGCCACCAAGCTGTGGCGCGATGCTTGTTAGCTTACTTTCAAAACATGTCGGACCTGGCTGACCAACTGCCATACCTGAAAATTCCCCTGCATACCGTCTTCAAGGTATGTGCAACTTATGTCGTGTTGACAGTCTCGGCTCTTGGTTTCGTCTGCCTGTGTGTACACAGCATGACTCGCTCTTGGTTGGAATCCTTGTTCTCGTGCTGCAACGGACGACCATCTCATCCACAGCGGCTGGCTTGTAGATTACGCCGATTCCATACGGCAACCGTATTGAGGTGTTTGATCTGGGCGTTGACGCGGTCGATACCCACGTGCCTCGCGACGAGTCGGCGTCCCCCAGCCAGACACAGGCCCCCCCACAGCCTGAGCTGGGCCAGCCACACGAAGGCTTCTTTGTGCCCGGGCCGCCAGAGGTGGAGGGTACGACGCAGGATGACCAAGCAGCACGCCGCGTCATGGACGTGCACTTTAGCCAACGCGAGCTGAGCGACATCACGCCTGCACCGCCATCACCATCGACGATTGGTCCTCCCGCCGCTGCAGCCGTATTAACGGCGGACACGTCCCAAGCAGGTGCCGCCGAGAAGCAAACGGCAGCAGGGACTGAGACCAAGGCCATCGACGATGATCTGGAGACGCTGTCCTCCTCACGGTTCGGAGCTCTGGCCGTGGACTCGTATGGCCCGGAGGCATCGGGTCCCTTGCCTGTGACCCTTTTGCGTGATTCCAAGGGATCGCGCTTGGATGAGAAGCGCCCCACCAACCTCAGCCTCAACGCGGATAGTCATCCGGGCACACCCGTCTTCAACTCGATTCTTGACGATGATGACGTACGACCATCGCTTGTTGTTTTGCCGTTTGCCTGTGTGGCCCTCCCTTTTTGTCCGAGTTGTTGTTGTTGTTGTTGTTGATGTTGTTGATGTTGATGTTGATGTTGTTGATGTTGTTGTTGTTGATGTTGTTGTTGTTGTGTTGGGGACGAGCTTCGCCCCCCGTTGAAAGGGTTTGAACCGAGCTCACAAGTTATGGTTTGAACTGGTTATAGGAATTGGGCCTAGATCATCCGACTTCTCCGCCCAATCGCCCCAGCCAGGTCAGTTACGGTTATACCTTGATTTCAGGTTTGACTAGTGCCCTTGTGCTCATACGCGGGGACCCCCTTTGCTGTGCCTTTTGGGACACGGGTAACCTACCTGTGCATTGACTGCAGGTCTTTGTCATGTCGTCGCGCGAGACCAAGCATGGCATCGTCAACGAGGTCTGTGTTGAAACATGGGCTTTTCGTCTGCCTTCTAGCTCCCGCCTCGTTTCGTTTCGTTTATTTATTTATTTTTTTGGAAGGGGGGGGGTTGTTATTTTTTCTCACCAGCTTGAACTCCCTTTACTTTGCGCTTGTAGGTTGTCAAGGGAGATCATTTGAATTAGGGGGGGGAATGGCTTGGCTCAGCCAACGCGTGTTGTGTCTGTGCCAAACCTGTATTGTATGTATCTGTAGTGTGTGTGTGGGAAGGGATTTTTCTTTCTTTCTTTGGCATTTCTTTGTGAGCCATCAATTGTGATTTTGCGCCTCTCTTTGCCATCTACGAAGGCTCTGCACTCTTGCTTGGTTTCTTGGAGCCTGCTTTGTCGAAAGACGAGGCAGTCCATTAGTGTAGACTGGCCATGACTGCGTTTCACGGCGACGGGCGGCGACAAAAGTTTTGAATGACCCCTTTAAAATAAAATTATTCACCCATAAGCCAGTGTATTTTGGTATCGTCTATATATGCTTTGCTTTGGTTACCTTTCAGTATCCTTCCGCAAGGGCAATTCGTGTATCTATGAGGTCCCATCCGATGGTCACGATATTGCTGATTGAAAACTTTCAGTCCGGTTACCCAGGAAGCGCCTAACGGCGCTTGCCTAATATTTGGGGGCGCTAAGCACGCCGTGCTTACTCTTTCTTCTTTCACAACTGAATTTCAACTGAACGTGATTGTCTCAAAACCTGCGAGAAGAGAGTGTGCTGAGTATGGTCACAGCTTCGAAGATGCCATCTTTGGTAGACACGGCAAGGGGAGGCTGGACGTCAAACAACAACGCGACGTGTTGGTCGTTTTTGGGTCTTTTTGGGTCGTGCCCTTACAAGCAATGTACATGTTGCGCGTCACCAACAACGATATTCGCGTAATCAATTAACCAAAGGGATTGGATGAAAACTACAAAAAGTAACATAAAGAATACAACATCCTAGTTTTTGCTGAAAATCAGAGAAACCAATGGTGTGTAAAGTCAATTTGATTACGAGGATATGCTACCTGTTGTTGTAGCTGTCGTGTGTGGCAGTTCTCGCAGCTACCAACTGTGAGAACCACTTGGTGTGTGTGCCACTCACTAATTCTCGAGACTGTCTCTGACTGTCTGTCTCTCTGAAAACTCCTTCTATCCCTCTGTATCTCTGCTATGCAATTCTCTCACACTGTAAACCAATTCAGTTCTGTCTCTGTTTTTCTTTGTCTCTCTCTGTCTGTCTGTCTCTGTCTCTGTCTCTGACTCTGTCTCTCTCTGTCTCTGCTTTGTCAACCAATTCATCACACACACACACTCTCTCTCTCTTTCTCTCTCTTTTCTCAGAAGAAGAAGAAGATTCAAAGGTGCGCATGCATGTGCCCGAGCACAAAATGAACAAATGGCAGTGCTGGTGCAGATGGCGGAATTGTTTGAGGGGGGACGGGCTTTTGGTCGTCTGGCATTGACCTCAATGCTACATTTATCTGCGTGGGTGTAGGGGCTGTGCGACTGTTGGCTGCTGCCAGAGATATCCGAGTGTTGTCGTCGACGTCGACGTCGACGACCGCTTGCATGTGAGTGCCGGCAGCGTTTCCCACCACTGTCTCAAGCCGCACCTCGGTTGTTGCGTGCTTTGCGTTTGCTACCAGCAGTGCTACTGCCTTATCTCACCAAATGTTGTTGTTGTCTTTGTCAGTGCCCCCTTTGGCGTGGGACGTGATTTTTCCATCTGCTCTTGCTTTCTTTTTTTTTTTTTTTTTTTTTTTTTTTTTTTCTGCTGCGGTCCAGAATTTGCTCGCACGCGTCGCAAGCAGCCGTGCGCCCGTGCTAGCCAAGGCAACTCCTTTCTTTTGCCTCTGTGCGCCACGCACCGCGTCATGGCTGCCCCAAAGGCCGACGACCCGGACACGGGGTGTGCCAAGGCTGAGGCACTCAAGGAAGAGGGCAATGCCGCCATGCGCCGCGAGGACTTTGAGGGCGCCATTGGCAAGTATACCCAAGCCATCGACCTCTGTGCCAAGCGCGAATACTACACCAACCGCTCTCATGCCTATTTAAAGGAGGGCGATGCAGATGCCGCCCTCGCCGATGCCCAGCACGCCCGCCTGCTTGACCCCCAGTTTTGGCGCGCTCACCAAAGGGTCGCCGCGGCCCTGGAACAGAAGCAACAGCTTCACCAGGCCCGCGAAGCCTACCTCAAGGCCTTGGAACTCAGGCCTGACTGCCGTGACCTCAAACTGTGTCTCAGCGCCGTTGAACGCCGTTGTGCTCAGGACGATGCTGCTGCTGCCACTGCCACGCATGCTTCCGCCGCCACAAACTCAAATACTGGCTCCGGCTCCGGCTCCGGCACAACTGCTGACTCCGGTGCTGCCGCTGCCAACACCAACGCCACCGCCGGCTCGGGCCCAATGACGTCAGAAAAAGCCGGAGCTAATGGGGACACCGGTGCCATCAAGCGCGCCGCCACCCCGACGCCACAGTCACCCAAAGCCGGGGGCTCGGGCAGCGCTCCCGCAACACCCTTTTCTGCCAGTGGCGATGCAGGGGGCCCTGCCGCGCCCGCACCCAAGCGCGCGCGCAGCACCGCCCCGACCCCGGCCAAAGATGGCCCCAGCCCCAGCTCAACTCCTGGCTCCTCAGACTCAAACGCGCGCATCGCCAATGACCTCATTGCTGCGCTTGCCAATGGCACCACACCTTCATTTGGCATCATCCCATTTGGTCCAGACGGCCAGCCAACCTCCAACTTTTCTCAGGACCAGCTGCAAAACCTTCTCATGTCTTTGTTTCAGCAAGGCAGCCAGCCCAACGGTAGTCCATCACCCACAGACCAGCACAGACGCAGCCACAAAGCACGCGATGGCTCGGGCCGGAGTGATCGTCAGCCCCCGCCTTGGTAAGCCCTCCCCATCTGCTCTTCCCCCTCCCACAACGTGGTCAAAAAGAATTTTCTTGGGCATGCACTTACCAGCCCCAACCCGCAACCTCCCCCCCCCCCCGCATTGGAAAGGTGGTGCCGTGGCATCGTTGTCATTCCCTGGACCCTCTTTGGGCGAGGTGGACCCGGATGCCTTTAGCCCGTCCCGGACAGACAGTTCCAATCCAGAGGCCATGAACTGGCAGCTACTCTTCTCTACCATCAACCGCTGTCTTGCCGAATTGCGCCAGGGCAAGGCGCGTCTTCAACAGCTTCATCGCTCTCGCTCGCGCCAAAGCTCGCCGGCTGCTGCTGCCCGCTCTTCGAACATCCGCCCGGCCCCCATTTTTCCGCTTGACCCTTCCCTCACATCGATAAAGAGTGGCACTGGGCACGAGGATGGCTCTGACAATGGCGCACGGCGCAAGAGTGGTGCTGGTTCGAGCGCTTCCAAGGCGCGGCCCCACTCTAGTCTGCGCTCCGCTGAGGGCGCAGTCACAGCGCCGAGCTCATCGGATAGCGCGGCCACTCATACCCGGGTGAGCTTGCCGTCTCTGTGCTGGGATGATAGTCACGTGCGCGCAGCTTGGGACTGCTGCGTGACCGCGCCGACCCCTCATGCGCGGGCGCTGGACGAGCTCCGATACCCTCTCCACCCCCACATCGTCAGTGCGCTCCGGGGTGCACTTGCAGTGCGTGTCCTCTGTCCAGAGGCCCTGACCAACCTGCACCTCGGCGATCGAACCAGTGAGGCTGTGCGGCTCCACCGCAACGGTCAGACCCAGGGTTCGACACAGTCTCTGGAAGACGCTTTGGCCGAGGCCGTGGCCAGCACGGCCGAGGCCCGTCTAGTTTCGATCACCGCCGAGCGCCTTAGCGAGGTGTCCACGAGTTGTAGCGTCAGTCAACCCACGGCCTGGGCCTGCTTGCTCAACAAGCTGGCTGCTGACAAAAAGCCCACGGTTCTCTACTTCCGGGCAGCTCGTGAGGAGGACTCGCTGGAGTGGCTCGAGGCCGATAAGCGCCTGCTCGAGCCCCTTTGCGCCTTCATGCAGCTTCGTGACACTCGCACGCTGCTGTTGATTGGCAGCTTTGGCTTTGCAGAGGCTGGGGGATCGCATCCCGATAGCCAAGAGGAGTTTTTACAGTTGATCATGGGATCTCAGCCCCCGCGCAACATGATTCGACCCCGACGCGGTCGCCAAGGTGGTAGCAGCTCTGCCACGGGCCTTCGTGGTGGTAACGGCGGTGGCGTCGGCGGTGGCGGCGCGACTGGTGGGAGCAGTGGTGGTGGGGCCGGGATCTTGGGGGGCCCTGGCTCTAGCCATCGCCCGCCCAAGAGCCGAGCCCATGCTGCGCGCAGTGCTGGCACCGCGTCCAATAGTGCTTCGTCAAGTCGGCGAGGTCCTCGAAGCCGAGCAGGTCGAGGAGGCGGCTCTGGTGCTAGCGGTAGCGTGTCTGACCTGTACTCTTCCACTCGCAGTGGCCGGCACCGTGCCAGCGACCTTTTCATGCTGCCACCGGGCCTGGCATTTGGCAACTATGACGGCGACGAGGGCGACGAGGGTGACGGAGATGAGCGATCGACAGCCAATCAGCGTGACAAGAGCCAAGCCCCTAGTGAGGATCTACTTGAGTGGTGGCAGCAGGCCGCCGAAGCCGTTGTGCTGCAGCCTCCCGAGGACATGCCTTCAAGCTCACTGTGGAACAAACTGCTCAATGACGATGCTCGACACGCGCGGGTGCTCGAAAACGTGAACCAACTGCGTACGGCGTGTCACAATCTGGGTCTCACCGTGCCGTCCTGGCTCACGGCTCAAAAGCTTGAGCCAGAGGAGGAGATTGAGCCCGCCACGAAGGGCATGGGCACAACGCCCGCGGAAGCGACCCAAGAAGCAACCCAGGAAGCAACCCAGGAAGCAACCCAGGAAGCAACCCAGGAAGCAACCGAGGAAGCAACCGAGGGAAAAACAGCCGTACCGTCTCGCATGGACATTGGCCTACTGCACGACTTTTTGGGCATGGCTCAGCTGGAAGCCTCAGATGCTGATCAGGTGCTCTTTGATGCCATCCGGCAGCAAGTGTATGCAGCGCACGCAACCGCCTCTCAGGATACGTCCACCAGCTCCCGCGCTGCGTCTGCTATGACCTTGCCCGAATCCAGCGATGGACCCAACCCGAAGCGAACCAAGCAAGAGGAGTCCAGCAGTACCAACGAAGCCACCAATGCAAAACCCGGGACCGCATCTCCGGCTCCAAAGCAAGCCACCTCAGAAGTTGCCATGGATGTGGGCTCGGACGGCAACATCGAGGCTGCTACGCCGGCTGAGGTCGAGGGCAACTCGACCAGCACGACTGCGTCTGCGTCTGCGTCTGCGTCTAGCTCAAAGCCGTCGGCGGGCCGTTCCCTCGAGTTGAGCGGTCCGGCCCTGCTGGACGCGTTGAAGCGCTTTTTGGGAACGGACAAGCCACCGGTGGGTCCCGCGGCGCGCTCGCCCGAGGAACTTGCAGCCATCGCGTCGGACCAGCACGAACAGCAACTGCTGAGCTTGGTCGTCGATGCAGCCGATGTCAATACGCCCTGGTCGGCTCTGGGTGGGCTGGACAAGGTGAAGGAGACACTCAAGGAGAACACGGTCTACCCGCTCAAGTACCCGCAGCTCTTCCAGGAGGGCTCGGCAAGCCAGGCTGTGAAGGGTCTCTTGTTGTTTGGTCCGCCAGGAACGGGCAAAACCATGCTGGCCAAGGCGGTGGCCACAGAGACGGGCGCTACCTTTTTGAACGTGGACAGCGCTAGCATCTCATCCAAGTGGTATGGCGAGGCTGAGAAGATGGCACGAGCCGTTTTCACGCTGGCGCGCAAGCTGGCGCCAACCATCATTTTCATTGATGAGATTGACAGCTTGCTGTCGGCTCGCGATGACACGGAGCGCTCGACAATCGCCAGCGTCAAGACCACACTGATGCGCGAGTGGGATGGCTTGTCGACGACGGCAGACCGGGTGCTGGTCATTGGTGCGACCAACCGACCCTACACGTTGGACGAGGCCATTTTGCGGCGCATGCCGCGGCGTGTCATGGTGGACTTGCCGGACAAGGCCGAGCGCATTTCGATCCTTGAGGTGGGTCTGCGGGGTAACCGTTTGGCAGCCAGTCTGAGTCTGGACACGCTGGCCGAGCGCCTGGACAGCTACTCGGGCTCGGACGTGCGGGAAGTGTGCCGCGAGGCTGCGGTCTCCATCGCCAATGCCAAGGCGCGCGAGCTGGAGGAAATGGCGTCGCGAGGCGAGCCCTTGGTGGGATCGCGCTTTGCGCTGCGTCCCCTGAAAATGGCTGATTTTGAGGCAGCCATGAAGAAGATCCGACCCTCCATTCCCAAGGACTCGGCCATGCGCAAGAAGGTGCATGAGTGGAATGAGCAATTTGGCGAGGGCGGCAACGGCAAGAACAATTCTGGATATGAATCCATCTACCTGTAAACAGCCTGGCATGTTGCAAAACACGTGCTCTCATCGGCTGTGCCTGGAGGTTCTGTTCATGTGCACCAGTCCCTCTCTCCCTCTCCCTCTCTCTCTCTCTCTCTCTCTCTCTCCTTTTCCCCCCAGTTGTTTTCGTTGCTGTGGTCGTTCAGCTTGTGCGACTTTCTGCTTTTTTTGTGTTTTTTTTTTTTTTCTTCTTTTCTCAAACTCTTTTTAGACTTTTCCTGACCTGATTGTTTGATCGATTTGGATTTTTTTTCTCTCCCCCTTAAAGTGAATTGATGTATCTTGAACACACCAAGACCAGGTCAAAGCCTCCAGCAAGAGGTGGTCGACCTCTCCAGCTTCTGGGCCACCTCAAAAAAGAGGCTGATTTTCCACAATCACGCACACACACACACACACACACACACACACACACACACACACACACACACACACACACACACACACACACACACACACACACACACACACACACACACACACACACACACACACACACACACACAGGAAAAAAGGCTGACAAAACCACGTGTCGTTGATTTTATTTTATTTTACTTTGGGCGACAAACTCGCTCACGATGCCGCGACGAGGGGAGAGCAGCGAGAGTAGCGACGACGATGCGCGGCCGCCAGCGCCAGTCGATTCAAATGGCGAGTCAGCCGACTCGGAGGTGAGCTCGGCCGAAGAGGCCGCAGTGCCGGATATGGCCATCAAAAGCGACGAAGAGCCCAGCACAGCAGATGACGACTCTTCGAGCGACGAGGAGGAGGACGATGAAGCAGATAGCGATGATGATAGCGGCAGCGACAATGAGGAGGATGAGGACGAGAGTGAGGACGAGAGTGACGAAGATAGTGACGCAGATCAAGCGGCTGCGCCGCAAAAGGGTTCCGGGGCGCTGCGCGCACGGGGCGGTGAGAGCGATGGAGAAGATGACTCTGATCAAGAAGGCGAGGTGCGCGCACAGCGTGGATTCTATTGCGCAGACTGCGAGCGCAGCTTCAACTCGGATTTTCAAATCAAGGAACACCTGGAAAGCAAGGCACACCGCAAGCGCGTAGCGCGGCAGGCGCAGGTCAAAGGCACGGGCAACATTGTGTTTGTGGGCCAGCTGCCGTATGGGGCCTCGGAGGCGTCACTGCTGGCATTTTTCCGACCCCACGTGTCGGCCGACCCCTCAATTCGCATGCGAACAGATCCCAAAACGGGCAAGTTCAAGGGGACATGCTTTGTGGAATGCAGCACGGCCGAGGACGTCACCAAGTTGTTGCAGCTGCATCAGACAGAGTTTGAAGGGCGACGCATCAATGTGGAGCCGTCAGCCACGGCTGGAGGCAAGGCCAAGCGTAGTAAGGAGATTAAGCGCCTGCGCGACGAGCAAGCCACCTCGCGCCGGGAAGCTGTCGGTGCGCTCCTGGACCAAAAGGCGGCAGAGTATGGGGCCGACTTTTCGCGCAGTGACTTTGACGCGGACACGCGGGCCTACATGTGTTTGATGCCTCCGAAGATGGCGGGCCAAGCCGTGGACGAGTTTATGGCAGCGGATCGAAGCAAGCTTACCAACCGACCGGCTTTTCTCATGGCCATTCTGAAGCGACTGCGAGATGGCGGAGGCCGGTCGTGCTTTACCTGTGGCAGCACGGACCACGTCAAGGCGCAATGTCCAGAGCGCAAATCGGCCGGGCGCGGTCGCGGGCGTGGTGGAGGCGGTCGCGGGCGTGGGGGCGGCGGCTACGGTGATCGGGGCGGTCGCGGTGGCGGCTACGGTGATCGGGGCGGTCGTGGTGGCGGCTACGGTGGCCGTGGTGGATACAGTGGCCGGGGTAGCGGCGGCGGGGGGGATCGTGGCCGGGGCCGAGGCCGGGGCAGCTACGGGGATCGTGGTCGTGGCGGCGGCCGTGGTGACAACCGAGGTCGTGGCCGTGGCAGTGGTAGCGGCGGCCCGCCCTCCAAGCGCTTCAAACCTGACCAGGACTGAACCCAGTAACTTTTTGAATCTGTGCCTGTGCCCCTCTTGTGTCTGAGTCTATGGTTGTCTTGTGTTTATCGCCACCAGTTCCAAAGTCTTGTTTTGTCTGATTCTGTTTGCCGAGCACCATTGGCTGCCAAATCCAAGCTGAGCCCACTTTGAGAACCCTGCTGTTTGCTCCCGGAGATGACGCCTGTTTTTACACCACACACACACGGGCACTTAGTTTCTTGTAGGCGAGTCGAGCTTGAGCCCTTTTTTCTCTGTCCTGCTCCAGTGAGTGGCAGCGAAGTCAGTGAAGATGACCGCTTGCCTCGCGTATTGTCAGATAAATTCAAGTGTGATAGACATGACCGACTAATTTTGGACGATCGTCTATTTTCGGACGATGGGCACGCCAACCTTGGCGCCCAAGGTCCTCGTGTGTGTAAGGGGGCGTGCCTGGTGATGATGGTGTGCTTGGCGCAAGATCCAAGATGACTCTCCAAAACGGCAGCGCCCGGAGCATCTCAAAGATCCCGACACACATACATTGTCATAATATTATGATCTGTGCGCTGCTGGTGTTGGTGTTATATCGGTGTTGTTGTGAGGTGAAGATATCTGCCCGATCCCCAGCAGGAGGCAGACAACCAGGCAGGGACAAAAACGCGTTTCCAACACACACACACACACACACAGTGGCTATTATTTAAAAAAAAACAAAAGGGGGGAAAGCACAAGGCCCAAGGCCCAACAAGGTATAACATCCACACACATGACGCCCCTTTGTGATTCTCTCTCTCTCTCTCTCTCTCCTTCTGCTTTACGGATCACTGCACACTGCACTGCACTGCACTGGGCACTGGATCACGCACTCTTCACTTTCCTCTCTCTCTCTCTCTCTCTCTCTCTCTCTCTCTCTCTCTCTCTCTCCCTCTCGCACACACAAGCGTGCGCGTTCCAAAATTGGTGGCCTGTCGGTAAGGGGGGGTTTTTCGGATCGGCTATTTTTATCGGGGTCCCTTGCGCTTGTGCTTGTTCCCCGCCCCCGCTGCCCACTCTCCGTATATGTTGTGGTGCGGGGCTTTGGTCTGGCATTTTCTTGCTCAGTCTCATCTCATTTGCCTTGGCCTGCCCTGCCCCATCTTGCTTCAAACCCCCCTCCCCTTCCCTCTCACTTTGGGGGCTGTTGGTCTCTGCCATCGGCGTTGGCGGATTCGTGCATTAGCTCTTGTTGTCTTTGATTCGTGATCCATCACCAGTACCATGGCGGCCAAACGTAAGCGGCGCGGCGCTCTTGTTTGTTTGGACCTTTTGTGGTTCAACTCGTCCATCGTTGCTTGTTCGATTCCGCTAACCTGGCTCACCACTTCTCCTCGGCCTTGTCCTCCTTGTCCTGTGTTCTTCTTCTGGCAGCCAACGGCGATAAGAACGTGTTTCGGGTGCCCCCGTTCCACTACCTCCATGTCTTGGACCAAAACACCAACGTCACCCGAGTGGAGCTGGGTCCCATGACCTTTTATCGCCAGGACAATGAGGTCGTCAAGTTTGGCCCGGAAAAGATGGTCACGGTGCCCCCGCGCCACTACTGCGTCGTGGAGAACCCCGTGGCTCGGACCAGCGATGGCAACGTCGTGTACATTGGCGGCACCAAGCAGGTCAAGCTGCGCCATGCCGAGCAGGAGGTCCGCGTGGCCCAAGATCCCTTCCCCCTCTTTCCCGGCGAGCAGCTGGCCACTCCCGTGACCCCACTCACGGTGGTCGAGACCAACTCGGCCCTTCGCCTCAAGGCCGTGCTCGACTTTGACGATGAGACCAGCTCCGTTCATCGCGTGGCCGGCGACGAGTGGCTCTTCGAGGGCCCCGGCACCTACATTCCTCGCGTCGAGGTGCGCGTTGAGGAGCTCATCAAGGCCTTTATCATCATGCCCAACCAAGCCCTTCGTCTCCGCGCCCTCAAGGAAACCACTGACCGCTCCGGCACGAGCCGCGTCACTGGCGAGGAATGGCTCGTCAAGGACACTGGTGCCTACCTGCCCGGTACGTCGGTCACGGGGTGTATTTTTTCCATGCCCGAGTCTTTTTGCTTCTTCTTCTTCTTCTTCTTCTTTTGCTTCCTCTCTTTCCTCTTCATCCTCTTCCTCTTCCGCTTGTTTCTTTCGCGTTCTCACATGAGTTTGTTGGTTGCGCTTTTGGTATGAGTAGGCGTTTTCGAGGAGGTGCTGGACGTGGTCAACGCCTACGTTCTGACGGAGAAGCAGGCCCTGCACCTGCGCGCCACCCGTACCTTTGTGGATGACCTCGGTACCACCCGCAAGACGGGCGAGGAATGGCTCATGACCAACGAGCACTGCGACACGCACATTCCCTCCGTCTACTCTGAGGTGGTGGCCCTGGTCGATATTACCACCCTCACCAACCGTCAATACGCCGTCATTGTCAACCCCGTCGACGAGAAGGGTCACTCCCAACTCGGCGCCAAGAAGCTTGTCAAGGGCCCCGCCTCCTTCTTCCTCCAGCCCGGAGAGACTCTGGAGAAGGGCGTGCAGGACGTCTTTGTTCTGGGCGAGGACGAGGGCATCATCCTCCGTGCCGCCGAGACCTTCAAGGACACGGACCACCTCACCGGCAAGCCCGTGGAGCGCAAGCCCGGAGACCGCTGGATGATCCGCGGCCCTGCCGAGTACGTCCCCAGCGTCTCTGTGGAGGTGGTGACTCAGCGCAAGGCCATCCCCCTCGACGAGAACGAGGGCATCTACGTGCGCAACATCACCACGGGCCATGTCCGGGCCATCATGGGCAAGACCTACATGCTGCAGGAGTGGGAAGAGCTCTGCGACAAGGAGTTGCCCGCTCAGGTGGAGGAACTCCTCAGCAACGACTATGATGTCGTGGCCGACCGCAACGGCAGCGGTGGTCGCCGTGGTGGGTCTGGCGGCGCCGGTGGTAACCGCAAGCGTGACAAGACTCGCGTCGTCACCTACCGTGTCCCCCACAACGGTACGTGCCCCTTTTGCATTTGTTGTTCTTGTTCTTGTGCGGGTCATGTTCTCGTTTTATTTAATTTTATGTTTTTTTTTTGTTTTTTGTTTTTTTGTTTTTTTTTTTTTTCCTTTGGTTCTCTGTGGCGGCTCTCTCACTTTTTTTTTACCTTTGTTTGCCACCGACCCTACTTGGCTTCCCACAGCTTGCGTACAGATTTACGACTACAAGCAGAAGCGGGCTCGTGTCTGCTATGGCCCCGACCTGGTCAAGCTGGACTACGATGAGCAGTTTACCGTCCTCTCCCTCTCGGGTGGCAAGCCCAAGAAGCCCCACCAAATCAAGGCCCTGGCCCTCCTCCTGGGCCCCGACTTTGCCTCTGACATTATCACCATCGAGACGTCGGACCACACTCGCCTCCAGCTTCAACTTAGCTACAACTGGCTCTTCCAGGTCAAGGACAAGTCGGACCAGAGCGAGGCCCAGCGCCTCTTCTCGGTCCCCGACTTTGTGGGTGACATGTGCAAGGCGGTGGCTAGCCGCGTGCGTGGGGCAGTGGCCCAGGTGTCCTTTGACGACTTTCACAAGAACTCGGCCAAGATCATCCGCTCGGCTGTCTTTGGCGTGGATGAGAAGGCACGTGTCCGTGACAAGGACGGCTTTGTCTTCCCGGCAAACAACCTGGCCATCACCAGCATTGACATCCAGTCGGCCGAGCCCGTGGACCAGCGCACCCGCGAGGCGCTTCAAAAGTCGGTGCAGCTAGCCAGTACGTTTAACATCCGCCCTTCCCTGGCCCTCTGACCTTCTCCGCGTCGTCTTGTTGCGTGTTTTATGTGTGGTCATGCGCTCATCATGTGTGTGTGTTTGTCTATGGCAGTTGAAATCACCACCAACTCGCAAGAGGCCGAGGCCCGCCACAAGGCCGAGCATCGCGAGCAGCAGGCCAAGGGTGCTCTCGAGCGTCAAAAGATCCAGGACGAGGCCCAGGCCGAACAGAGCCGCAAGGCCCTGCTCGAGCTCCAAGCTGAGTCGGCGGCCGTCGAGAGCACGGGTCAGGCCAAGGCCGAAGCTCAGTCGCGTGCCGAGGCCAACCGCATTGAGGGTGAGGCCGCCGTCGCGCAGGCCAAGCTTCAGGCCGAAGCCCGCCGTATCGAGGGTGAGGCCGAGTTGGCGCGCCTGCGCGCTGCCCGCGAGGCCGAACTCGAGTACATCCGAGCCCAGAACGAGCTTGAGGTGGAGAAGTCCAAGCGCCTGATGGACATTGAAACCTCCAAGTTTGCCAACATGGTCAGCGCAATCACCCCGCAGACGCTGGCCGAGATGGCTCGCGCTGGTCCCCAGATGCAGGCCGAGCTCCTCAAGGGCCTGGGTATCCAGAGCACTCTCATTACCGATGGTGCCACCCCCATCAACCTCTTCAACACGGCCAGCGGCCTGGTTGGCGGCGCCCTTGCCAAGCCCAACTGAGCCAGTCCCCCCCGCTGACCTCCCTCTCCTGTCATCTCTATGTATGTATGCGGATGTATAATTGAAAATCTGAGTTGCTCTTGTTCACGCTGATGAGCCACATGAGCAAAAACATCAAACATTCCACTCACTCACTCACTCACTCACTCTCACTCACTCTCACACACTACACTCGCACACTCGCACACACGCAACAAATATGCTGACAAAAACTATCCCCCAAAAAGATTTGCTTTAAATATTAACCTAACGTCTCTACAGTCAGTACATCGGGGCATTGGCGCAAATGGTAGCGCGCTCCCTTAGCATGGGAGAGGTACTGGGATCGATCTGTAACTCGAAGACCCACCCGGATGCTCCATGATTATCTTTTTGCATCCGTATTGTGGGTATGGGCGGATGCAATTTGGTCACAACGATCGTTGTGGCCATTTGTCGGTTTTTTTTTTTTTTTTTCCTCTTTTTTTGGATGTCGCTCGCTGCAGCGAGCTGGATGTGAACGGGCAAGTATCCTCCTCGCCTGATCTGATCTTCTCGTCTGATCTTCTTGGAGAGGTTGGCTGCTTGCTCCGACGCCTGCCTGTTCACCTGCCCAAGGCCCGGCCCGGCCCGACGTCCGCCCCCACCTCGAGTTGACAGTGGTGTGTTTCGTGGCATCGAGCGCTGCTCGCGTTCGAGGAAACCAAGAGTTGACGCCACCTTGAGCGTCGCCGAGGCCATGTCAGCCACCGACTCAATCAATCAACCCACAACCCCATCCGCATCCACATCCGCAACCAAACCCGGCACCATGAGTGCAGCTGGCCCTGCTCCCAAAACCAACTCAGAAGGTAGCTGGCACTCTCACCTTTTCGCCATCCATCTCGCCCTGAGCTCGCTTGGTCCTCATCTATGCGATGATTCTCTGTCGTCAATAGCTGCAGCCTCTGTGGCACCAAGCAAGACAGAATCATCGGCTGCCGCTACGGGCTCTGCTGCTCCCGCTTCTGCCGCTTCTGCCGCTGCGCCTGCGTCTGCTTCGGCTCCTGCCCCTGGCCCCGCTCCTGCCGCCCCGCCGTCCAAAGCCACAACCGGGGACTCGACTCCCCAAGCAACAGCAGCACGCTCAGCCAATGCAGCCACTACCACTGCGGCCGCTACTACTGCCAATACCACCACCGCCACTACCAACACCTCGGCTACCTCAGCAGAGTCGGCGCCTGCTGCCAAAGATGCCAAGGCCCCGCCTGCAGGCTTGGCGTACGTCCTCTTGCTCGTAGGCCATTGAGTCACCCAAGTTTCCAGGGCTACAACTTTGCTCAACTATGCCCCACCTCTGGGTCTCCTCCTTGTGCTCTCACCGTTGCTCCGCTCGCTGTTATTCGTGACTTAGGCGACGCACAAGCAGTCGGCGTGCCCATCAGGTATATTGCTCATCCCATGCCGCGACCCGATCGCTGGATGAGGCCAACCCCTGGCCACCCTGGCCACTGCGATCATGATGCGCATCAGCCTCACCTTGCCTTATCCTCGCCTCCCATCAGCTTCGTGTCAAAATGGTTGATGTGAACCAATACATCGTGTGCCAGATTTGCATGGGCTACATTGTCAACGCCACTACCATTAGCGAGTGCCTTCACAGCTGTAAGTCTACCCGTCTCTCAAGTTTTGAACTTGCCCCATTGCCGCCCACACCACCCTCTCTCTCTCTGTACATGCCCGCGTCTGCCGCGCTCAATCGCGTGTGGCCGTCTAGTTTGCCGATCGTGCATCGTCAAGCATTTTCGCAAATCCAAAATATGCCCCGTTTGTAACCAGCAAGCTCATGAAACAGCGCCGCTCGACACCCTCCGGTCGGCCTGCCTGCCTCCCTCAAGACAGCTGGCCTTGCTCATCCCAAAACTCCCCCTATTCTCTGCCAAACCTCTGCCTCACCACCAGTCTTTCCTTGCTCCCCCCGCTGGCTCTCGTTGCCTACGGCGTAGGCAAGATCGTACGCTGCAATCCATCATCAACAAGCTTTTGCCCGATGTGGCTGAAGGTTCGATCACGTTGTTGAGATACAACCGAGCCTTTCCTTGAATGGGCGGCCGACACACATCTTACACCACCCGGTACATGCCTATGTTTGTGTCTGCGTGCGTGCGTCCCGAGTAGCCGAACGCGAGGCACGACGAGCTTTTTACGGCATTGAAGATGAACCGGACGCGAAACCCGGTTCTACCACCACTGCGACCACTAATGGCGAGGTACACCGGGGTGCCCGATCGAGGAACCCATGGCTCGCTGCATTATACGTGCGATGCTAACGCTCATACATACTCGCCATTCCCCTGTGTTGCGGCCGCTGTGCCTGCTAGCCCACCCCCAAGCGCCAAAAGATGGATGATTTGATTGATTTTGTCATGCAAAAGGCTGATTGGTCGGATCAAGACGCGGAAGATTTGGGTGACGTTGTTTCCAAGCTGACGGTGCGTCGCATCGGCATTGCCGACTCAAAAGTACTGGTGAGCGCAGCTGACCTCACTCGTGTTTGACTCCATGTGCCGGTGGGGTGGATGGACGCCATACAGGAGCTGCCCAAGCCTTTTATTCGTACCAGTGCTGCCGTCACCATTTTGCACTTGAAAAAGTTTCTAGCCAAGAAACTGGCGTTGGAGGAGCCGGATGACGTCGAAATCTTGTGCAATGGCGAGGTTCTCGGCCGAGAATATAGCCTAGAGTATGTGGCTCGCACCCGCTGGCGTGACACGGCTCAGCTCTTGACGCTCCAGTTTCGGCCGCGCTCTGTCTATTAAGCCACAAAAGGGAACGAGATCTCAACCTGCCGCTTGCGACAAGACCTTTTTTGTTGATCGCGCCCCGCACTGGTGTTTTGCACTATTAAATGATTCCCAGAAGAAAGAAAATAAAATTGAGAAATTGAGCAATGTCAATTGCGTTTGAACATGAGTCGTCAGGATCCGTCCTTGCCGTGGCAGGCGATGCGTGCATGTCATGGGTGGTGTGCGGCCAACCTCAAAGTCAAGGTGCTCACAAAGCCATCGGCAACCTGATTTTGAATAGAGGAGAGGGCACGCCAAAGATAATCTCAACAACAACTCGGTCTCCGTCTCCGTCTCCATCTCCCTCTCCTTTTCTCCTTCTCTCCTTTCCTCCTTCTCTCCTTTCCTCCTTTTCTACCTCTTCACCGCATCGTGGGTGGTATGTATGGGCACGTTGGCCCCGTGTGCAAGTTGGCCTCTGCGCTTGCCATTGGGATTACTGCAAAGATTGATGAATTTGGGCCAGTAGCTGATCCAAGGCGGCCGCGGTAGCCTGGCCATCCCCGTCATTGTCTATCACGATGTCGTGCTGCACAGCATCAAGGCCGCATTCCGACTCGGCGTCGTCCACGCCTGTCGTAAAAGTGTAGCCGCGCTGCGCTCGCGTTGCCACGCTAGCTTGCACACGCACGGTCACGCAAGGGTATCGAGTCTACAGGAGAGGTTAGGGACCAGTCAACCCGGTGCTGAAATGGAGCTGGCACGCCAACCCAACGACGCACAAGACGGCACGCAAAGCTCGGGAGGATGGAAAACGCACTTGAAAGTAGGTCAAGTCGGTTTGTCGACGACAATCAACCACGAGCCAAATGGGTGCCTGCAGATCGTGGGTGGCTAGGCGCGCGAAAAAGCCCGGGTCGGCGCGGCGCTTCTGCTCTCCCCAAACAATCATGGCCTGCCGATGCCTGTAATGTCGAGCACACCCCAACCAAGGAGCCGCAATCAACAAGCCACGGAGACCATGGCGTCCAGGTATCCCTGGGTTGGTCATGACAATAACGGCAGCATCACAAGGCACAGTCCCAACAAACAGACTGGTGGCGAGGTACGCACTGCTCCTTGTAGGTGGAGGCTGAGAGCAACTCCTGGTAATCGAGACCGTGGTCCTGATGGCCGACAAAAACCAAAGGCGAGATGAGGACGGGAAGAGCAATGGTGTGTTGACAAGACTCCCGGTGCTCAGCTCTGGGCAAGAGAACATCAGTCACAGGTGGTCACGGGCCACAGGTCACAGGAGGTCACAGGAGGTCACAGAAGGTCACAGTACCAGGGCATATTGGCGCTTCAGCGGAGCAGAAAGGCGCACTTGCGCCAGCACGGGCGCTAGGTCAGGCCTATACCGCGCAAGGCGAGCCAGGGTTGAATTAATTGAAGAGCGGTGAGCCGTTGGAAACGCAAGTCTGCCTTGACAAGAACGAGCCATGACCTCACCTCTGAGCCAGCTGATCCGCAAGGTAATCCTTGCCGCTCTTGCGCTTGCCGGAGAAGAGCAGCACGAGTTTGGGTTGAGGCGCCGCCCATGCAGCCCACGCCTCGGCCACCGCCGTCTAAGGCCCCACCAAGCATATCCATGAGAATATCAAATCCAGCCATCCATCCAGCCATCGCTTCCAACTACCACCAAAAGACACGCAGATCCGCAAGCACCCTCCTCCACCCCAGAGGTCGGTCAACTCCCGAGGGAGGTCAACCCCCGACCGAGGTCACGCCGCCTGGCCGCCACACACACACACACACACACACACACACACACACACACACACACACACACAGCGGAACGTTACGTACTGTCAGGAACATGAGCATTTGATGGGTGTATGAAAAGTATAATACTAAAATGGCTGGGGAAACTGGGGAGAATACAAAGTTTGTTGGTAGCTGCTGTATCTTTGTCTTACCATGGGTTGGCCTTGAACTGTAAGTAATATACTTTTCATGGGAGCTGCGCAAAGTATTACATCAACATAGCACACACACACGCACACACACACGCACACACACAGAGCAAGAGTGTGTGTGAGCAAAACGGCAGCCGGCAGCCGGCGCCGGGGCAGACAACACTGGAGGCGGACAGGGACTTTTTTTTCCCCGACACCTCTGTGATACGTTTGGCTGCATTTGATACAACATCTGCTACAGCCCGAGCATGGCGGCCAGAAAACCTGCGGCGGCCGCGAGTACGCCCGCGGTCGCCCTCACATCGGGCAGCCTCGCAAGCCAAAGGGGCGAAGGACCAGAGGGGCTCAGCAGCCAGATTCGCTTGGTGGAAGGATGGATGCATAGAGCCGTCCAAGGTGTTATGCGTACGTTGATGGTGGCAGTGGCCCCGTGTGCCTCGAGTTGGATTGTATGCACCCTCCCTCGCCCCCTCGCGGGCTTCTCAGGTCCATGTGCTCGTCCTTGTTTGTTCATCAGGTCGCAAGCTGGATCGCCGCTTCTTCGTCCTGCTGGTCCAGGAATGCTGCTTGCTGCAGTTCAAGCAGATACGACCCAACCTTACAGGTACGCTGTCACCCCGCATCTTGGATCGTGTGCTCCCATCGCACATGTACACGCTCCTTCACTTTTTGCTGACCTTCTCCCTCTCTTGCTCTCTGTCACCTTCACCTCCGACTCATCAACCTTCCGTGTTTATTCTCTGTGCTGGGACAGACTACGAGTCCTTGATTGATATCCGCGCAGCTACCCTTCTTCTCGCTGACGCCGGAAGTCCTGGTCAGTCTGCCCCGGATACGCACGCCGAGTGATGCCTCGAGGGTGCATTTGATTATTAAAAAAAAAAAAAAAAAAAAAAAAAAAAAAAAAAAAACCTGTTTCTGCCCCATTTCCATTCCCCTTGCCTTACCTAACCCATCGGCCTTGGCATGATGACCGTGCTTGTCGATTCTATCCGCAGGCAACAAAACGGCGCAGACCGTTGAGCAAGTACTTTATTTACGGTGAGAACAAAGCTCGACCCTGACACCCACTCGGATAGCCATACCCACACTTTCGCCTGCATGTGGGGCAAGGCGAAAGAACTACACCCCATCCCATGCATCTGGCACGCTCTCACACCTCGTCTTCCTGCGCCTGCCTCGTGCGCAAACAACTTCCCTCCACCCCTGCATCACCAGCTCTGGGCAAGAGGATATCGAGTTGCATGCCAGCCGCGAGTGCCTGGCTCAATGGTACCAATGGCTACAGGTACCCCATTTCGAGTGCCAAGTCAACCCTCGCCAAGCCTTTCCCTCCTTGTGAAATTTACATCGGGCTGATGTATCGGATCGCAAAGCCGATACATCAGCCCTATGTAGTCCTGTCTTGTCCTGCTCACGACTGCCATGTTCCCTCTTCGTAGAAAGCACGCCAACTCCATGCGGGGCAAGTTGGCCCAGGCCCAACCCATGCCATGACGCGCCGTCATGTGGCTGCCGCCGCCACCGATGCCGCCCACTGTCGTATGCAGATTGGCAGCTTAACCCCGCCAAATGACCAGCACCGCGTTTTGCGTGTGCTTTCGTACGTGCTGATGACTGCAACCCGTTGCTGCACCGGCTTGTCCCTCGCGCCGCCCGCGGCTTGGTTCTTTCCTGCTCGACTTCAGTTGTGCGCTGCCCCACCTACCATAGTTTGGGCCTGCGCGGGCGCAACTCGCAAAATGGGATTGACTTTGAACAAGGCAGCTCTTTCATCGAATACGATGACACGGCCGAGGAACGGTATGATGCACCAGCCCCCCGCGCGCAATGCGCCGGATTACCGACCTCCGACAACACATGCGAGGGTTTGGCAGGTTTTGGGGGCTTACTTTGGTGTTTCAAGTTCCCAAACCCCGCCACCCTAACCCTCAATCTGCTTCTGGTCTTGTCATGCCAAATGGCTGATATTCTGCGTCACCAGCTACATTCAGCAGCTGCAGATTGAAGTCAAGGCTCTTCGCGAAGAACTGACTGCTTCCGAGATGCGCAATAAGGCTCAGCAAACTGAACTTCAAAAGTTTCAGGATACTGCCAGCTTTGCCCATGCCAGCCCTCAAGAACAAGCCCGCACCTTTGGTAAGATCGATGCATGATCAATAGAAAACCATCCTCACACGGTCGACTGACCCCTCCTCCCCTGGGTACCTGCTACCCGTCTTGTCTCCGCCGATGGCGTCTCCTCATTTCGATCGATCGACATGCTTGGCACGGGAAATGATAGGTGAGCTCAAGCTCAAACTTGTGGAATGCGAGGAGCAAACCAAGGCCATGACCCGTGAACGTGATGCCAGCCGTGAAAAGACTGTTGCGGTTCGGCTCGCCTTTCTATGTCGCTTTTTCACCCCGTATTGCTCCTTTGGTCCCAGTCCGAGGCTCTCACATCCCCCCATCCATGCGCTTAGATTCGCACCCAGCTTCAAGACTGTATGCAGAAGCGAGATGAGCAAGCCCATACCATTGCCGAACTACGTGAAGAGGTTGGTCTAGCTCCCCTGATTCCTCCACTCATTGCCATCGTGAGGTAGTGGTAGCCGTCGACGTCATGGTATGCTCATGGAGCTCCGTTCGGCTCTACAACACTGTGTCTCCGAACATCTCTCGGGACACAGGTCCGGCGTCTGCAACAGCAGCAAATGCAACGACTGAGCCATGAGAACACTGGTGCCCAATCGCCAATGGCCGGCGCGACGGCAAGTGGGACTCATGGTGCCGACCACATCTTGCTTCAATCTGCCTCCGTCTCCGATGATCTGGAGCTTGATTCCTTGGGCGAGCAGCTTCGACGCGAAAATTTACTGTTCCGAGCTGAGCTTAGAAATACCCTCCAACGCCTTGAAGCTGCCGAGGACGAAAACGCCGTACTGCAGCGTCGCCTGTACGCAACTAGCTTGCTTATATGTAGGGTCCAAGCCTGGTCTTAGATACTCACACTGACTTCACAACGGACTTTGCAGTACAACCAATCAAGTCAAACTTCAGGGTTTCTGGCGGAGCCACCTCCAATTATTGCAGGAAATGAGCTGTGAGTGTAGCGCCACGTGCGCGGTTGGCCCCCACTGCTGCTGCAATTGCTCTCATCCTTGTAATTTTTTGATCCTGTGATCCTGCGTGCCCTGGGCACATCAGCTTTGCCTGCAGCCAGCGAGAGCGCCAAGTTTCAGCACATGCTCGAGATGGCCATTAAGCTTCAAGCCGAGGTACTTTTTGTCGAGCACTGCGCTTCTCTCACCATATCACCAAGTCATGGAGGACGAATGGCACACGTGTCGCGGTTCATGGCCTAACATAATCCGCTCATTTTGTGGTGCCGCTCAGGCTGGTGATCTGGACTTGCTGCCCTCCGAGCCCATCATCATGGCGTCTCCAACTTCGGGTAGCGCTACGGTGCCTACAGTCGTCACCTATGATGAGTTTGGTTTTCCTGAGCCTAATCTTCCCCAGGTGCCCTTGGGCATCCTCAACACCATGGCTCGAGAGCGTGACATGGAGCCCGAATGGGCCAAGTTTATGACCGAAGCCAACAGCCTCGACGAAATTCGGTACCGAGCTTCGTCTCAAAAGGTCAAGGACCTTGTTCGCCGCGGTGTGCCGGTACGATAAATCCCACCTCGGATGCATTCAAGACGCTCACTCTTTAAGCTCATGTGTCAACCTCTGCTTGGTCTAATGGATAGAGCCGCTTCCGAGGCGAGCTGTGGAAGCAGCTTGTTCGTGATGTGAGCGCCCCCTCGCGCCGATCTTACCCGCCCAACCACTTTGCGCAGCTGCGAGGTCAGTTTGAAAGATCAAGCTTTATGCTGGTGCAGGCACGAGCGTTGAGATTTTCTTCGGTGACACTTCGTCGCGACCATTGGCTGCAAACACTCATGTGACCCATGACCTGTCTCACTTCCCAGAGCAAAACAAGGGCAAGTCATCTCCGGCAATTCGGCAGATTGAACAGGACTTGCTGCGCACCTTTCCCAGCCATCCTGACTACATGACTATGGGCTCGGACCGCATTCAATCTTTGTACACGGTGCTGAGCGTCTACACATGGCATGATCAGCTTCTCGGCCAAGACATTGGCTATTGTCAAGGCATGAACCTGATTGCCGCCGTCCTTCTGCTTTATCTGGATGAGGAGGAGGCGTTTTGGGGTTTGGACGCCATTGTGGGCCGTATCTTGCCTGCTCACTACTTTGACAAGACCCTGATTGGCGCCTTGGTTTGTATCGAAAAAGTGGGAAAGAAGCCCTCACTTTGCGTGCGCGCGCGCACACACACACACACACACACACGTCTGCATTCAACAATGGGAGCCAGTGATTGCCTTTGCCGCTCAACAACTCCTTTCGTTGTATGTGCACCTCAATAGACGGATCAGCGCGTGTGTCATGAATTGTTTGTTGAGCGTTCTCCCAAGCTGGCCGCACATTTGCGAGCCTACGAGGTGGACCCGGATATGACTATCTTTCAGTTCATGCTGACACTGTCCATCGATGTGCTGCCCGTGTTCACGGCCGTTCGGATTATGGATTCCATCTTGCTCGAGGGCAATAAGGTGCGACAAGTAGCTCGCACTCATGTGTAGGGGCGAGTGAATGACTGTCGACAACCTCAGTCTTTAGAATCATCAGTCGTGAGAGCGAGACAGCATGCGGTTCCTGGAATACCCTCACGTCTTGTCTCATCATCAATTCAACCTTTGACAGGTTCTATTCCGCTACGTGCTGGGCATGTTTAAGGCGCTCGAGCCGGACATCATGAAGCTCAACGACCGCTCGGCTCTGCTTTCCTATATTCGGTACGACCAACATGACGCTTGAGAAAACCTTCACTCTGACCTGCACGGATGACCCGCTCCACCTCTCACCCGTGATGCGCGACCTGATAGCGAGGCTTGCCAATGCGTATACGACGTACCGCTGCTGGCCAAGCATGCTTTTGACGGCCTCAAATATTTTACATCTCGTACCATCGACGACAAGCGCCAGCGCCACCAGTACGTTGCCTGTTGATGGTATAGGGGGAGGCGGGGGTACCCTGTTTGTAATTTCTGGTTGCCATCCCATCTAGCACTCACACCTCTGTGGTGCAGAGAGCTTGTGTGTCGCGAACAGGAGGAGCTTCAAGCCACCCGTCGGCGTTTCAACAGCAGCTCAGCTTAGCCGACTGCTCGCGACGTCGGCAAAGAGACTGCCCATCTGCAAAGTGTACCAGAGCACCACCTTTTGTTTGAAACAGCTGTGCGGGCCGCGGCTGGCAAGTCAAACCTTCCTGACCAGACATTCACTGTGGCGTCGTTCGCCCGCCATTTGGTGCGTCGAGACGACGTTTTATCCCCGCCCCGTAGCATGGGTTTTTTTGTTTTGTTTTGTTTTGTCTTGTTTTTGCCTGTGCCTGTGTTGTCTGTGTGTCTTTTATATCTCCTCCTCCCAGCAGAGCCTGGTGCTCTCGGGAAAATTAATGTTTATTCCGTGCATGGCGCTGTTGAGCAGCGACAACTGATTTTCCAATCCAATGGCAGTGACTGGATCGAGTTACTCAAGGGACGAATTCAAAAATTGATGACGTGTGAATTGATGTGTGAGTGAAGTGAAAACCTTGATTGTCAATTGAGAGCACATAACATCTATAATTTGACAAATTGTGCGCCACGACGATCGTTCCGACCCTGGCGGTTGGCGTTGGCGTTACCGCGTTGGGCATGAGCACGTGTCGGTCGCATCTTCTCCTGGGCACGAGCCGATACCTCGGCAACGTGCTGCCTAATACCGACATGCCAGCATCAGACTGAGGCGAGGAGCATGCAGAACACAGGCTGGGCTCATGATCACGTATTAGAGCGGGCTGCAAGCTGGGGGCGTACTTAATAGAAGGCCATTGATGCTTAAATGTTTGAGCTGCACGACGCAATTCAGGCTCTTGCGCGGCAAAGCCAACGCTAGCGCCAACGTCAAGCATGGTCTATCATTGCAGAACGCCCCCCACCCCAGGTGCAGGACATGTGAGGACGGGACAGACTCAAATGCCGACCTGATTTGGTCGCCCCTGCGCTCGTCAAACCGGCTCTCAGACAACAGGGTGAGGGGGGAGACTATGGCGCCGTCAACTTACCAGCCAGCTTTCCAGCTGCTTGCTGCTGCGGGACACGTTGAGAAGCACGCGAATCAAGTCGTAGGAAGGCGTGAAGCGACTGTTGCGGTACAAGCGCACAACAGAGTCCACGAGTTGCTGGGCCAGACCCAAATCCTGCACCCATTCGTGATCAAAAACACATTAGTGAGTTGGCGGTCGGTGGGGCTGGAAGGCGTACTCTGCGACATGTGCCTGTGCGAGCAAGCAGACCGAGAACTGCACACACCTTGGCTGCCACAAAAATCCGGTCCGCATCGTCGGCATTGGCCTGCGGCGAAAGTGAAGACGAAAGCGCATTAACGGGCCAGTGAGGTTGGCGGCTATGCCACAAGCCATAATGACGTCACGTGCCGCACCTCAATAAAAGCGTCGAACAGGTCTGTGATGGTTGATGCATCAACAACGCCCTGGCCATGCAGGGTCCTACAGCCCAGCAGCGCACAGGCGAGAAGGTTGGAAATGTGAGCTTCAGGCACACTTTTGAACAGTAGGTGTTTAGCAGAAAGAGATCACATGCATCGAGGGGCGGACGTACTCTAGGATCTTGCGACTGCGGCCCAGGTACATGGCGCTCTGGCGCGAGTCTGAGTGGTGACGCTAAGAAGCGGGCAAACGACCAATGAGGTGAGCCAGAGCATTACCGGAGGAGGGAGTGGGAGAGTATTACGACGTACGGCCATGTCGAAATAGAGAACGGCGCCGTCAGCCGGCTCATCCAGCAGAATGCGGTTTTCAGTCTCCAGGACGGCAATCGTCTCGTCAATGATGGAATCAAGAATGGCGGGCTGCTGCATCTGGCTGCCAGCGGCCAGCAGTAGATGGAGCTGGTCGGGCGAGACGGGCCAGCCCTTGCTAAATTGATCGCGAACAATGTTGATCAGGCGACGCACTCCATCCTCGCCGGGGCAATAAGTAGCAGTGACGGCCATAAGGCCAGCAAAGAGGGCGGGCGGCGGCACAGCCGCGGCCTCGTTATCCGTGTCGAGGACAAATTGGATGATGGTGTTGACGTGATCGCTGGCACTTTGCAGACGCTGTTCAAAGCTGGCAGGCACACCGTCATCGGAGCCCTGGCTATCATTCAGGGCACCGTGTGCCTCGAGTGCCTCCAAAAACTGGGACTCGCTTTGCACACGACCATCAACAGCGGAGGTAGCCAGCGACACCGCCATGTCGCCTGCACCAACAAGTCGAGCCATGTCGAGCAAGAATGAGCAAACAAGGGGGCGAGAGGAAGTGGGATGCGCATGTGGAAGGAGAAGGAGGAGGAGAGGAGGAGGAGGAGGAGGAGAGGTTACTCAGACGTACGGGTGATGTCACCACTGGCCAAGAGCTCCTTCAAGGTGGCCACACCTTCCTCAGCGCCGACGTTCTAAAGGACGAGAGGGCATCGCCCGAAAGGTGCCCGGCACGAATGAGCTTTGCGAGCAGGCAGGTACATGCGGGCAGCTCCGTCGAGGCTGCAATGGTCAACATGTGGGCAGCCGTGCAGCAGTCCACAACATGAACATACAAAGCAGGCGGTGCTGTAGCAGGAGATTGCCTCGACGGGACGAAGGGGAAGCTGCTTGAATAGGCTTTGCAAAGTGGGCAGGGGCGAGGATACAGCCTGGAGGTTGGTCGAAAGTTGAACCGCTTGTCTGCACGAGGAAGACCAAGACCAAGAGGTACAAAACCATGAGGTACAAATGAGGGCAGGCTCACGAATTTTCTCTCTCAACCAAGACCACAAGGGCATGCATGAACTCGAGGAGGCGCCAAACCGTACTCATCGCTGGGTTCGCGGCCTTGTAGTTGTGTCATCATCGCCTCGGTGATCTGATGCCATCCGACCGGCGTGCGTGCCAATTGTGCGTGAAAAAGAGTACCATGGGACACATCGGGGAGGGTCGCACACCCGACGAAGCAAGGCCGAGCAAGCAACGTACGTTGTGAATTTGGGCCCAGTAATCGCCCATGATTTTTTCAACGCACGACTCATAAAAATACGCGACACTAAGTGGCTCAGCCTCCTGGCGCTTAAGCAGCGCCAGGGCCTCTGTAACTCGGCCATACCCAGGTGAGTGGGCACTGCGGCGATAGAATGCACCAGCGCTAGCAGAGGAAAAACAGCGTGGGTCCAAGGCGGCAGACGGGGACACTCTGGTAGCCGTACCGTCAAACTTGTTGGCCTTGACGAGCTCGTCCATGGGGTTGATAGCAGCGTCTTGCTCTGCCTTGGCCTTGGACAGCGATGGGCCCAGGATATCGCGGGAAGCTTGGAGAATCTGACTCGCCAGCTCACGCATCGCCTGGTCTTGCGCTTGGTCATCGACGGGGCCACGGAGTTGTCGGATCTTCTCATTGGACAGACCAGCCGGCTAGAACAACAAGAAAAGCAATCATGGGATACGGGTCAGCCACCATAACCAGCGACAAGAGAGCAAGGGCGCAGCCCCGCCTTCAGAGAGGCACCAGTCTGACAGGGGGGAGGAGACGGTGGGGGGGGGCATGAACCAGACAACACTCCTCCTGCATTGTCTCCCAAAACACCCCCCTCTTGTATCACCACTCTCGGCCTCACTCGCGCAGCCGATGGTCTCGCATCTCACCCCACCAAAGCCTACCCTCTTCCCTAATGCTCACCCTCTACCTCACCCTCCATTCAATGCGGTAGAGAGGGGCACGGTTGCTGGCTGGCGGACCCAAGGGCGACATGGTCACGTACGTTGCTGCCATGGGTGTTGTTCGTGCCCTTGTAGCGACGGGCATCCATCAACGGCGCCGCGCTGTGTTGCTGCAAACGCTGTGCTGCAACAGCAACGGCCCGCAAGCTAGAGTTGCGCGCTGCCATCCACCCCAAGCCACGGGCACTGACGGCTGCCATACTGCAGCGCGCGACCACCTGCGCTGCCATTTTCCGGTTGCTGCTGGGTCTGTTGTTGTCGCTTGAGCGTGCGTGGTGGTTAGTCTCCGCCAAGACTCGGCAGCCACAGCGCCTTTTGCGTTGAAAAGTACCGCCCAGTCTCGGAGGAGACTGGCCAGTCACATGCACCGATCCCCCTTTGGAACTCGTTTGAAACTAAAGGGGTGATTTTATGATGCATTGATGTAGAGTAAATGTCGCTTATGGTCGAGTTTGCGTATATTTTCATAGGCATTTCACTTTATTTATTGGTCTCTATGTAAAGGTTATTGCAGCGCCTTGTCACAGTCTTTATTTTTTCTTTTTCTCTGACTTGGACTTTTCAAACTTTTTTCTGATTTTTTTAGGGAGGAGTTTAGCGTCCAATGGCTCAAGCAAGGGGCTTGAACGCTAACAGGTACAGGCTGGTGACTGGTGTGAATGCATCGAGCACTGGAGCATGCCGGTGAAGCGCATTGTGACTTACATCTTCAAACCCCGTGTCTGCCTCGAGTGCCGCACAACTCCGGCCGTCATCCTCTTTCAAAATTGAAAATCCCTCGCGTTTTGTAGTTTGTTAAGTGTTCGAGACGCTGCAGGGTAGGGAATTGCCTCGTGATTTGCCTTTAAAAAAAAAAAAAGGACCTGACCGGGACATAAGCTGCCCTGTCCAAAGTCACCGCAGTGTCACTTGTTGGTCCGGAATTGTGCATCAATTTGGTGCCGTGGTTGGCTTTTTACGCCAGGGTTTTCCATTTTCCATGACGGAAAGTATAACCTCAGGAAGTCGCGAAAGACGAAACTCGGAAGTAAGGCTCGACAAACGGGTCATGACACATGAATACGTTGGTGGCAAAGGTGGAGCCTTAGTTTCATGAAACCATAACATCCGGGTTGTGGCTCGAGGCGTAATTAGTGCCATTTTGGCTTGGGCCGTTGCCGCCGCTAATCTATAGGATCCAAACATGACCCAAACGAGACCCCCAACAACCTGTCAGCACGCGCGCAACAGAGCTACGAGTCGCAAACAGCGGCATCGGCCCACCGACGACGCACCATGGTTGCCTGACGACGAAAGGTGGCCAGGTTGGCAGTGAAGCGGTCGCGGTTCTTCATGCTCAGATTCGGCTCAATCTTGGCCATAAGACCCTCGAAAGCTTCTGAAACCTGCACGCGCACATGATAGATCATGGAAAGCAACAACGCCATGAGAAGAACGATGGCCGTGCAACCAACCGATGACAGAAGGCGTTTTATTGGCCAGGGGGTAATATATCATCCAATCAACTCCAGCATGAGAGGAGACGACGAACGACGCGAGCGTCGCAGCCTCTTTTACGTCCGCAAAGACGTACCACTTGTTGTTTCTGGCCAGCCAGGTTCTGTGCCAGACGCATCTTGACGGCTTCAAAATGGCCTGCATTCAGCAGGAGCAAACCCAGCATGGGTCGGGAGAGACTCCACTGGTTGCGGCATTCCTCAAACATGACGCTCGCAAACATGTCATATAGCATCTACAATGTCGGTCCCCAGACGTCAGTCACACCCGTAACCCCCTTGACATAGCGCTCCGTTTTATTTGCCAAGCCCATCCACACAGACCTCGCCCAATTTGTCGTTGCATTGCTCAAGCAAGTTGCCAATGACGCTTGCCTCCATGTCGGGTTTTGAACGTGCCCGTCTAACAACAGCCATGATCATCATCAGCATCATCATTATCATATGCGATACGTTGTCGGCTCAGGAAGACACCTCGGGGTGACAACTCACCGTGTCACAACAAAGGTGATGAGGAAGTCCAGGGTGGTGCAGCAGTGGGTGGAGATGGTCGTGGTCACCGACTGGATGCCGTCTGCCACCGTCGCAATCACGTAGCTAAAGCCACAGCCCGGCAGGCGCCAAAGTTAGACCGCACTTTGCCGACCATGCAAGACTGAAAGGACCCTTCATTCTTCTTTTCCAGGGACCAACGCTTTTGACAACAAACCTAAAGAGATCGGCGGGTAGCTGGGCAAAGCAGTGCGTGTGGTCCTTGGCCACGGCCTGGAGCAGGCTGTAATACCCCTTGGAAAGCTTGGGGTAGCTGTTCAAATCTTCCAAGGGGATGGCTGCCAACATCTTGAAGAAGATGCCCAAGGCTCGGTCAAGTGCCGCATCACCTTGAACACACAAGAGACGAGAGAGAAAGTGAAATCAGAAGACGAAGATGGCTCAGGTAAAAGAGAAGCCACCGACGTCATCCCGTCTAGCACCCATTCAGCGCTGAAGAAACAGCCCGAACCACAAGTGCCAGACACCTCACGCACCATAGAGCGAGAAAACGCCAAAGTTAACGTAGTCACCCGTCAAGGCCCAGCGCAGAATGTTGAAGCAAACCGCAATGCCCTTGTACTTTTCACGGTACACATCGCCATTGGCCGGCACGCTGGTTTGCAGCAATTGCTCACCATAGGCTTGGAGCATGTTGCTAAACATTAAAAGCCCAGATGCATGGCACAGACTATGAGCCCTTGCTCAAATCACCCCAAGACACAGTAGCCAGGGGCAGTTGGACAAGCCACTCGCCTGGTCTCGCGGAAGAGCAAAATGCCATTGGGACTAGAAATGCCAAATTGCAGTCGGGAGTTGCGGTTGTGCACAAGCTCACACTATTCTCGTCAAGAACAGCCACCATCGATGAGGGTTTGTTTGCTCACAACAAGAGGGCCCAACGTAAGCCGCGAGGAACCCGTAATACCAACCATGCACTTGAGAATGGGATTGGCGACATCCGAGTCGAGAGCAAACAAGCCCGCACATTTGACCAGCAGCTGCATAATGACACCCACACAAAGAGTCGTATCAGCTCGAACTTGAGAAAAACGAGCTTTCAAAGCAATATCGTTGCGCATGCTCGCTTGAGCTATGGCCCGCGTTGAGTTCGAACGCTAGCATACCTGGAGATAATCAGGATAAATCCATTCAAAGAGCATCATGTACGCAGAGCGCGTGGTGCAGGCAAACACCAAGCCACGCAGATCGCGAACAAAACCCAATGCTAGCGCCTAAGCCCGAAAACGGGTGCACCCATGTCACCCAGAGAATAGCGTGAAAGTTACGGTGCCCTGCCTCATGGCAAATTATTCAGAAAAGTCCGCAACAACTCGGCTTACACGCAGTTCCATGTTGCGAGGGCTGCCATTCATCTGCAGCTGTTGTGCAATCTGTTGGCCCACAGCTGCCAAAGGAGCCATAAACTGCTCGAATCGCTGATCTTCCTCGGAGAATTCATGGGTCATGATTCGTCCCAAGGCCTGCACAGAGTATCAGATTCAACGGTCAGCTTCTCTCACGAGACGGGTGGACAGTCAAGATGGAGACGAGTGCTTTATGAGGAGGGGGCACACGCGTGAGAACATGCCGTGTAGAACGTGGTGCGGTGGCGCGTGTCTGTGACGTGCACGAGAAAAGGAAAGTTGCTTGGGGTATGGTTGGCCAAGATAAACTGCACCGATTGCAGCTTGACAAGCCTGCTCAAAGATATGAAAGGACATGCAGCAATGAGTTGGTTGCATCCGCACAACAAAAAGTTTTGTCCTGAAACAAGAAAAGACGTGTCACGTGAAACTGACTTGCGCACGACATTGAATGACAAGCAGAAGTCGCTAAACAACTTTAGAGTCTGCTCGAGAATGCGGTCCCTGCAAGCGTCGATCATGAACGCAAGTCAGCGAGTCACCATTAAACCGGGAAGGGGAGGAATCAAACTTCGGGAACCAGCGTTGCGATTTCGAAACCCTTTTTCCGGACAAGTGGACATGCGTGTGTGCTCACCCATCCACCCAGACTCGGAGGTTGGAGATGATCTTCTCGATGATCAAATTGAGCAGAGCGGTTTCGTCGCCCAGGCCCAGCTGCTGCTCCAAGCAAGCCTGCATGCGCACAGAGCGGTTCATGTGCTCGCCAATGTAGTTGCTGCCGCAGCCACGCGCCAACAGGTCAACATAAGCTCCACGCGAAAGAGTTGTGTTTAAAAAGCAAAACAAGATAGGGAATAGAAATGAAATGGCAGCCCTGTTTTGGCTTGTGCTGTCTTACATGCGCAGCTGCTGGAAAAAGTTGATCATGGCGATATCGATTTGCTCGCTCACGGGGGCGTTGCGAGCTTGAGTCTGCTCCTGCAGCGCATTCAGCAGCTTGAGGCAGCGACAGATGAGCTCGCCGTCAAACTGATCCTGATCGTCGTGGAGCACGCTAACACTCCGTGCGCCCAGGACCGCCCCGATAATGTACACGAGCCACGTCATTTGTCCTGCACACGATTTGACGACGATGCGAACACACACGTCACATCAGCAATAGCCAACGATCAAATACCTTCATGGTTTGTTTTTGTTTGCTTCTCGGTAATGAGTGGGCATTTCTCGGAATCAACACGGGGAGCATTCACACGATGGCGTGGACAAGAAATCACGCCAACACGAGGACCCAACGCGTACCTTCAGCCAACCGGGTGGCTGGAGCAGATGGGCCAGATGCGGTGAGATTCTGCATGTACGTGGTCCCAACGGCGTCGAATCGCTCGACCAGCATACGACAGCCCTCTGCATACTCGCAGCGGGCAATGACCGCCGCCTGCTTCAACTGTGTCTCGAGCAGCTAGATTTGGATCACGGCCGCACCAGGCAAGGTGACTGATGGCTTTGCGGCATGGTCGGTAACGAGGCGCAGGGGGAAGAAGCACGACAAGGCTCACCGGTTGATCTTCGAGCGGATCATCCATTTGATTTTGCAAAACAAGCTCAACGGCAGACATGCGTGACTAATCGACGACACAATCCAAACGCAAGCATGCCAGTGAGTGCAAAAATAAAAAAAAAAGACTACCATGGTTTGAAACCCGAGCGCAAGTTCGCGGAGGGGGAAGGGCACGTGGAAGCAAAGACTGGGTGAAGAAGGCGTTTTGTTCCCCTGGCCCAACCTGGATGAATGCATCAAGGATGCGAGGCGCAAAGACGTGTAGGTTGTGTTGGTGCGTGTGGTCCGGTTTCAAGTAGGGAATGCCGTGAATCATGCGGTCCCACAAGCCCAAGACGTAGTGCAGGCTGAAAGGACCAAGGGCATGGCACCCAAGCAGGCGTTGGCATGAGAGCGGCGGCACTGAACGAGGCCAGTTCACTGCAGTACAGCAAGCAACTGAGACACGGTTTTGTGCAAGCCCGCCTGACCTGTTTGGTGCGTATTGCCAGTTGGTCAGGGATACGATGGTAAAGTTGGCCATGCCGGTGACAATTTCTTCATAGTACTTGGAGGCAATGAGCTCAGCCAGCTGAAAGTTTGTCTTGAGACGCGCAAGCAATCGACAAAACTCGTGGTAATTTCCTGGTCATGACAGGAACAAGAAAAACGAGGAGGTGAATGCGCCAAGCGCGACGGGTCAAGGAAAAGCAGGCATTCAGCAAAGTACGTACCAGGATCTTTGAATCCTTGCTGAGTTTGAAAGATTTGGCAGATGCCCTGTAGCAGCTGATCCAAATGCGTGGCCCGCTGGCAGAGTTTGCGTTTGGGGGCAGACATGGTTGGTGAGCCTGGGTATGTACTGCAGCAGCAAAGGGGCGCACTTGGGAGGAGGAGCGGCCAACCTGTTCCTGGTTGAAGATGGTACGACGAATGGAGGCCATCTGAACCAAAATGCCCAAAGCATGCGCTGCAATTCACTCGCGCGACGGCGTTGGGTTAGAGCCAGGCCAGGAAAAGCAGGTCATGTGCAGTAGTTGCTTTTGGGGTCCAGACATACTGGAGAGAGGGGCCTCCAGATTCATGTACAACTGAAAGAGGACAGGCAGGAGGGTTTCTTGGGTGATGGTACTGCGCCAAGCTGTCGAGCAAAGATGTGACCATTGGGGGCGGCGCATGAGCTTTGAGCAAATGGTGTCTGGGAGGGGTCGACACCGTGCATGCGCTAACCGGTAGGCGCTTGGACAGTTCGGAGGTCGTCGGTTGAGTCGTCGCCGGCCGTGCCAATAAAGTCAAAGCTGAGGCAATTTTTCGTGAGCTGCAAAATCCAGTTCAGGAGCTGGAAGGCAGGCAAGGGGCAGTCCAAGTCAGCAGGGCTCACAGGGCCGGGGTGGCGGAGGAACGTGCAGCGAAGAGAAGGTGCAAGCAAAGCATACCCGGCCTGGATCAGCCACGTTGACCTTCTTGGCGGTGACGGCATCAATCATGTTGAGCGACTGTTGGAAAATGGGAAACAAGACCTCGTCGCGAAAAGAGGCGGAGATCTGCAGCGGGAGCAACCGGCAATTGAGCATGCACCAAGAGGCTGTCACGTAAGCTGGCCGGGCCCAGTAGCAAAGGGCTGTGTCCAGCGGCCAACGCGGCTCCACCGTCTGAGAGTTTATGGGCAAGTGGGCAGCTCTGACCTTGCGATGCTTGGTCATGCCACGAACGCTGTCGCTCTGGGACATTTCGCAGACGTTGGCGTTGAGGATCATGACGCCAATGGTCATGTAGACATCGCCACGGTCAAAGAAGCGTGCAGTGTCTTCGAGAATGGTGCGCGCTTCAAAGTTGCCAGCTTCGTCGGCGTCACACCAGCTGACTTTGGTGAGGCGGGCTATGCATTTGGTGACCTCGGTAATGATAAACTGGTCCACCGAAGGTTTGGTGAGAAGATATTCGTAGAGAAAACTTCGCAGCTGCAGGCGGTCGGCCGGAGTGAGGGGCGACATGGTTTTAGTGACACTGGCCGTGATGGCCGACGCTGCGATAAACTGGGCATAGGACTGGCTTGATTGTTCCAGGATGGTCCTGGTTCGAAAATGAGATTGTGAGCAGGTGTGGAGAGGTGCGCACCGCGAGTACCAGCAAAGGCCCTCAAGTCTGCGTGCTCCAGAAGCACAAGAGGCCAAACGGGAGAAGAAGAGACAGGCATTGCTTACCTAGCTTGTTCAAGGGCGTTGGGCCGCTCATCAAAGCTCATGAGAATCTGCTGTGCCTGCTGCCGCTCTTGAGCATCTGTTGTGCCTGTGGCATGAAGCGGGGTTCGGGCAGAGCAAAGAGGCGCGAGATATGTAGAGGAAGCAAAAAATCAACCATGTCAAGAGTGATTGAAAAGGAGGGCAAGGCAAGGGCGAGAAGGGGACAACGGGCACACGAAATGAAATCGTGAAAAGACAGAATGCATGGAGGTCGAGCAGCCGTGCGCCGAGGCCACAAGCGCACGAGACCGTCTCCGCAAGAGTGGGTTGGGGTGAGGTGAAAACGGTGCGCACCTTCATAAAAGACATGGCAGATTCGCTCAAACTCAGTCAGAGAGGCTTGATCCATGATGCCGGTGGCGACGCGCCGCAGCACGCTGACCTAAAGCCTGCTGCCAAGCCAAAGTGAGCGCCTGTCTGACCACCGCTGGAGCCGCGCTGTTGGTCGATGACCGACGGCACCTCAACCCTCTTTCCCCACGCCCCTCCCCACACCACCCACCCATCCAAGCCACGTATACCCAACCCAAAGCCCCTCAAGCAAGCCATTCACCCCCATGCCCACCGCCTCCCATCCTTTGTCCCGCTGCCGTTTCTCACCTCAAGGCCACTGCAGCAAACAAGCAACAACTTTTTTTTTTTGAAATTTTTATTTTATTTTCCAAGCTTTCTTTTTGAATGTTCAAATTTAAAAAATGTGGTCATGTGTGTGTGTGTGTGTGTGTGTGTGTGTAAGCATGTGTGTGTGTGTGTGTGTAAGCATGTGTGTGTGTAAGCATGTGTGTGTGTAAGCATGTGTGTGTGTGTGTAAGTGTGGTGTAAGCATGTTTGTGTGTGTGTGTGACTTCCGTGCATTTCGGCAACCAACAGTGAGCAAACAAAAAGGGAAAAAAAAAGCTCGTCGCAGGGGGCAGGGTGTGTGAGGGGCTCAAACGGCCATAGCAAGCAGAGGTGCATCAATCGGCGTTCGATAAGAATAATGGAAAGAAGAAGAATGGTCATGGTCAGGCAAGCCGGCTCGATGATGCCTGCCTGCCATCTCCCAGCCAAATGTCAAGTGTCCTGGTTGGACCGACGAAGAACAATGGCATCATGAATATTATTAATTACATGTATCTCTAGCAATCATGGCAGTCGATCTGCTTCTGCTGGGAGGAAAAGGCTCCATGAAGAAACCGGCCAAACACTCATCAGAGCACGTTGACCTCTTTCTTCTTCCAAAGAATGTCACGGACCGCCACGCCATCGCAGACACTCAAGTCCCGAGATGGAAGGGGCTTAAACTCCTACACAGCACGGTAGAAGGTAAAATGGAATTGAGCCTGACAGCGCCAGTTCAAAACAAGGAAGCTCTCCCTTTCTCCTTCCTTTCCCGACCCCGACCGCTACCCCGTGGGTATTTCCAACTCGTCTTTTTCAAACCCTTTTCATCTTTTCGTACCTTGGCACCGCTGTCATAGCGGAAAAGCTGGGCGACCATGTCCGCAGGGATCACCTTGGGCCCGGCTCCAAACACCTTTTGAAGGACCGTGGGACGCTCCGGTGCTAAGCCATATATGGCACGGAACTTGAGGTTATTGGGGTCGCGCAGAACCACGACAAAGTGAGCCAGCGAGGATGCTTCCACGGCGGCCAGAGCCTTTCCCCGTCGGTCCGCATTTATGGCCCCCCCACCGAGGCAAGCTGGGCTCTTGATGGCGTTGCGGCAAATCCCCCGGTTGTCTCGGAGCGTCACCGCCGGGAGCGGCACACCCTCGGGTTGGGCCGTGCTCCGGCCCGATGGAGCGTTGGAGCCATGCCGTGAGCGATCGGAGCGGCGCGTACGGCCCCGCATGGTAGGGCTTGATGCATCGCGGTACTGGGTTCTCGACGTGCTGTGCATGGAAGGGCCTTCATCATCTGCAGTTGAAGCCGGATAACGCACCGACACAGTCCCACCGTGCCGCTGCTGTGCCCACGACGGCGTTGCTTCATCGTGCACTGAGCCATGGTACAGGTCGGATGAATCATCTTGAGCGACATGATGGCGCTGGTGGTGGTATCTGCTGCTGCTGTCGTTTTTGTTGTTGTTGCTGCTGCTGTTGTCCTGCTCGTGACTGCCGTTGCGAGCCGTTGTGGTATGAGATGAGACTGTGTTCTCTTCGCCCGAACGCGCCCGTCGCTGGGCTGCTAACCGATTGCGCTGCACGGCCAAAAGCCTCTCGCGTCGTTTGGCTGCATCCTCGGCCTGGCGCTCACGGGGCAGGGTATCGGAAAGTGCAACGGTAAACTCTACGGCAGTTGGCCGCACTCGGCCCTCGTTGTTGGGTGTGGCCGATCCTGGCGCGAGTCGGGGCGATGATGCTTGAAAGGGGTCTGATTGCTGTTGTTGCTGCTGCTGCTGCTGCTGGAGTTGTTGTTGTTGTTGTTGTTGTTGTTGCTGGTGGTGTTGATGTTGTTGCTGGTGTTGTTGTTGCTGGTGGTGTTGATATTGTTGCTGCTGGTGGTGCTGCTGTTGGTGGTATTGATGCTGCTGTTGTTGGTGGTGTTTGTGCTCATGATGGCGTTGCATTTCGGCAGTCGAAGCGATGCCACTCGTGTAACTGCGTGTCGTGGCTGATTCATCGCTCATCAACGAACGATTGAGGTCCTGCGCCGAGCGACGCTCAGCATCCGAGTGCCCATCTGATCCATTGAGACGTGCATCGCCATTGATGGCACGCGGTCCACTATACTTGACGGTTCGGGATGGTGCCCCGGCAGTGGGGGAGGATTGCGCGTGCAGCTCCAGGCTTCTCTGGGACAGGCCTGTTGGCGCCTGCGCTGCATCAAAGGCGCGTAGAATGGAGTTGACCAAACCTTCCTGTGTCGAAGAGTCGAGTTGCCCAGCCCCTTGCTGGTTCAAGACCTGCTGGACGGCTGACTCGAGGTGACGGCGCGCATGCGGGTTCTGTATTTCTGCGGCCGAATCCTGCAAGTGATCTGGTCCATTGGGTGGCGCCAAGGGTACGAGGCGGTCCAGATGCAACGACGCCTGTACGCCCGGGGCCGTGGACATGCTGGTGGCCACGGCTCGCCGATTGCGGCGCACGGCGCTGCTTGCTCGTGGGCCTTGCACTGGCTCGACCTCGCCCGCACTCACAGCTGCAGAGCCCGAGTCCGAAGCGTCCTGCTCTTCAATTTGCGGCATATGGCGGGCAAAAAAATGTGTCGTGGCACTGGGTGTAGGGCGGCGCGGAAGCGGTGCCATCCCGTGCTCCGGTGAGCCGGCTCCTGGGCCCGGGGGTGAGGCGTTGACGGCAGCTTGGCGCGGTGGGGTGATACCGTGCCGTGAGGTTCCGGCTCCAGGCTCGGGACTGAGTGTGGCCCCATTGCGTTCCTCCTGCTCCAGCAAACTGACACCGGTAGGCACGTCCAAGGTGCTTGTGGAGCGGCGAAAGCGTTCAATGGCGTGGTGCTGCATTTCACTGCGTTTGGTGGCCAAGCGCTTGAGAGCAGCGGCGACTACGACCTCGTCATCATCCTGCCGGTCCTCATCGGTGCCCTGCATGGGGCTGGGGGAGCGCAAGGCGGGGTGGAAGGGGGAACGGCCGTTGTTACGACGGGCACTGGGTGCCGTCATGTCATCATCGGGATGTTCCGAGTCGCTGCTGAGTGACGCCGCCACAACTTGTCGCAATCGCTGCATGGCGGTCGTGGACTCGAGCCGCGTCAAGGCAGGCAAAACCTCGTCGTCGACACCATCGCGCCGAATCTGAACAGACACACGGGGTGCTTGCGAGCTGTCCCGGGACGCTGTGTCGTCTGGTTCTTCATCGGGCTCATCCTCGTACTCGGCATCGCTATCCTCGGAATGATTGGGATCACCACCGCGTTCCATTTTAACAGCGTCCCCGTTGCTCAAGTCTTGCTCCTCATTCCTGCTCTCGTGATCCGGTTGCGGGCGCCCTGCGGCATCTTCTGCCGGTGAGTCGACTGCACCCGGAGCGGCCGCAGCCCTGGCGGCGGCCCTGGCAGCAGCCAGGACGGTGGCGTTGGCCTTTTGTGATTGGCGACGCTCGGCTTGTTCGCTGGCCTCTAGTGTAGCGTTGATGAGGACAGAGAGACGGCGGCCTGAGGCAGTGGCGGGGCCTGGCAATGATCGTCGACCCTTGGGTAAGACCTCGGCGAGTCGTGTGTGGTATGCCATGGCCGATGAAGTCGAGCCACGGCGTTGCGCACTAGGGGAGGGTGAGTCGGCGGATGCAACTGGGGAAGGGGAGCCAAAGGCAGGGGCCATGTTGACGGTGAAGTGGGTAGATGCAAGGGCAGAAACTTCCCTGGAATCGTGAGCGGCGGGCACGGTGAGGCTGGCGCGCCCGGGGCGGGCAATTGGCTTTTTCGTTTGGGTGTGCGGAGCAGGGATGGACGCTCGGTGGGTTGGGGCTGGGGCACGAGCTGCAGTCCCATAGCCTTTGCCAAAGTGGACCACGACTGTGTCCTCGGCGTCGTTTGGCGTGGCGGCGGGAGGGGGGAAGAGCGGTTCGATGGTGGCGGCGGTGGGAGGCTCGACGGCAGGTTGTGCTTTGGACATGAAGTTGTTGGTGTTGCCGTCGGCAGGCGGAGCGCTCGACAGGCTTTGCTGTTGAAGCGGGCTGGGTTTTGGCAGGGTGCCGGGGCCGCTAGCGACGGGTGGGGTTGCTTCGGGCTCGGACCGAGGTTCTTCATCGGCATCGCTGGGGGTGTCCATTTCGGTTCCGTGATCTCCGTGCCGGCGTGGATCGTTGTGGTGGTAGATACGGTCTTCTGGACCAAAAACCAAATCAAAATCCTCCCAATCGGGCGATGCATGCTGACTAGCATGGGGACGGCGGTGGGAGCCGGCACTGTTCGTGTCACGTATGGGTCTGGAGAGAGATTGTCGATGAAGGTGGGCGTGAGATCGAGCATCTCCTGAATTGGGGTGTGCGGGCAGCCGATGGTCATTGGCTTGAACGTGGCTGCTCGTGGGGTGCTCGGTTGGTGACTGCCCTGTTGGTTGCAAGGGGGCGCGGGCGTCGGCGCTATGGTAGTGTGATGGTCCAGGGCTGTGCGGGTTGTCAGATTCAGGTGTGGCACCAGCGCGACGCAGATTGGAGGTGTTGGACTCTGGGCGCGAGGATTTGTGGGCGTGTAGAGCTGAGATTGGCCTGGCTCGCCGATTGGCAGGTCCACTGGTGGTGCGAAGCTCTTCTGCCTGTTGTTTCTGGGCCAGGAAGAGGGAGAGTGAGGAAGAAAGACAGGGCAGGTGAGAAGCAAGGAGGTTGTGGATCAAGCATGGAAGAGGGGGCACAGAAGGTGGATATTGGCTGGGCACAGAGGGTGGACATTGGCTGTGAGGGGATCGCTGTCAGGAGGGCGGGCACGTACAAGATGGGAGACGAGCTCAGAGTAGCGTGCCTGGCCAGCTTTGACGTTGGCGGGGCTGGTTGCAGATTGCGTGCGACGGGGCGGGGGTGTTTGAGGGGCTACATGCATGGCTTCGAACCGATCAAGATCTGCCAAATCATCAGCATGAGGCTGTTCATCTTGCAGGGTCGTGGTTGTTCGCATGGGATGTTCGCGGGAGACAGTGGCGTGCTTGTCGGTTGTGGTGCTCAGTTGAGGGCGAGCTGACACCACGCGGCGGGTATTGGCAAGTTGCGACTGGTCTGTGGAACGGCGGGCTGAGTAGGGCCGATTGTGTTGCCTGTGTGCGAAGGGCAGGGCGGGGGGGAGGAAAAGGGAAAGAACATGGGATGAGGGATGGAACGGGGTACAGGACTACGAGGGGTTTACGTAGTGGTGGCGCCTTGCGAGCTCTTCACGTGGATGATCAAGAGTGCAGGGGAAAAGTAGGACACGCGAGATGAGGAGAGATACCTTCGCATGGCGGCAGCGCTGGTGGGACGCTTCGATGTGTGCGCGGCCAGGACGGCTTCATGGGAAAGGCCAGCCATATCAGGACTCGGTCCCGAGTGGCTACTGCCAGGCCTGCTCCTAGGATCGGGTCGAGCCATGGGTGAGCAGGTGAGCTGAAGAGAAATCACATGATGGAACGGGATCTTCGGGCTGTGAGAGATATGCGAGATGTGCGAGCTATTCAGGCTGTGTGGGATGTGCGAGCTATTCGGGCCGATCCCAACCTGGCAGAGGGCGGGGGCTGTGTCATGGCAGTGTGCATGGCGCGCGCAGCGGCAGCCGCTGGGAGGGTTGAGGATATGGGGCAAAACAGGAGAAGCATGATGAGATGGAGGTGAGAGGAGAAACCTTTGCAGCTCTTGGCGTGTGCAAAGACCACGGCGATGGGAGACATACCTTCAAAGTGATGGGCCTTGGCCTGAGCCTGATGTTGCTGGAGATAGCTTCCCTGAGCCATGATGGCGGCCAACGCGGCGGGGTTCAAGAAAGGCTGACGCGTCGCGAGAATCGAGAATGCTGATCGGTTGGATCAGCAATCGCAGGAGGCGGAGGCAGAGGCGGGTGGGGGTTGTGTCCGCGGGTCGGGCGCGCGTTGATTGGGCTGGACTCTCTACGCCCCCACCCACGTTGAATGGGTCTGACCCGCCGCGGGGGGCTTGATGATGGCGCACATAGGCCCCCGAGCGGTTGAAGGAAGCAAACAGCTACAACGAGTACAGGGTTTCAAGAAGCGATGCTCGTGGTGAGCCGATGGCCAGAGGAGAGATTGCGCCTCCCCAGGTCAGCGATGGATCACACTCCAGCGCGTTTGTTGGCAAGGGAAGCAAGGCCGGGCGGTGTCACCTTGTTCTCTCTCTCTCTCCCCCCCCCCCCGAGTCTTCAGATCTACCCACACGCCATATGTCAGGCAAGGACACAGGCGAGAGAACCAGCGCAAGAGCGAGAACGAGAGCGAGAACGAGAGAGTGATAAAAAAACGAAAAGAAAGCCCGCTCACGTTCAGCAAAAGCACCCAGCGCCACCCAGCCAGCCAGCCAGTCAGCCGTGCCCGCGCGAAAGAGAGAGACAGAGACAGAGACAGAGACAGAGACAGAGACAGAGATAGAGAGATAGAAAGACAGAGGGAGAGAGTTTTTTGTTGTTCTACAAACACACTTTTTGGTTGTGTTTTAAGAGAGAAAGAGAGACAGAGACAGGGGCAGCGACAGAGACAGAGATGGAGATGAACTCTTGGTCACAGAGAGAGAGAGAGAAGAGCATGAAATTTTTAACTTTTTTTGTGGTCATACAACAAACAAACAAACAAACCAAGCGGGAGCTCTTGGATGGTGTGGTGGTAAACCGTGACGACAGAAACTCAAACTTTTGCTTCATAAACTACGGCGCAGTTTCCTCTTAAACGCCATGTACTGCTTCATCAATCCTCTAAAACAGCGCGTCAACTTCATCACCGTCTGACATTCGTGTCATTGAAGTGTGACTTTTATCACATTGTCGTTTGCTAGCAAGCCCACAACTTGACAACCACGCTCAAAAAAAAAAACACTCTGTGCCCGGCGACAATGGCGGCCGCCGTGCAGCACGTCGTTCATGGCAGCGTCGCGCTACTCCCGGCGGCCCCGTCTCAGGCGGCAGATCGTCTGTTGTACAGTGGCATTGATGCCCTTTGGCAATATGACCTGCACAGCAAATCAGCAGCCCCCCTTATCCGTGGTACGCGCGCTCCCGAGATGAGCAACAGCAAGCAGCTCTGGGCACCTTCAAGGCTGCACAGCCCGCTCCATCACCCGACGGCTGCCGTGCTCGTGCTAGTCCCACGTTGCATCTTACCGCAAGCACTCTTGCCTTTGACCCTTTCCTTCCCTTTTCCCCCTCTCCTCTGTCTGACTTAGGCCCCGAGCCCACCACCCTTTTTGCCGTCGCCGACAAAGGCAACACCATCGCCCTCATCCCAGATCGGCCCAAACCCCCGATCATCCTCGCCAACACGGCTGGTGAACCCGTGCAGCAACTCGTGAGAGGTCAGCCTACCTAGAAGCCATCTGTCACAACCCATATTTAGTGTGGCTGGCCGACCGCCTCCTGCCACCACCGCTTTGCTCCGCACACACATTTCTCAGCCTCTGCATGCCAATCCCCCCCCGCCCCCACCCTGCCCATGGATCAGAGGAACGCGACTTCGCTGGATATGCGGCCTTGGCCCTCAGTACACATGGCACCTTTGTCCTCACTGTCGACACTGTGCGTCGACGCATCAAAACCCCGGATGAAGCCGTCATCACCATCTGGGACACTCGATCCAGTGAAGGTAACCGCCACCCATCCCCGTGAATCGCAACACCAACCGCACCTGCCTTGTTCTTGTCGGCTCGCCTTCCTTTGCTCCTTCTCACCTTTTGCCCCTTTGCCGCCCCTTTGCCGCCCCTTTGCAGTGGTGTCGCAAACCATCTTGCACCATGTGGCACACCCCACCATTTACATGCGCCCCACCGCGCAGGTGTCAGACGCCGATAAACCTTCCGACCCCGAAGAATCACTGGCAAACCTCGAATGGCTGCTCGTGGCCGACAACAAGGCCCTCTACGGTCACGTTGAGCAGTGCCGTGATCTGGCCGTCATTGTTCACGACACAATCGACCTCAAGATTGCACCCCGCGCCCGCCGCGGCACCTCGTTCGTCCGCCGTAACAGCCTGGAGGAGGCCCTCGATTTAGAACGCGACCTGCTCGATTCACCGGCCGTTTCTATTCGTGACGTCACCTGGTGTGGCGATGCCCTTCTTGCTGGCTGTCGAGAAGGCGAACTCATTGAGCTGGACCTCGCCACCCTGCAACCTCGTATCCTACTCAACGCCAGCGTCAACGGCCCTGGATCCGCCGACACCCTGCTCTGGCGCCAGGATCTTTCCTTGCTTTACGTCGCCGGGTCGGCTGGCAAACTGCGGACTTACGTTGTCACTGCAGCCTCTGACATCCAGCTCGTTCAAACCTACTCCCTCAACCACGCCATCACCCAACTCACTCGGTAGGAGGTGCTGCACTTCTTTCCCGCCTTGGAACACCCACGCTCGCACACGCACACACGCAGACTCGAACACCGCAGCCCCTCACAACGTGCACGTTCTATCCCATCTTTGGACTCACAGGCTAAACAACGGTCAAACCCTTTTGGCCGATCGCAATTATCTCGCCCTCTGGAGCACCGATATGAAAACTCCCGAAACCTTGCTTGCAGGCCTTCCAGAGCGTGCTTTTGCCGTGACTGCCGTCGCTGCCCTCACCGACGCTGACAAGCCCTCCCAAACACTGGCAGTCACTGTGGGCGCGTTGGGAGACCTGGCCATGTATCAGGCCGACACGGGCAACTTTCTTGCCCTCGAGCGACTGGACACGGACGAAATTACATGCGTGGCGGCCAGCCCGGCCAGCCCCTGGCTCGTTCTCGGGGCTCGTGATGGTTCATGCCGCTTCCTCACCCTTGCCCCCAACGGCCAGGCCGTCACCACACATATCGCCAAATTGGCTGCTGGCCCCATCACCAGAGCGGCCTTGGTCGACGAAGGCCACCTTCTCGTCATCATTCACGGGCGGTGCCTCCAAATCCTTGAGGTTGGTGTTGATAGCTTGTCGCCTTGCTGATTTTTTTTTTTTTTTTTTTAAATCAAAGGCCCAAAGACTCAAAACGCCGTTGGCGCGCCTGCGTTTGCGGCCCTTGTTTGCTCTGACGACACCTCATCTAAATTGCCTCTTGCATACTCTACCTCGCCATTGCGTCAGACGGCAACAGCTGATGTCGCGCTTAGCCTAACCATGCCCGAGGAGCACCTGGTCGGCTTCTCCATGACGCGCCTGGCTTGCCGACGCCGCGATGATAGTTTGAACATTGCTGTCACCTTACAGCGGGCTGCAGACGAAAAAGTGCCCGACAACGAAGCCAACTTGTCAAACGATGCGCTCTTGCGCATCACCGTCCCCATTGGTTGGTACTGGCTGCTTCATGGCACATGCCCGAGTCCTCTTGTCTCTCGCTCTTATTAGACAACGTGCGCGCATCAATAGACATCCATCAGCTACGCCACATGCGTCACAAATCTACCAACCCGCAAATCAACCTCAACGACGCCGAACCGTTCCTCTGCTCGGTCCGTCTCCTGCCCCATGCCTACGCCGAAAATGTCATCTTCGACGCCAGACGTGCGCTGCGCATCCGCTGCCTGTTCTGATCCATATGAACTACAATAGATTCCGGCCTCGTCCCATCTGGTCTGGGATCGCCGCTCCCCGGGCCCCATCCTCGTCTCCAGTGCCCCGGCTCGGTTGACTGTGCTGCAAGCGGCCCCTTCAATTCCAACCAGCGGCGCCGCTGCCCCTGCGCTCTTTCAATGGACCGAGTTCCAACCCAGTGATATCACTCGCACCATTGATTTGCCCCAAACACTGCGTGCTGTCCACGTCTCCTCCAATGGTATGCACTATTGCACCTACCATCTTCTTGCCAATTCTGCACCTTTGTCCTTTGTCGCCTTCGTTGTTGGTGCCGGTGTTCGGTGTTGGCGCCGGTAACTACAAGAGCACCTGTGCCTCGTCGGCTCTGAGAGAAACAGGGCTCATGTACGCGACCACTGTTGGTGACATGACCTGTAGGTGCTGTGGCCGCCTGCGTCCTGGGCCGCACCTTGACGATGGTGCCCTTGGACGGAACCACTCCCACCGTTGATTGGCCCCTGCCGGAACCAGCGTATTATCTAGAGCCCACTTCCGTACACGTTGCATTCCTGGAGCACACCGATCGACTGGCCGTCCTGACCCGCACAGGAGGTCTGGCGCTCTTTGCCGCGAATTTGAATGCCACCCTGCCTCCCTTGGACGGCGCTGCGACAGCTCGGGCGTGGGATACCGCACGCCAAGCCAAGGTATGCGCATCTTCCACTCCTCGCAACCGAACTGTTGCAGTAAATGGCCTCACCATTGATGTGCTCGCCACCATCACCACAACCACACCTGTGCTAGCCCTTGAGCGCTGACGCAAAGCAATCACTACGCGGTCCATCAACAAGTGGCGCAAGCACTGCTCTCACTCAAGCCACGGCGGTGTGTTCCCACTTTGCACCGCTATATTGCCATGACCGCTCCACTCAATCCGCCTTGACGGGTTTTTTTTTTTTTTTCTTAGACAATCTTGGATCCAGACTCATTAACGGAGGGCCAAAAGGCCATTGTCCATCGCTTGGACGCGTTGCGCGGCAAATTGCGCGAGTTGATCGCAGCCAACGTCAAGAAACCTGATGATGAGCGGCTGGGCAAAGCCGAATTTGTCGTTAATCGAACGGAACAGGACCGCTTACAGCGCGAGAAGGAATTGGCCATTGCCGAGCTTCGCGCTCACATTGAACTGGAGGTCCGCAACTGTACCGCTGTTCCCCATGTTGTTGTGATTGGCCCTGGTGTGCGCACATGAATGCATCAAGACGCATGATCGAGCCATGCTGGCTTACCACACTTGGGCTTTGCCTCGTTGTTGAAAACTCAGATGCTCCGCGAACAGTTTTTGCGCAACAACCTGAAGAAGGCGTGCTGGGATACTATGGAGACCAAGGGCCAAGTGGTAGTAGACTTTGAGGGTGACGTCGAGGTTTGTTGTGAGCCTGCGCGCCTGTGCCCGCCTTGAAGGGGTCCTGTTTCGACATGCACAAATCATGCTCAACTCTGCTGCTGTTACCCCGTTTGCTCGGGGCAATGCAGGTCCGCAACTTTCCTCTGCCCTACGTGAGTCGAGAAGAGGCGGCGCGACTTGAGCGGGTGCAAAGTATTCGTCGAATTGAACGGGCAGCGGGCTTTTCTGAGCGCCTTTTCGACGAGGTGCGCAGCTTCATGTTCGGATATCCGATGTGCCCGCCCCCACCTGAACGTGTTGTGCGTTGTGCC